GAAATTGGATGGGCCACCCCTGGTGAGGACCGTTCTTTCCCATGAGCTCTCTGTCTTCCCTACTGAGTGGGCAATCTGCAGCTGGAGCTGCTGGAGGAAGTGGCTGCTCAGTTCTGTCCTTCTGGTCAACGCCTAGAACAATACATTTGAGGCCCTCTTGTGCACATACTGTAAAGCAGAACCTGTGGTGCTTTCAGATGCTCTTGGAATTCAACTTCTATCAGCCCCAGCCAGCATAACCAGGGCTCAAGGATGATGGGGAGCTGTGGTCCGGCCATATCTGGAGGACTGCAGGTTCCCCATCCCTGCTTGTGAGTGAAAAACAACAACACACTTATATAATTTATAAGCATTATATAAGGTTGTGTTCAATTCATACAAATCACATTGACCGCCTTCACGCTTTACTGATCAAGATTACATTGTTCACCTTCATCATTGTTGTTTTGTTCATTTGTTTTTCTTCCTTTGTCCTGTTTGGTGGGGAGAGTTGACCTGTGAAAGCAGCAGCAGCAGCAGCAGAAAAGACTTCTGCAGACTTTCTTAGAAGCCACCATAACTCTCTCTCTCTCTCTCTCTCTCTCTCTCTCGCTAACGCACACATACACAATGTCAACTGTCCTGGCTGTTTTATCATTCCAGGGCACACTGGGGAAGGGGTGGAAGAAGCTCCTGAGAGGGGAAAAGGTAGAGAAGGGGGGGGTGAGGGAAGAGGCATGGACACAGGGATGTGACAGGCACCTGCTGAAGCAGTTAGGCCACTTCCACCATTCCTGCTCCCTTGAAGGCAGTGGGTGCAAGTCTCCTTGGCTTCAACAACTTTAGCCTTATCCAGTAGGGTGCACTTCGATTCTCATAACCTCCAACTGTTGGCCATGCAGACTGGGATGGATGGGAGCTGGAGCCAATGGGGAAAGAACTGAAAATTAATAGATGTAGGTTGGTGGGGCGGGTGAGTGGGTGGGATCATGCAATGCCCCTCTGTAAGTAAATGATACAGCTAAACCATGGCTGAGTGCAACTCCCCTATGAGGAAAGCTTGCCGCATTTGGGGCTTTTTAGTTTAGAGAAGAAGAGAACAAGGCATGATTGACATGTATAAATGTATGCATGGCACAGAGCAGGCATGTCCAAAGTCTGTTTCGGGGGCCTAATCCGGCCCTCTGGTTGATTTAATCTGGCCCCCATGGAAGTTTATTTCCTGGGGAAATTCATGTTCACTTCATCAAATCTGGCCCTCTTTGAAAAAAGTTTGGGCACCCCAGGCATAGAGGAAGTGAATAGAGAAAAGGTTCACCCCCTCCCTCATAACACTAGAATGTGTGGTTATCCAACAAAGCTGGCTGTCAGGGGATTCAGCCACATAGCTAAACACAGCAGGCAGTGATGGCCTGAAATTTGCATCGTTTTGAGAATTAGACAAATATAAGGTTTCCCACAGGCATTCGGTTGTCCACCGTAAGAACAGGATTCTGAACCAGATGAGCCATTGGCCTGATCCAACGGGCTCTTCTTGTGTCCTTGGTCATCCCAACCCAGCATGGGTAAAGTCAGTATATGAAAGTATTGAGCTCAGATATGTGAAGGAATGATGCCAATACACACCAAGAATGTGGCAGAGGCTTAGGTAAGCAATTCACCCAGCATACCCCAGTAAATTGAAAGGGAACTGCACAGGAAATACTTCCTGGTGGGTTTTTAACTTATGTGGGACTCAACTACATTGTTGCATGTGCAGAATGCGGGCTGCTTGTGCAACAGGACCTTCTCTCTCTTCCCTCATCTTCCATTGCAACCCCTAAATCTGCTCTGAAGGGTTGGGGGAAACCCCAGAACAGGTTTGGGGTGTCCAGAGGGGAGGAGAGAGGGGAAGTTCCATGGAGCAAGCAGCCCACATTTATAAGGCAGAGATAGGGAGCCTGTGGCCCTCCAGGTGTTGCTGGATTACATTTCTCATCATCCCTGGCCATGGACTATGCTGGCTGGGGTTGATGGGAGTTGGAGTCCAACAATATGTGAAGGCCCGCAGGTTCCCCATCCCTTCTAAGTCCAGACATTCCAGGCAGTTTGCTGGGCTTCCCTTCCCTTTACGACCGGCTTTCATGAGCTTCTGCTGCCACCTACAGCTAGAATGGGGCTCTCTACATCTCTTGAAACCACTACTGCTGGCTGAACATCAGTGAATAAAATAATGGCATTCTAAAGCAAGAACATGTGGAGAAAAACTGGTGCTTTGGGGATACATTTGGTACGCATTGTGGCATTGAATGAAATCCGTGCTGCTCATTAAAATAAATTGCTCATTGATGTCACTGTTTCTCAAAACACCAGGTGCTGCCCTTTTGGGATTTAAAAAGAGTTTCTGGAGAAGCTGGTATCACAGAGAAATGTCGAAATCGAGGTGTGAGAGGAGTTACCAGCTTCTTTCTAGGGAGTTGGGAGCTTCTGCTAGAGCCCTCTCCACTGTCTGTCCCCATGGAGGCAGGAGAAAATTCCAGCACCCCTCCTTCCAAAAAATAACAATATGCGGCTGGCCCACATAACTCCCTGTCCTTGACAAAGGCACCCAGCAACCCATTACCACCTGAATTTCCCAAACCCGGACTTCAGGGTCCTCTTCCTCTGACATGTCTTGCCATTCCCACCCCTTCCTAGCTTGTACCCTGAGGGGGGGCATGACGGGGAGGGAACACTAGGTACCCCCTCAGTAGGGACAGATGCAGCCTTCCATGCCTCTCTATCTGGCTCCTCCCAGGCTGCAGCTCTCTCCAGCCCTGCTCCACACCCTTCTCAGGTGTTTTGCTTGCCTATGTGTCCTCAAACTGTGATTTTGCTTTCTCCTTGCCTGGACAGACAATGGAGGATGTTTGTGTGTATGTGTGTGGGGGGGTGAACCTCTGGCTTCTGCAGACAATGAGTCACACCCATTATTCTGCCCACTTTTGCCTCTGGCCCCGCCCACTTCTCCTCTGGCCCTGCCCACCACTGACATGCGGCCCCTGGATGGTTCTCCATGAGGGAATGAGGTTCTTGTGTCTGAAAAGGTTCCCCATCCCTGTTCAAGGACCTCTCGGAGGATGGACAAGTCCATTCTATAGGCTGGATGGTGCCTGCAAGTGGCCGAACTCATCTTTGTGTCCCACAGTGGAGTATCCCAGTTCTGGGGAGTTCATCCAGTCCCTGCAGATGAACAGTCACCATTAAGAAGTGACAACAGGAGGTGCACACTCCCCAAAATATTTTGTGTTACCTATCATGTGGGAAATATCTTATCCATTACTTGCTTCCAGAATCAAGCTCCCAGGATCACAAACTGATCCCATGTGTGGAAGCTTTCATGTATTACAATGTCCACATGTTATTGTTGTTGTTAAGAAAACCCCAAACCAAATGGAGTCCAACTTGCTTGGTGCAGTTAAAAAGTATAACCCTCCTCTCAGGACACTCACTGGTTCCTTATATAGGCCTCTTGACTCCTCAGTGATTAGTTTTCTGCTCATGCAAGAAGGCATATGACGGTGAGCTCAATCAGAGCAAGGCCTCCCTGGTCTCAAAAAAAGCTGATGGGAAAATGCCTCTGAAAGAGATACGTTTTCTTCAGTAAGATACCCGATTGCGCGTTAAGCCCTGTCCGCAAAAATGGAATCTGCTGCCTCTTGGATTCTTTCCTGTTCGTGAAGGGGGATCCCTTACACTGCATTACGTGGGGAGAGGAAAACAGGATAAAGTGAGACTGATGGGTCCAGCGTGCTCTTCATCACCATGGAAAAGGTTGGCCAAGGAAAAGCACCCGATGGCCAAGTAATAGCATATTAGAGAAGAGCACAATTACAGCACACTGGATCAGCTCCTGATACCTGTAAACAAACAAACAAACAAACAAACAAACAAACAAACAAACAAACAGCATGAAGTAGCAGATAGTTTTGATTAATGTGAACCTGCTCTGTCCTAGTTCTTGCTTGAATTTTTTGCAGGGCTTTTAAAAATAATTAATAAAAAATAAATAATAATGTGCCCTAGAGCTGAGTGAATCTGTCTGTTTTGGTTTCTCATCTTTCTAATCTTAAATCCAGTTCTCCACATTTCAACATCAGTTTGTGATTTTTTTTTTTAAGTCCTCATGAAAATTAATCAGCATTATTGTGCAAATTTCTCCTAAATATGCACATATTTGTTTGCCATTCTGCCTAACATATACATCCTTGCAAAACAGTGTTCCCTAATTTAATGTGTTTTTGTATACCTGTTTCCCTAAGACATAGATTTATATCCACACTATACTGTGGTATGTGCATTTGTGTGCGCATCAGTGGACTGGAGAACTACATCGCAAAATCCAGAGAAGTACAGATTTCAAAGAATGGCAGTGCTTTTGTTTATGTACTGTTTGGGGAGCTAGGTAAGGTCACTTTTAAATGCGAACCGAATCAAATCTGTCCCTCCCCACTGGTCCTTAGAGTGTCTGTATTGGCTGGCAGGTCTATGGGACTGAAGTCTCTGTGCACTAATGGGGCACCTCTACAGTTGTTTCACAGTGTTTACAATGAGCCACAGCACACACATCTTCACAGACACAGCACCCATCCTATTTATGAGCAGCTGTGCTTGCTCTTGGTAGGCAGATCCTTGAAAGCTGAGAGTTCAAAGAAACATGTGCCCTTCATTGTGGCAGTGATGTGACCGAGGGGCAACTGCAAGGGAGTAGATGTGTCTCTAGCATGGGAGATAGCTCTGTGGGAGGGCTGCAGAGGAACTTATGCAAGCAAAAGTGTCACTCAGGGAGAAAGAACACAAGGGTCTAGATTCATGATGGCCAACATCTTTGGCCTTAATATGGAAATTGGATGTAGTCCATACACCACCAGCTAGCCACAGAATCATCAAATTTTATTGTGAAAGGTGAATTTGGAAGCCACCCAGTTCAACCCCTGCTCAAGAAAAGTATAGTTACAGGTAGGTAGCCGTGTTGGTCTGTCGTAGTCAAAACAAAAGAAATCCTTCCAGTAGCACCTTAGAGACCAACTAAGTTTGTTATTGGTATGAGATTTCGTGCGCATACACATGAAAGCTCATACCAATAACAAACTTAGTTGGTCTCTAAGGTGCTACTGGAAGGATTTTTTTTATTTTGTTTCAAGAAAAGTATGTATGGTATCATAGACAGCTGGCTGTTCAGCCCCTGTTTGCTTAAATATATTCAAAGAATGAGAGCTCATCACTTCTTGTGATGTTCCACTGTCAAAACAGCTCTGACTATTAGGAAGTTTCTCCTAAAGTTAAGTAAAAAATTGTTATTTTTTGCAATTTTCACCCTACGGTTCTAATCCTGCCTGCTGGAGCATCAGAGAGCAAGTCTACTCCATCTGCCAAGTGACAGCCCGTCAGATATGTGAAGGCAGCTTGACCTCGTTTCCAGGGTAAACATTCGTAGTTCTTTCAACCGTTCCTCTTAGAACTTGATTTCCAAAGCCTCTCACCAATCTGGCCACCCTCCTCTGGACACATTTGATTGTCCACACTGTTCTTTACATGTGGTGCCAAGAGCTGGGCACATTACTCCAGATGTGGTCTAACCATCACTGGCATAAAAACCACATCTGCACTAAAGCATCAAAACACACCTCCTCCAAACCATCCACCTATTTGGCGTGAGCCGAATATTTTTCCAACACTTGTCAACATTGAAAAGTATCCCTCAAACAGAATTGTTAGAACCCAAAACTAAAATTTTGTCAAAGATGTATAACTTGCTGTTGAAATGGAATACTCAGGATGAAACGGTGAAATCTGCTATGATTAAATGGGCACAAGATGTTGGACATAATATTATGTTTGCTGACTGGGAACAGTTGTGGACCACAGGTATGAAATTTACGGCATGTAATGCCTTAAAAAAAATATTATGAAAATGATATACAGGTGGTACATAACCCCAGTCAAGCTTGCAAAAATCTATCATGTGCCTGATAATAAATGTTGGAAATGTAAAGAAACTGAAGGTACATTTTTTCACCTTTGGTGGACGTGCCCAAAGATTAAGGCTTTCTGGGAGATGATATATAATGAACTAAAAAAGGTATTTAAATATACCTTCTTGAAGAAACCAGAGGTCTTTCTCCTGGGCATAGTCGGCCAATCGGTGTTAAAAAAGGACAGAACTTTCTTTATGTATGCTACAACAGCAGCAAGAATACTCATTGCAAAGTATTGGAAGACACACGATCTACCCATACTGGAGGAATGGCAGATGAAAATGATGGACTACATGGAATTGGCGGAAATGACTGGCAGAATCCGTGACCAGGGAGAAGAGTCGGTGGAAGAAGATTGGAAGAAATTTAAAGACTATTTGCAGAAATATTGCAAAATTAATGAATGTTAGAATGATGTTGGATTGAAGTTAAGTGGTTTCTAGCTGTACAGGTACAAAAGAATATGGAAAAATTGGTTTTTAATATGTAAAAATTTAAAGTTATAATATATCAAGATTAAAGATTAGGATTAAAAAGGAGGGAAAGGAATTGTTGGATTAACAAATTTAATTGGAATACAAAGAGGGAGGTATGAGGAGGTCCGGGAAACAAGTAAACGTAAAAGAAGTGAGGAAAAGATGGAATTGTTTTTAATTGTTTTTTCTTTTTTTCTACTTTGTATTTTTCCCTTTCATTGTTAATTTTTTTTTTTTACTAATGTGATTTTTTTCCCCTTTGAAACTTTAATAAATATTTTTTTAAAAAAAAGAAAAGAAAAGTATCCCTCTTTCTCGTGATTTTTCAGGATGCCCACACTGTTTTTTAACCTGTTAATTTGCCTTGGTCTCTCTTGTTGCTCTCAGTTGTTGTCTCACCTTCCTAACCTTGACTGGTTATGTAATGTTGCAATGTTATTCTGTTGACTACATGTTCTTTGATTAGCTGAGATCACCCACAGACTTAATTTAATCAGAGCTTAGGCCTCTGATTAATCCAATCTGAGGCCAAAGTATTTCAGACAAAAGTATTATAAACAACCAAAAGCATCCGGCCAGCCAATGTGAGAATAGGATGCTTGACCAGATGAGTCACTGTTCTGATCCAGCAGGCTGCTATTTTGTTCTTATGTTCAATTTTCTGTCTTCATTCCTGTGCCTACATGCATATGTACTGCACATTTGGCACACTGTACACACCAGCTAATTTGTCATTGTGACAGTAACATAAATATCAAAACAGTACATAAATTGTTTCTATGAAGCCAGATTGTGAAAGGGCAACCTTCTTCATCTGCGGTAGAATGTTTACAAAAACTGTTGTTGGCGCCTTGGAAATGAAGTAAATATTTTGTATGAGACTGGGATGGAACAGTTAAATAATTTTAGACACTGGGTGTTAATTTGTTTCACTTTAAATTGTATCGTGGAGGGACCCACTCTTTAAATGATCATATGGGGCCCTGGACTTCTGCCCCAAAGTTTGACCTTGAATACATCACTGAGCCTGAGCTAGGCCTCATCTGCTCCATACATTTAAAGCAGCATCATACCACTTTAAACACCCATGGCTCCCACCAAAGAATTATTGGAAGTGTAGTGCTGAGAGTTGTAAAGATAGACTCTCACTCAATGGAGGTCTTCAAGCAGAGGCTGGGCAGCCATCTTTGGGGAATGTTCTAGCTCTGGAGTTCCTCTGCCACAGCAGGTTGAACTGGATGACAAGAGTGGCTGGTCCCTATTCGGCAGAAGGCTGGGAGGCCAACAGTAGGTGGCGCCAGAGTCAGAAAGAGCCAAGAAATTCTAGTTTTGTTCCCATCCGCCTCCCTGCCAAATTCTACAGGGGTAAAACTGAGACCAAGGAGGAGGTTGACAAGCAGTATCACCCCCTGCATGGATCAGAAGGCAGCCACATGGGGACTGGCTAAGAACAGGCTGGGGTCCTAACAGAATAGGCGCCACTGCTACTCACCTGCAAAGCCATCTCCATCCCTTATGATTTTATGACTAATAAAGCATCATTGTTAAACTAAGGATGCATCAAATCAGTGATGTACTTGCACAGTCAGCTATGGGTTTCAAGTTTGCCCCCCGCCCCACACGCATTTCTCAAGGCACTTCTCATTTGCTTTTTGAAGCTCAGTTGAAAACTGATAGCATAAGTCATAACAAGTCTAAAACCATCTTGGCGAGGCCACTATTTTTAACAAAGCCAACACGCTCCTCTCTCCCATCTAAGCCTGCTCTCATAAGAACTCACGTAAGCAAGGTGGAGCAACACACAACCACTGTGGTCCAGTGATTCCTCTGATGGAAAACTAAAGCTTTCCTTGCCACAGATCACGCAGCAGGGAGCACCACTTGTGAAGATGCGAAGACACACAATTTTGCAAAGTGAGCTGAAATTTAAGCCTGGCTGGTTTCAAAACGACACCCTGAAACGATGCACAGCTCTGGGACACAGCAGCTGCAGGGTTCAGTTACTGCCACTTGCAAAATCTTGCAACTCTTTTGTAGCTGTGGAGTTGAAGCCTTAGCCTTACAGGACCATGTGAAGCACCTTTTCTGGAATTAAGAAGCTTCTTGCCTAACCACCTTATTTCCTGAACTGAGCTTCTGTGGAACAGGCAGTTGTTCCAGCTGTGACCTGGAGGTAAGAGTTCTTAAAGAACATAAAGAGCATGGTTCCAATCAATTTAACATGAGAATGACTGACAGATTTTCTTAGCTGTTGTGATTAATAAAAGAGGATAAGTATATGCACTTCCTTCTAATCAAAGGGGATACAAATGAGTTAGTATCGGATAGATCAATCATTTCCCTTTCTTGTGCAAATGATGCATGCGTTTACTGGTTCGAAATACAATTTCCCATTCACTCAGACTACTGCAAAAGGTTTTCCTTGTGTACAAATGCAACAGGGTTTAGAATTTGGGGTTTTGAAACAGTTATTGCATAGATCCTATTTAGACCATATTCTAGGGCCAAAATGTTTCTTTGAGAATACTTTCTAGGTAACACAATTGTAATTTATGAAATATTGTCTCATCTTTTTAACATGCTTCCAATATATGCCTTACTAGGATTACAGTAACAACCAACATTACGATACTCTCACCGGAAGGGGGAAAATTCACAAAGCTGATAAGGTACAATTATAATAATTCCTAGTGTAGTTGGTCTGCCTTACTGAGGAGTTAAGACACAGAATTGCATCTCCTTCCAATACAGCATAGAGTTATATTTTCCTGTCAATTCCTTGGCCACCTACAGCAATCTCTTCCTCTGATTCTTGCTATCCTGGGCAGGCAGCAAAAGTTTGCTAAAGTTCCTTTTATAATCTGCTATACATGACTGGTGGACTGCATTTAGTCAGATGGGTCACAGGCTCATAGTCAGCATTCAGTATCCTTGGGCAGCTGCCAGAGACTCAGAATCCCACAAGGGCCGCTCTTGAGCATTTTATGCCGGGTGGCAGACAGCTAGGCTACGAGCCGCCATTTTAAATTTCCCAGGGCACTGTGGGAAATAAAAATGGTGGCTTGTAGCCACTCATGACTGCTGGGCTCCAATACAGAGTGGGGCACTTAGGGCTATTTCCCAAATGCCCCTTTGAACTTAGGAATTGGCCTGCTTTTTTGCTGTGTCATCTTTAACAAGCGTTTGTGTGTGTTTTTAAAATCCTATGAAATAAAACAGCAGCAAAAAAGTTGATTTTACGATGCTGGGGTGACAATGTTTGCTGATTCTCTGCCTTAGAAGGGAAGACCTACAATTAATTAAAAGATCCACAGAGAAAGCAGCACACACACAAACTGCTGTAGAAAATAAGTGGGCCACCAGGCAATACCCAGTATTTATAATGGCTCATTAAAAACAAAAGTTACAGGACAGCACACGTTATTAATGAAGTGGGAATTAGGTGTGTGGTCAAATACTTTTTTAAAAAAAATAAAAAATCCACCTATCCTTTCAGACTTTCCTATTGGTACATTTCCTTTTCTTTCTTTCTTTTTAAAAAAGAAGCCTTGAGTTTAAACCTTGTGCTAGCACATATGGAACACAATGTTAATGATGCAGAAGAGACCATTTTTCACTGTTTCAGACTTTTACATCCATTACTCTCCTGTTTATTAAGCCCATGAGGTTCACAGTACAGAATTTATTTGCAAATCCTACTCCCCTACAACTTTTAAGCCAAAGGCATTAGGAAATAAATGGACAAAAGAAAAGAAAAGAAAAACAGGAAAGGTTATTGTTTCAAATATCTGTATATCATTTCAGCAAAAACAAACCACAAGCCAATGCTGCTGTTGGGATTTTAAAAAATAATAATAATTTTCCTTTGCAGAACATACATTTGCTATGTGAGCAATAAATCTTGTATCTGGCAGATCGTTCTGTGTGGGCTACCAACCAGTATTTCAAAATCTCAATGTATTGTAAATGTAGCTCCCAACTGTGTGCTATTCAATTTAGCTGAAACACACAAATACCCTGGATTTGCCCAGAAGTACCTGTAAACATCTGAGGTGGTGTTCTGCAAACAAAGGCAAATCATTTGGGGAAATTTCTACGCAAATCTAATTTATTTTTCTTTATAAAGATGCATTTGTAGAACACCAGCTCAGATAAATGATTAAGGTGGTGTACAGGGGGAAAGCAGGCGCAATAAAGCACAATAAACCATAAAACAATGCAAAATAATTATTAAAAATGACTATCTCTTCTTGAAAAGGCCTGCTGGCATTAAAATATATCCAAGAGAGACCTGGAAGTTAGCAGCGAGGATGCCTGAATCTCTGCTGGACAAGCGTTTCACAGCATAGTCTGGTAGGATAGCAAAGATGCCACCCGCTGTTGCTAATCTGCCCCTATTGGCAGTTTAGTGGCTGCATTCTGCACTAGCTAGTGCAAATAGACAGGGCCCAGGACAGCCCTGCGCAGAGCGCATTCCAGTGATCCAGTCTTAAGGCTAGCAATGCATGGACTAGAGTGGCCAGGCTGTGCAGATACAGCTGTAGCGGTGGCACCAGATGAAGATAGCAAAAGACGCTCCTTTCAATAGCTCTGAGGTGGGTGCAAGCGTCTTTGCTCACATTAAGAAGGCCATTGCAGGCACAAATAACCTATTTTCTCAGCATCAATGCTGAAACACATAATCCCCCCCCACTACATGTCACAATATGTGGCGCTGTGGTCGAAACCACTGAGCCCCTTGGGCTTGCCGATCAGGTCAGCGGTTCGAATCCCCGTGACGGGGCGAGCTCCCATTGCTCTGTCCCAGTTCCTGCCAACCTAGCAGTTCGAAAGCACACCAGTGCAAGTAAATAAATAGGCACTGCTGCGGTGGGAAGGTAAATGGCATTTGCCTGCGCTCTGGCTTCCGTCATGGTGTTCTGTTGCGCCAGAAGCAGTTTAGTCATGCTGGCCACATAACTCCAGAAAGCTGTCTGTGGACAAATGCTGGCAAAGTAGAGATGAGCGCCGCACCCCATAGTCGCCTTTGATTGGACTTAACCGTCATGGGGTCCTTTACCGTTTTTTACATGTCCACTGACTGGCAGCACCCACAATTTTTACCTGCCATTCTCCAGCTGGACAGTGGCGTTCTCAGAGCCTCTCTGCCCTGCAGTAACGTCCCCTTGAGCATGTGCAGAGTGCTCCAAGCAATTAACCGGGGGGGGGGCGAAATAAGCCTTCCCAGACAACGCTGGAAACCGACACCCCCTCTCTCTTTTAAAACACACCAGCATATAAAACCCGCTGCGCTGCAAGCAGAGGTGCGTTGGCAACCACGGCTGGCGACTGCAGCCCAGGGCGAGAGTCCAGAGGCGGCATGTGCTGAAGGGGCGGCACTCTCCGCCCGTGGCCGCGCGCCCCTCCGAGCAGGCCCGCCCCTCGCCTTCGCTGCGCGGGCTTTCCGCTTCCCCCTTCCGCGGGCCGCTTCCTTTTCCGCCGCGGAGCCGCCTGGCCAAAGCTCCGCTGCCGCCTGCTGCCTCCCAGCGGAGCGAGCGATGCCCGGGGCCGCGCGCTAGGAAGCCCTGGGCCCACTCCAGGTGAGGGTGGAGCGGCGCGCCCTGCTTCGCATGCGCTCCCGATGCGCGCGATGCCCCTGTCGGGTCCCAGGGGGCGATAGACTCCGGCGGGGAAGGACAAAGGCGGCCGCCGGTAAGTTGCTGGCGAGGGGCGTGACTCTCCGCTCCTTATATGGAGGGGCGGCGGAGGGAGCGTTGCTTTATAGACCTTTGCATTCTCGCATCTTTTTTTTTTTACACACACACACACACACACACACACACACACACACTCACACACACTTTAATTAAAAATAAAATCGTAGTGAGTGAGTTGGCATCGTTTGTCTCGGAGAAACAATTGTTTACCAAATCGTAGGATTTGCAATGATGTTCCCCCGCCCCCAATGTATTATAATCTAGTGTTTTCTGTGATCCAAGCTTTTTGTCGCTGGGGAAATTGAGGCTGGTCGCTAGCGACTTGCTCCAGAAGAGGAAAGTCCTGCTGTATTAACATGATAGATGTGGATCTATGATAGATGTGGATCTGTGACGGTCTTGAGCCCAGGGCAGAGTTCAGCATTGGCCTCTGGCTCACCTGGGGTCCACCACTATCAGTTGAAGGTGCAGGAATGGCATTAATGTTACTTGGTTTGGGTCATGAAAGCACCCCAGTTGGTGTGTCCAGCAGCAGAAATAGCACCAGAGCGCTTTATTTATTAGGGTTGTCAGAGATTCTGTGAGGTAAGGTACATCCTGTACTTCAGAACGCTTACGTTCCACAAGAATTTGTTTGCTTTGAAAATTTATTCCACACCTAGCTTTCGAAAAGAAACTCGATTTGGCTAACGGGTCACAACAGTTAAGATCAAAATGTTAACACCAGAAACTTAAACAATAATACAGATTCCAAAACAGCCCAGGGAAATTAAAACATTGGGTATAAACCAACTGAAGGAGAAACCATCAGCCTTTTCAAACAATTGTGCTTAATGGATCCCCCCATTTCTCAAGAGTCCCATTGAGAACTTAAGTGTAGAAATAATATTGCAAAAATGCTTTGTGTGTACCATTCCCTCAAGTTTTCCTGGGCATGGCAGCAAGCAAGCCAACAAAAAACTGTTGGTGGCCCTTTAATTGGACTGAGTATGACATGCCACTAGGTAAGGGTTGCACCCCTCCTGTGATGACTTTCCTTTGATTTCTCACTTCTGGCATTAATACCAGGAGAGTGTGGAGACCAGGAGCTGCCATAGCCAACAACAGTGGTGCCCCGCAAGACGAATGCCTCGCAAGACGAAAAACTCGCTAGACGAAAGGGTTTTTCGTTTTTTGAGCTGCTTCGCAAGACGATTTTCCCTATGGGCTTGCTTCGCAAGACGGAAACGTCTTGCAAGTTTCTTTCCTTTTTCTTAACACCATTAATACAGTTGCGACTTGACTTCGAGGAGCAACTCATAGAACGCAGTGTGGTAGCCTTTTTTGAGGTTTTTAAAGACTGGTGATTTTTGAAGCTTTTCCAAAACCTTCCTGCCACCGTGCTTCGCAAGACGACAAAACTCGCGGAACGAATTAATTTCGTCTTGCGAGGCACCACTGAACTGGGTTTTCTCTAATGCTCTGGGCAGGAGGAAGTGAAGATAAGGTGGCTATATGGAAGAGAGGAAAAACAGCAGGAACTGTGACTGGACCAGAGTAGCCAACTACTTTACTGGGGAAAATGTTATCAAAGCTGTCTCTTTAAACCATAAACGAATGCCCTTAGATAAATAGAGGAGCTATCCTAATGGAGAGAAAGCACATGGAGCAACATGTTTTTGCATATACTTTGCTGTGCCAGCTCCATGGATTGGGCTCTTTCTTAGGAACTGGACCAGCTTTGGATCCAGTGGGCCCATCCCTGCCCTCCACTCCTGAAATGCATCATTTGGGGGCCTTACACTAGCTGCCGCTGGTGAGACCACTACTGCTAGTAGCAGGTGCTGTGCTTTCAGCAGGTGCCTCCACAGCAGCAGAGCCCATTGGAGGGACATCTCTGCCAAATCCTAACCCACACTAGCACCATGGATTGCGGATTAGGATAGTTCTGTAAGTGAATTGCATCTGGTTGATAAGTAGGTGTTTCGCACCCAAGGGGCAGCACGGGGATTGATTCTCACAGACATGCTCGTATCTCTGGTGTTAGGCAGTTATGGAACTGGCTTAGTGATCAGCTTACGAACCAGGGTTCCTGGATATCTGCAGGCTATGCATTTTATTTAATTAGTACACTTATATGCTTCCTTTGGGGGGGGGGGGGAGTTCTGTGCAGCTTCCAGGCTTCCCATTCAGGCAGTGTCCCATCCAGCCAATGAGCAGGCTGAGAGAGCTACAGCGTAACAGCATTATGTACCCTGAGTCCATTCTCTAAAGGCCACCTGTGCACAAAGTTGGGTGAATCTGGTGAAATGTGTTGCCACCCTTTGGATACACAGAGAAATGAAAGAGTGCCAATTGACTTTTCTTCTCAAAGGCATCACAGAATCATAGAATAGAATCATAGAATCATAGAGTTGGAAGAGACCACAAGGGCCATCGAGTCCAACCCCCTGCCAAGCAGGAAACACCATCAGAGCACTCCTGACATATGGTTGTCAAGCCTCTGCTTAAAGACCTCCAAAGAAGGAGACTCCACCACACTCCTTGGCAGCAAATTCCACTGTCGAACAGCTCTTACTGTCAGGAAGTTCTTCCTAATGTTTAGGTGGAATCTTCTTTCTTGTAGTTTGGATCCATTGCTCCGTGTCCGCTTCTCTGGAGCAGCAGAAAACAACCTTTCTCCCTCCTCTATGTGACATCCTTTTATATATTTGAACAATCGTGGAATGGCTCCCTCTTATTGCCTTTGACTCTTTCTCTCTCGTTTCTTTTTCTCTCGACTGGTCTCCATCTCACCCTTGCCGGAAAGGACTCCTGAGCTGGAAGAGCCAACATGAAAGGTGAAGAAACTCGGCAGCGGAGAAAGGAAGGCAGAACTCGCAATGGAGAGCGGTCCAGGCACAAAGCAAAGGGCAAGGGTAAACACAAAGAGAGCAAACTTGGCAGCCAGGGGACAGAGGATGGCTCTTTGCTGCTGCCTCAGAAGCAGCCTGCTGAAGCAAAAGTGGCAATGGCAAAGCTTCAGGAGGAGTCTGCCATCGTGATTGGCCTGCAGGTGCTCCTGCCGTACATGATGGCGGGCATGGGCATGGTTCTTGCAGGGATGGTCTTGGATTACGTTCAGGTAGGAAGAACAGAACGTTCTGTGCATTTGCTTCTTTGTGTTCTGTGACTAGAGGGCAGGATCTGTGATGTTTCTCTGCTAGCTGTCAACAGCCCAGGGCAGTTAAAACTCAAGATCTCATATTGTTTGGGGTAGCTAATTCACACCCACCTCGTTGTCCATAGTTGCAAAATCCCTTTGCCTGTATTTACTTCAAGACTAAGGCTGAATTTCTGCAAACACTTTATATGGGATGTTATGTAAGTCCTGCAAGTCTGCTGAACTTAGTAAATATGCATGGAGTAGGGGTGTACTGGTATTTTTCTTGGGTGCCTAAGTTCCTTAGTTGATTCAAGAATTAGAACACTGTGTCACTGTGTCCCTTCCTGGCCCAGGGCTGTTTAGAGATGGCTTCTGTATATAACATCTACAGATTCTGCTGTTCTCTATTCCTATCTCTGCTAGCTGCTAATGTTACGTATTTATTGCTTTAATCTTGCTTTGTGTACTGTCTTAAGTGCAATAGCTGTAGATAATGTCTGAAATAAATAGTCTTAAACACAAACTCTTATTTATTTATTTCATTATTTTAAAAATTTATACACTGCTTGATTGTAAACAACAATAAAGCGTTTTGCAAAAGGATGAAACAATAAAACCAAGAAAAAAAATTACAGTCCTAAACTCAGAGGTTTGTCCTATTGCTATCAATTAGATGTGTCTACATTGGATTAAAGTCTTAAACAAACAAGGTTTTAAAAGTATTAAATCAAGTATTGATTTTTTTTTTAACTAGAGACAGGTGACTCAACCCTCTGCTTTATTTTTATATTAATGTTTTCTGTATATTCTATAAGTTAAAACTAGAATTTGAATAAGTACTTCCTAATGGGTGCTTTTTTAAGGACTGCAATCCTTTTCTCTCACTACCTGATTTATTTAACTAGCAAGGCACCAGGTCATGCTGCCCCTTATCTATCAGATAGGAGGATTACACTGAGACAACAGGGGGCGGGGCGGAGAACCTTTCCTGCATGTCCTGACCACTTTAACAGAGCTGAAGTTAATATTTCTCCTGGATATTTAGCAAATCAGAAAGGTCCCATAAGGTTAGAGGTCCCACCTATTTCAAATTGACGCTGTGTTCCAGAACTCATTTTATTGTACTAGGTAATAAAGGACATACTGTACACGCTATTGAGAATCCCTGTATAAACAGACACCTTATTATTGTTTTTAATATGTACCCTTTTAAGACGGTTAAATCGCTACAGTCAAACCTCGGCTGTCGAGCGGAATCCGTTCCGGAATCCCTTTTGGCTTCCGAAATGTTTGACAGATTCTGATTGGTTGCAGGAGCTTCCGGCACTGTTCAGCTTTTGAAAAACGTTCAAAAACCTGAGCATTTACTTCCAGGTTTTCAGTATCCGGGAGCCAAAACGTTCCAAAATGGAGGCATTTGGTAGCCGAGGTTTGACTGTATTAATTATTTTTATTCATTTTTATTGGATTTTAATAGCAACAGTGCAAACAAATAAAAAATCAAGATTCACCATTCAAAGGAAGGACATGTTATCCTCATCCAATAAAGAGAATCGTGACACTGGGAATGGGGATCCTCTGGCCCTAATCCAGCGCACCAGGCCTCACAATCTGGGCCCCAGGCCATGACGCTGAAGAGAAGAAAGGGTCTAGTTTTCATTCCCATTGTGGCATGGCTCTAAACCCAGGACACAAAGCTTTCCATTGAGGTAATGCCTGAAAAAGGTTCTCTATGTCTGTTCTGTTGTATATCCATTGCGTCTATCAAGGTCCTCTTGATTTAGCTGTGGGGAAGTTCAGTCAACTTTGCCTATCTCTCTTTTACTTCCTAATTGACAATAACTGTGAAGTGCTTTGGAAGTCTAGAATCATAGAATCGTAGAGTTGGATCCTGTAGCCCAGCCCCCTGGAATACAGGAATCTCAACTGAAGCATCCATGGCAGATGGCCATCCAACCTCTGCTTAAAAACCTCCAAGGAAAGAGAGTCCACAACCTCCCGAGGGAGACTGTTCCACAATGTGCAGCAGAAGTGCAGTAGAAATGCCACATGTTGGATTTTTACCGACGTTTATGCTCTTAAATATGTTGTTGAAGTCACTTGGGTGCCTTTCTGTATAACAAGCAACTAACGAGGTCAATAGATAATTATTAATATAAAAAATGAGTATTGGAGACCAACAACTAGATCTGTTTGTCTAGTTAGCTAGCTATCTTTGTTTGAAAGCACTTCATCCTTGACTGGCTGACTTGGATTGTTATTTTGGTTTTGATGGCATTTCTTATTTATTTGTGTGGTGTGTAGGTGTCTTGTTTATCTCTTTAGTGCTTCGAGGTGCAGGGCACCATACGGGAGTCTTATAATGAAAAGAAAACTCCTGTTCCCAAGTGTGCACAGATACGTAAGCTTATTTATTTCTGTGCTGACAGAGGCATTCCTCTTGGCTGGAGACACCTTAACTGTGTAATAAAGGAAGAAAGAAATTGTACACTCTCAGGTCTCCTGAGCTAACTGGCACTTTCTGAATATTGATTTGTTGCCTGTAGGCTTTTTTATGGTGCTTGCTTAATAATGGACGGATATGGAGAGCAATAAACTCATTCACCCAAGACTGTTGAACCTTACTGAAGGCCATGCTTGCTACCACATCCCAGTAGGAACTGGAACTGCTCCCTGTGCCATGGAATTGCTGTGTGTGAGAGGGAAAGCAGCAGAGAGAGCAGGTGATGGGAAATGGCAGAGATCGAACTGAACGCAATTTTGGAGCCCCATCACCTCTGTGGGAAATGGGCTACAAGGAGTCCCTGCTCTTTTAACTCTCAGCATGGGTTGTAAGATTTAGCATGAAGGCTGGGGGAAATTGGTTGATAAAGTAAATGAGTGGCAGTGAGGTTTGGGAGCTGGAGTCACCACCCTGCCATTTTGGAGATGTTTCTGTGACATGGCCTGCCTTTAATATGTTTTCATGTATGTGTATTTTGTACATACAGCAAGGCAAGTGGCTACTAAGGAGAAGGGCTGGCTTTGGTGGCACCCTGGCTGTAGAATTGCCCCTTCCCCTCACAAAAGGCCTGCCTGGTGTCCTTTTTATGGTGCCAAAAAGCTATTTTCCCCCACCTTTTTTTAAAAAAAGTTGTTTTAAATAAGCCTCTCACACCATTTCATAGAATTGTAGAGTTGGGATTTGAGAGAAATAATCTCTCTCTCTCTCTCTCTCTCTCTCTCTCTCTCTCTGTGTGTGTGTGTGTGTGTTTTAATCTAATTGTTTTATTCTGTTTCCACTAGAAAGATTTTTTTCATTGTTTTCTAAGTACAATCGTACCTCAGAAGTTGAACGGAATCCATTCTGGAAGTCCGTTTGACTTCCAAAACATTTGGAAACCAAAGCGTGGCTTCCAATCGGAAGCCGCAGAAGCCCCGTCAGATGTTCGACTTCCAAAAATAGTTCGCAAACAAAAGATAGTCACTTCTGGGTTTGCGGCGTTCAGGAGCCAAAACCTTCGAGAACTAAACTGTTTGTAAACCAAGGTATGCCTGTATTGCGTATTGTATTGTTAATACTTTAATTTGTTTTGACTTTTGGGCATCCGAACTGTGTCAAGAGTGTTTGCTGGTGGGCAGCCATACTTAATCAGGGAATCTCGTTCTGACCCTGTCCGTTGGCCAGAGAGACCTAAGGACAGTGTGCACCCCCTGCCTCCCAGAAAGAAAAGATTATGTGAAGGGGGAGACCAGTGTGAACCTCCCCCGCCCCCAGCAGTCAGCTGGAGGAGAAGCAGCTCTGGGGAGTTTGCTTTCCACCCCCTCCCTTCCAGAGAGAATACTCAGCTCAAACTGCCAGTTGTTTTCAGACTCTGAAGGGAAACACCGTGATTAAGGGGATCTGGGTGTGGGTAGTAGGTGTGAAGGGGAATCTGAAGCACCCCTCCATGCTGCCATTTCTGGAAGGCAACAAGGGACGTGAATATTGTTTTTCTGAAAGTGATGCTGTTCCATAGGAACAGGAAGCCTGAAGAGGTTTTATTTCCTCTTCCTGTGCAGCAAGGTAATGTCTAAGGACCATTCAGCTGATACTAGATGCAGATGTGCTAGGTTTAAGCCAGGCATGTGTCTAACTGAGTAGATGCCTATTCCCCGTGGTGAGGAAAGCATGTAAAAAGATTAGTGGCAAGGCAGATATTATCACTGAAAACTTTAAAAAACAACAACAAAAAACCACCCAGCTTTTGTCAGAAAGGCTTCCTTATTCAGTCCTCATGATCAACCCACTTTTAGTAATCAGAGTGAAATCTGCAGGGATGCTTGCAGAGATAAAGTGGGCGTTAGAGTTGTGTAGCACCATTTGAAGGAAAGGCTGCTTTGCGAGGATCTGTGGTACCAAAAAGTGGCACAGAACAGAACAAAAAATAAATAACAGAACAGAACAAAAATCAGGTAAGTTTGTTACCTGAAACGTCTAGTCCTCCAAATGCCTGCAAAACTTCCATTAAAAGAAAACATGACCCTCCACATCTTTAATTTGGGGGTGCTATCGCTTTTTAGAAAATTATTTAAACATTCAGATTTCTATCCATTTTTTATTATATCCCTTTTGATCCAAAACTAGACTCAAGGTGGCGCTGAATGACAAAAACTACACCACAAACTATTTGCCATCCAATTAATGACAGCCCCCTTCTGGTCTCACTCATAATCAAGAATGTGTACTGAGATTTTCTTCTTAAAGAATTGATCAAAGGGGATGACAACATATCTCAGACAGAAACTTCCCACATCTAAATTCCCACACAGTTGACAAAATTTGAACCACCTGGGCCAGAACTTTCCCACCCGGATTCCACGAAGGGGTTGGGCTGATAGAGCCCCACGGATCATTTTTACACTAGTGTGTGCCAAATGCCCTTTCTCTCAAGCCACCACGGACTGTGTCACTTTTTTCCTTCTTCTTTCGTCTTTTTTAAGCTATGCATAACAGTGCCTTGCAGACTTTTAGGACAGGAAGTAAAAACAAACAAACAAACAAACCACATAGAACCAACCCCCCTGGAAACTTTTCCACTGACTAACAAGACTAAAGAACTACCTTAAATAAAACTTGTGCACAGACTCTTATCACAGGCCTTTGCATAGTAGCTGAAGGCTGAAGTGATGACAGCAGATAAGGGTGTTAGCCTTTGAAGCTCATTGGTTTTTGCTGTGGAATTTTTTTTCTTCTTCTGAAAGTCAGTCTTTTAGAGACAAGCAACCACATATTTCCTGAACTTTTACACCCTTAGCAAAGCTTGGGGAAACAGAGAGAAGAAAAGGGAGCAGAGGGACAAGAGTGCCTTTCCACTTGGTACATCTCCTAAGCTATTCCTCTTGACCTCTTCAGTGGGACCAGCCTCCTATCCCTGATGACCTTTCTTCACCTTGAGGAAACAAGAGGGAAAACAAGAGAAAACTGAAGAGTTCATTACCCTCCGCCTCCTTGACTCGGGACGGCAAGCAAGTATAGTTCAGTGTCAACACATGATGAGCTGGAAGCAGTTGTGACCGTTTCAACAGCACAGGATTACATTTTCAACCATCGTATTTGTAACTTGAGGAGAAAGGACACCAGTGACTGAAATATTCAAGAGGGATCTGTGCACAGTCTGTTACGCTTCATGCTGGTGGAACTCAGTGCCATAGCTTAAGCCGGTCTTTCTGGTTTCCATCCAGGTTGCTGAAGTCACCGAAGAAGTGGTTTTGTATGTATTTATCCGTAAACATCTTAACAATCAAATTCCTTCCTCTGGATTCTGTTTCCTTTCTGGAGTATAATGTAAAGAAGGAGCTGCCTTGAAGCGTTAATGAAAGCTGCATTTATCTAAGACAAATGGAATTTAGAAAGTAGCCTTGTGGTTCTTTGGTGGAAGAGAGAAGACTGCAAACAGAAGACACGTGGTGGCAGAACCCTGACTTAAAAAGTGCCTTAGGCTCTGGAATGTACAACTGAAAGTGAGGACCACCTCCATATCCTGGATTTCCTCCAGCCCACCTGCTTCTTGAGTATGCGTTAATGGCGCTCAGTCATGGTGGTCACGCAGCTGAAATTGGAGCTGTGCTTCCATGGGAAAAAACTCAGAGGTTTCACCTGCAGGTACATCAGATCAGTCAGTGGATTCCTTCCAGAAACATCGTTCACCATAGCATCACAGATTTTTGTGCCATTCATCCTTTCAGGTTTCGGCCTGTTATTTGCTGGATTGTTGATCGATACTGTTCAAGTATGTATGGGCTTTCAAGTACGTTAGTAACACCATTGGTAAATGTTGCCTGGGTGACTTTGAGCATCACTTTTTAAATTGTGGGTACCTAGGAACTACAAGCAGTGTTGTGTGCTTCCTTGTCTGTGGGGAAAGTGCCTTCCATGGGCACGCTAGGGTCACAAAGAGGTATTTCAGAGGAAAGCTCTCGTTCATTTTCAAGGCACATGACTTTATCTAACTGTCCGGGAGCACAGCTACTAGGATGAGTTGTATAATACTAATGAGAGAGGGGCCAACAGGGAATCCTGGGGAGCATATAAATGTTTGGGAAATCCCTCTCTAGGCAAGCTTCAGACTACTGAGCTCTGGAGTTCAGTGCTAGGTGAACAGGATGCTGCTCATTTTGCTCTGAACCTGAGTGGTACAGCATAGGGGAGGGGATCATTTTCACTTCTCCTTTCCACATAGTGAAATTTGACTGGGGGTGCAACCCTTGACCCTTATTTCATTCCTACTGTGAGTGGCTCAGACAGGCCAATTCCATCTCTCTTCCCCTCCCCTTTCCTCTCTCTTTCAACTGACACTCGTTTGAACTCAACATTCCATGATACCTGTCCTCCTGAGTCTGTTTTTGTGGGAGGACGTGGTGACCTTTTTTCTGTTTGTAATTCCCAAATTAATGTTTTTCTTCAATATCTGGGAAGTCGGCTGAGTATGCAACAACTCTTGCCTTGTCTGTGGGTGGTTCATTTCACTGTTCCATTGAGTCCCATGGCCATCCCTCATGCGTGTGACTTTGCTTACACCAGGAGAGAGTCATTTGCAGCTTAACCCTGTGCACAAGTCTTTGGGGATAAGCCCCACATGCTGTTGATAGAATCATGCTGTTGATCTTTGTAACATGTGTCACTATTATATTATATTAGCCCAAATTCATTCATTCATTCATCCTCTCTCTCTCCCCTCCTTTCCTCTCCCTGTCATTTTTGATCCTGGTAGAAATGTCACCAGTACTCTTGCTGCCTCCCCTGAGCATCAGCTGATATACGGGGGCGGGGGGGGGGGAGAGAGAGACGGCCAGTTCATGCACGACATATAAGGAATGGAAATCAAACATGCACCATTAGATCTCTGGCAGCACTGACCTTGCCACTTTTCCTGCCATGTTTTTCTTTGTCACCCTCAGGGACAAATTGCACACGATGCTTAATGAGTAGCATGATTGATTACAGGTGGAGTGAGGGAAATTCCTACCATAAATGCAGTTTATGGTATGGAGAGACTTATTTCTTCATTCTCCAGCCACAAGTGGTACAGACGTTCTGCCCTCCCCATTTGGCCAGAAGCCTGGGAGAGAGAGCATTCCCACCAATGCCAATTGACACCCCCCCCACACACCTATCCCTGCAGTTATTGTTGTGATTGTGATTGGGGAGAGAAAGAGTCATGATGCCGATAATTTAATTAACGAAACTCCAGGATATAGCTGTATGCTACACATTAGGCGTCATTTTGAACACTTAGAATCAGATGCCACAAAGACAATATTGCACTGATGAGCTCCATGTTAATTGATAGCCGTGTCATGTAGGATTTTCAGCCATGTGGACCACATAATGTAAGAGCTCAGCTGACTGTACTGGATACAGACGATAAGGACAGATCCCAACCTCGTCATAACTGAGCAGAAAGTAATAAAATCATTAACTGACACTACTCACTCTGTGTACACTGTCTGCTTTGTAAAAGAGCAGCCCCTGTGCAGCTCAGCAGTGTCATGAGGAAAGCAAAATTAAGAGGTGCGGACAAGGGAGGAATGAGTAACTCTTGGCTCCAGTTTGAGATGAATGCAGAGGTCACTGAGCCAGCCTATACCCTTGATGGTGCTATTGTAATTTCGGAATACTTGCATTCATTTTTGAGGGTTTTTAAAATTTGCGCTGAAGGTTGGATTTGATGTAATAAAAACAAAAACAAAAAACCCTTAAGGCTGTGAGTCACACATAATGATTCACGAAAGAATAACCGTATTCTAAAGGGGAAGGGGAAGGAATTAGAAATTGGGGGTTATTTGATTTCTCTGTTACTGCCTGTAATTACCACAGGTGTTGTCTTTTTAACGTGCACAGAAGATGGTTAGGATATCATGCCTCCATGTTTAGGCTGCTTTTGTTGTCACCAGAGTGTTTGCTGTTGGGTCTACACACCCCTTTCCAATCAAGTCTGGAAGATTAGCAAGCTAATTTCCAGAGTTACTTTTCTCATCTAATCCATTTTTTTTTATCCCATATACCATGATCCAAGATGTTAAAGCTACTAATCACTACTAATGCAACTTACACTGTGTTTTTTCCTACTATGCATCTTTCTTTCATATTGCACAGCTTTGTAACGACACTTTGTTCCTCAGTCTCCCCCCCCCCCCATATTCTGTTCCTTTCAGCATTTCTGGTACAGTGGTACCTCGGCATAAGAACTTAATTAGTTCTGGAGGTCCGTTCTTAACCTGAAACTGTTCTTAACCTGAGGTACCACTTTAGCTAATGGGGCTTCCCGCCGCCACCGCGCATTTTCTGTTCTCATCCTGAAGCAAAGTTCTTAACCCGAGGTACTAGTTCTGAAGCGTCTGTAACCTGAAGCGTCTGTAACCCGAGGTACCACTGTACTCATGTAAATGCATAGCTTAGTAGCTGAAACCCATAGTAATCAATCCATATCTAATGATGCTTGGCAAGTTTGGATTGCCTGTCCTTGCAGAAGAATAGTGGGGAGAGTCATTCCACCATCTGCTGTCTCAAAGTCCTGAAGATTAGGGTTGTTTATGACTAGTTCAGGGGAGTATCTTCAGCAGCAGAACATCATACAAATGCACTAGCTTTGCCACATTCCCCCCCCCCCCGATATGGAACTCTTAAGAAGCTACTGGCCTAGATGACTCAGGGAGGCTTTTGCTGCTCTCTTGGTGAGCATCCTTCAATAGGCTGAGGAGAAGAGTGAGGGTTTGTTCCGTTGGAGAGGAGTGAAAGAGGAGGAAGGTCTATGAGCAGGGGCTGGGGAGAATCAAGGGAGAAAGGTGGGTTACAGGAAGGGAAATTTGGTGGGGAGGTAAGTAGGCAGGTGGTAGATTGAGGGGAGGAATGTAGGCAATTTGGGAGGAGATAGATAAATTTGCATGGAGAAGGTGGCAACTGAGGAAAGGAAGGAATGGAGTAGCTTCAAAGAGGAAGAGATAAGCAAAAGACTGGAAGGGTAGAAAATATGCTTCTTCATTTGCTGCTGCTCCAGCCTCCTGGAATTCCTTGCAGGCAGGTTCCTACTTGTTAATCTATAATTCAAGCTCTCCTTTGTTCAAACTTATCTTTTCATCTAAGAGCACCTTCTTTGGGTCACATTCCTCCAAGGGCCATTTTCTAGCTCCTTATATACAACTGCTGTTAACAATGAACTGGTTCTTTTTCTTTTTCTTCACCTCATTCCTTTTCCAAGGCCCACTGAGCCTCTGTGGTAATTTCCAGCTGATTTTGCTGGAAATTACCACAGCACAGCACCATTACCACTGGTCTTCGTCATTAGGTTTATCAGCTGGTATTAAATACCGATGTGTGGCTCTATTTTCACTTGAACTGTCTCCTGCCATGAAGAAGAGTTTGAATTTGATATCCCGCTTTATCACTACCCGAAGGAGTCTCAAAGCGGCTAACATTCTCCTTTCCCTTCCTCCCCCACAACAAACAGGTGAGGTGAGTGGGGCTGAGAGACTTCAGAGAAGTGTGACTAGCCCAAGGTCACCCAGCAGCTGCATGTGGAGGAGCAGAGACGCGAACCCGGTTCCCCAGATTACGAGTCTATCACTCTTAACCACTACACCACACTGGCTCTCACCGTGTTGTCTCTCCTGTTCCCACACCCTGGAATGAAGGCATATGGACATACATGTCATTAATGGAGAATCTCTGCCCCTCTAGAAGTTGGACTACAACAGTCAGGGATAGTCAGGGAGAGTAATATATACAATCAGACCTTTGGTTCATTGAACCCAGGGCTTTCTGCTCTGACTGACCGGCAAAGGATCCAGGAACAAAAAGTTGAGGTCACGGTTGCTCCTTACAGCAAGTGAAGGAACCTGCCACCCTTAATGACTTTGTTTAAACGATCTCGTCACAAAATGGTATGGGAAGGAGGAGTAAGTAATTCACTGGCATTATCCAATAGGTTCCCATGGCAGAAACATAACATTATTCCATGATGCAGAGCTCTATATGACTACTAATCTTGCATATACCTATGCCAACAAGCAGGTGGTCACATAAAAGAGGTTGCCTCAATTTTTGTTATATATATTGTTTATGGTGGCTGATATTACTAGTTGGTTTCACTACTTTTTTGGGCAGGGAGAACAGAATCATTTAGTCCTTTGGCGAGCAATTTCAAAGATTTCATTGCCTCGGGATCTCTCTTAGCTAGTGTTGCATCACCATGTTGCCAAGTACAATGTGTGGAAATTGTGCATCCGTGTTTGTGACTAAAGAAGACTGTGGTTGGTATAGCGGTGGATTAACATCCTCTCCTCTCCCTTTCTCTCAGCACTGGACTGTGTTCAAGACTATCACAGAAATATTTATCCTGATTCCAGCCCTTGTCGGATTGAAGGGCAACCTTGAAATGACCTTGGCATCTAGACTTTCTACTGCTGTAAGTGTCAACTTTGGTGTTGTTTTACTTTTTAATATGCAGAGATGTGTTCATGACTTTTATTTCACAAGGACAGTTTGGAGGTGTAATCAAAGAAGTCTCCTTAGCTGCCCATCCATGAACATCGATTGCCAGTGGTGTTGCTACAGGGTATCCCAGAGACCTGAGCTCCAGATCTTTAACATTCCAGATCTTTAGATCTCCTGCCTGTTCCTCTCCTTTTTTAGTTTTCAAACTTTGCTTACAGGGTACTTCTAACTGGCTGATTAAATCTGATTAAAAGTAAGCGTTGATTTGCTGCAGCTAACACCAACATGCTGCGTGCCTCTTATACCAGAAACAATTAAAATAAGCCACCTTATAACTTATTCATTGCATTTGTCCGTTTAGCTCATTATTGTCTACATGAGGGGTAGGGAACCTCATCCTGAGGTCCACATTTTTGTGGCCAGTCTTCTGGAGGCAGATGGTCAACGGTGGACATGGCTAAGAGAAAATTGGCCTCCCCCCCCCCCAATGCACACAGACACACATATCACCACACAACAAAGCAGGGGCATGGATATTGTCAGGAGAAAAAGATGCCGTAGTCTCCCTGCCCCACCTCCTTGCTCAGCAGTGGCAAAGCGTGGGCTGCACCTTTGAGAAAGTGCTGCTTTGAGGTACTTCAGCAGTATTGAGGCAGCAGCTCATAGTGAAGATAGATTCCCTTGCCTGTTGGGAAAGGCAAGAGATGATGGAGGTGGAGACTTCCGACAGAGCAACCTCCCCTTCTCCTTTCAAGGTGCTGCAGCCACTTTTCTCTCTGTTCATGATGGAACCGCTGCTTCCAGGTCACTGGTGCGACCAAGAAACAAGGCAGGAGCAGACTTAATTCTCAATGTAAACCAATCAGCTGAGCAATGAGGAAAAGGCAGCCGGGCTTTCTAGGGCTTAGTGGGCCCTGTTTCACATGTGAAACAGATAATCCCAAAAAATTGTGTTGGGTAGGGAGATTGGCCGTGATAAAAATGAATATCATTGCCTAGTCAGTGGCAACCTGTTGTTCCATGCACACACAAACCAACTATTAAATATTGTTGTTGTTGTTTAGTTGTTTAGTCGTGTCCAACTCTTCGTGACTCCATGGACCAGAGCACGCCAGGCACTCCTGTCTTCCACTGCCTCCCACAGTTTGGTCAAACACATGCTGGTAGCTTTGAGAATACTGTCCAGCCATCTCATCCTCTGTCGTCTCCTTCTCCTTGTACCATCAATCTTTCCCAACATCAGGGTCTTTTCCAGGGAGTCTTCTCTTCTCATGAGGTGGCCAAAGTATTGGAGCCTCAGCTTCAGGATCTGTCCTTCCAGTGAGCACTCAGGGCTGATTTCCTTCAGAATGGATAGGTTGGATCTTTTTGCAGTCCATGGGACTCTCAAGAGTCTCCTTTTGCTGAGGAACAAACCATTAGGTGCTAATGGCAAACCATCCCACAATCTAATACAGTGGAACCTTGGTTTTCGAACGTAATCTGTTCCGGAAGTCTGTTCGACTTCTGAAACTTTCAAAAAACAAAAATCAAAGGGTTGTTGGCAAAGCGAATGGTGAAAATGGAAAAATGCACTGCAGAAGCCTCTCTTGATAGATTTATTGCTTTATTGTTTGGCGCCCAGCCACGCTTCCCCTGCGAGTCTCTGAAGCTTCTGCTTACGCAGTGTGGCTTTGGAGCGGTCGTAAAGCAATTAGCAGAATTACACAGCAGTCGTGTGTCGAAAGGGCAGTAAATAAGTCCAGACGTTTCTTCTATCCTAATATCTCTTTATTGGAAACATATAGCGTATTTACAATCTCCAACAGCCATCCGTGTTAAGCTGCATCTTCTCTCTCTCCTTGCAGCGTCTGTACTGAATGCTTTCGATTTCCCCTCAGTACACAACATTCCAAGCTGCTTTCCTCACGTCCTGGCTTACTTCCCTTGTAAGCCCGTCCCTTCAGGCTCGAGGCATAGAAGGTTAACCCTTCACTACACCCAACAACTTCTGAGGCGCATTCAAAAAAGGAAACATTCACTTCTGGGTTTTCGGCGTTCGGCTTCTGCAACGTTCGGCAGCCGAGACATCTGAAAACTGAGGTTCCATTGTAATACATTCCAATCTGCCTTCTAGATAGTTTCGGTTTTAACTCAGCATAATGCTGCAGCTGTATTTCATGCCCAGGGTTTTGGTTTGCAGAGTGGGCTGAGGAATTAACTCCTAGGAACCAGCGATCATTTTTTGTGTGAGCCCAGGCTGGGATAGAAAAATGCCCACATTAAAATATTAGGTACCATAGGAAGCCAGGTTTGATATCATTCTAGACCTGGTCATGCCTGATCCTAGGCATATTTTTTATTATTGAGTGAATGAAAAATAAAATGTATGTATACATTTGTCAGTACATGAACAAGTACTTAGTTATGTGTTAAGTTTTATTTACTTATTTAGTCATGACTGGCATACACATGCATTCTATATATATATATATATATATATATAGGTTTTCAAATACAAAACAAAATCATACACTCCATACATCTTAGTTACATCTTATTTCTCTTTTTTGACTTCCCTCAATTTGTCTGCACATCCTTCATATTTTTACTTTTGCCACATTTCTACCTTATTATTTATATTATTACAGTAAATTCCATCCTATTTTTTAATAATTGTTTTAACATTTTCCCATCACAGAGCTTCATTAAAACTTACAAACGTTATCTGATTATCACATAGTTTTTGCAAATGTTCAATAAATTTTTCCCAATCTTCTGTAAATCTTTGATCTCGTCAATTTCGGATCCTTCCTGTCATTCTGCATAGTCCATCATTTTCATTCTCCATTCTTCTATCGTAGGTAGCTCCTCCTGTTTCCATTTCTGGGCCATCAGTATTCTTGCTGCTGTCACTGCATATAAGAATAACTTCTTTTCTTTCTTGTTTATCTCATTACCTGTAATGCCTAGTAAAAAAGCTTCTGGTTTCTTAACAAATGTATATTTCAACATTTTCTTCAATTCATTATATACCGTTTCCCAAAAGCTTTTTACCTTCTTACATTCCCACCACATATGATAAAATGTACCTTCTTTTTCTTTACATTTCCAACATTTATTACTTGTCTTATACATCTTTGCTAGTTTCACCGGTGTTACATACCATCGATACATCATTTTCATCACATTTTCTTTTATAGTTGTACATGCAGTAAATTTTAGACCTTCTTCCCATAGTTTTTCCCAATCCTCCATTTGTATATTATATCCTAAATCTTTGGCCCAATCAATCATAACAGATTTTACCTCTTCATCCTTCGTACACCATTCTAATAATATCTTGTACATTTTTGCTAGAACTTTAAAGTCATTATTCAATATTTCTATCTGAAATTTTGATTCTTTATCGGCAAAACCCCTTTGAGTCAAATCTTTTTTAAACATTTCACTAATTTGAAAGAAATGCAGCCAGTCATTAACATATTCCTTAATTTCTTCAAATGGTCTCATTTTCCATTTACCTTCTCTTTTAATTATTAACTTCTCATATGTCGCCCATCCCCCCTTCATATTGATTTTCTTCACACTCATCGCCTCCAACGGCGATAACCAATAAGGAGTTTTTTGTTCCAACAAGTTTTTATATCTTTCCCACACTTCACACATGCATTCATTTTGACAGGATTTTATTACTGTGGGAGTTTTTGTTGCTGCAAGATGGAGTTACATAGGTTGCCTGTAAAGATAAATTCATCGGAGGATATGGACTACATAAGTCTTCAGTCTTGCCTAGGAGAGTTCTTTCCCAACTTTCCAACTTTTGTAAATTCTCTCTCTCTCTGCCTCTCTTTTTCTCTTTCTCTCATTCAAAACACACGCGATTTTTAAAGTTTTTAATCCCTGGACAGAACAGATTTTTTTAAAAAAGCTTTTTCCTTCTTTCATGCTTTGGTCACTAGTGTGGAATCTGCACAACCTGCAGCTGTACCTGCACACTGGGTGCACCCAGTCTGAGCCACCGTCCTTGACAATCTGGTGCCACATTGTGTGCTCAGATCCTGTTTGCATGGCTAATGGGAAGAAAAGAAAACCCGTGCCCTGCAGGGGCCAATGCGGAATGCCCTGATACATATGGAAAGGGCGGAAACAGAAATGACTGCGACCACAGTGCTCCCAAAGTCTGGGTGTAGCCTCCTACACCCAGACTTTGTGTGAGCCCAGGCTGGTATTCTCCCCCACCTTGTCTGTCAGCAAGTAACATTTAAGTTTTCCCTCTTCTGCCTTCCAGGCTAATACTGGAAGAATGGATGATACTCAGGCACAGTGGAAAATGGCTACTTGCAATTTGGCTCTGATTCAGGTAAGTAGATCTAAACTTTTGCTTGAGACCTCTTTATAGTATTAGCCAAACTACACACCCTGCGGACATTCTCACGGGTGCGTGGAGTGGTGTGAGCAGCAAGGCAAGGCTTAGGGTATCTGCTCATTGTGTGCTTTCAAAACTGTGCTTTACAATCAGTGGAGGAGGCCTCGTTTTTCTGTACAAAATCTTGTTGGCTGCACGCTTTTAAAGCCTAGCAATTGCAACCAGAGACCAAAATACCTAAGGCTTGAGCCTCACATTCGCAGCAGTTTTTCTTCATTTGTGTGCTCACGGTGTGACCTATGTTTCATAAAGGTCAGGTTTATGAAGTCCCAGGTTTAGTGTACTGAATAGCTCATGTGGAATCATTTTGTGTACATGTGCATAGCTTGGAACTTGCTGGATGTCTACATATAGTCTGGGATTTTTCCAGTGTCACCATCTTTACAGGAATGTGATCCTGCATATCTGTGCCCCTCTAGGAATTAATTGGAATTCCTATGCCGTATGCTGTGTTCACTCAACATTTATCTGCAAGTTGAGGTAGAACCTCAGATTTTCTTTTTTTGAAAAGTTAATGCCTGTTCAGTTGAATATATGTTCTGAAATATAATAACTATGAAAGCCAGCTATTCAGACTAGAGATATTAATAGTTTTCTAAATATTGATTAGATTATTAATTGTACTTATCTCATTACCTCTTCCTATCTTCCTGGGCCTGGTTATAAACCCATATTAAGATTCCAGTCCTGAACATATTATATGAAAATACGTCCTGTTGAATTCTGGAAGTTTACTTTACACAACATGCTTTGACTTAAATTCCTACTATTTTCATTGCTTAAGGAAATGCCCTGAAGGTGATTGTTTAAATTCGTTTTTTCAACCTGGTGTCCCATCAACTGTGCCAGGTTGATTAAGGCTGGTTTAAGGATACCTTGTTCAGTACATCTTCATTTAGATACCCTAATAATAGCAATTGAACTGAGCTATTATTTGGTCACTACATTGGTCAGCTTAAAGAAGTTAATTTTCTCAACTGCCTTTTAAAGATACAAGATAATGCATTACATTTTATTGGGCCAATGTCTGTTGGTAAAGGAATTATCAATATATTAATAATATACACAATATACACAACACTGCTTACCAGGGTTGAAATGTAACTGTGTCACTCAAATGTTTTCATACTTCTTTATCAACAGGAACATCTGCTAACGGTCCTAATGAATTGGCCATATCCTCATTACAGATTTAAACTTCTCAGGAAACCCTAAGATTGTAGTACTGTGAAGTGAGAATAGGAATATCTAACAGGGAATTCACAGCACCTCACAAAACTGCAATTCCCAGAATTCTGTGGGAGTGGGATCCATGGCGATTAATACGATATGAAATTGATATGTTTGTAGTCCAGAGATGCCCTGTCTGTTGAGTGCATGTAGAAATATTAGGTAGAATGTTTGTTTTCATCCAGGAGGGGGCAGCAGTAAGCTTTTGTGAACAACCTAAAGATGCCTGAATTTTAATACAGTATGACACTCTGAGCGCCACATCACACATTCCCGTCTTAGAGATTTCAGACCCGCATCTTCCCTCACAAGTGTGTCTGAAACCCTGCAAAAGGGAAAACATTTGTGAGCACATGCAAACGGAAAGATAGCTGGCAGGGAAAAGGTTTTGTGAGCACGTGCACACACACTGCTGCTTCATTGCTCAATGCCTCACTACCTCGAAACTGCTTTTCCTTTTTTGAAAAAAAGAAATTTTGAGTCTTTCTGGTGCTTTTGCATGTAACCTGCCATTTGTTCCTGTGCTACCTTAGACCAGACGTCTGCAGGAATGCTTGCACGTTGATACCAGACGAATAACTCCTGAGACTCTCTGTCCTCCATTCTTGTTGCTCCACAGTTGCAGGCCACGGTGGTGGGGCTCCTGGCTGCAGTGGCAGCAGTCCTTCTTGGTGCCTTGACCAAAGGCTACTTGAATCTGAATGAAGCAGCCATCCTGTGTGCCAGCAGTTTGACAACAGCGTTCATAGCCGCCCTCTCACTTGGTGAGTCTTTGTAAACTACTCAACTTTAGAGTAGGATCCAGTGTCTCTGGAAGCCTCTCTCTGTACCTTGCCATAAACAGTCTCAGGTCCACTTGCTCTCTTAGAATGACTACAGTGTTCAGGTATGCTTCCCAGTAGGTTCGTCATGACTGCCTATTCACCTTGAGCCAGAGCTGTTAGAAAATTGATTGATGCACCCCCAGCTTTCTGGCCTTTCACCCAAACCTAATGTCCCACCTTCTGCCTTTCATGGGATCCAGTTGTCCGCTTAGAGCAGGGGTTGGCAAGGCTTACCGGGCATGGGCCGCATCAGTCCCGTGGAGATCCTTCGTGGGCCAGACCAGCATAGCACGCCAGAAATCGCATCTGCGCATGTCCGTGGCGCTGGAAATCGCTTCTGCGCATGCCCAGATGCCAAAAATTGCACCTGTGCAGAAGCAAATTTTGGCGTCTGGGCATGCAACATAAGTGATTTCTGATGCCATGGACATGTGCAGGTGAGACTTCCAGCATCTGCGCATGCGCAGAAGCAATTTCTGGAGCCACAGATGAGAGTCCCTGTGCCGCACTGCACCGGTTTAGCGCAGCGCTCGGGGACTCGCCGAGTGGGTAGTTCGGTTCGGGGGCAGCTCATGGGCTGGTTAAACGGCCTCCGTGGGCCGCAGGTTGGGGACCCTTGACTTAGAGAAAACTCTTGAAATCTAGATGAGCAGTCTTAGGTACTAAGTGCGTTCCTCTCTCATTTCTGATCTTCTAACCTCAGCCGTCGTAATATGATGGCATTCTCTGTGCCGTGCGGATTTTATGTCACTCCAGAAAGACTGTTTCACGGTGCTTTTTGCCAAATGGAGCCTGGCTGCTGCTAAGAGGAGAAGCTTGCAAGTTTTCCACAAGAGTGCAGCACAAGACCTTTAAAAAAGAAGGAAGTAGATGGCGGCATCAGAAATGCTGGCACCCTAAAACACAAAGAAATGAGGGCAACATCTTAGGATGATGGACTGCTCCTTCCTGTTTGAACAAGGCAAGATGGTTTTGGATGCCAGATTGCTACTCCTTTGTTTTCCTCAGTGATCTGAGTGGGTATGAAAAAGAAATATGATACTATTGACACATTCCATGGAGGAATTTATTTTGGCTCTGATAGCGAAGTGTATCTGCCATGCATTCAGGCGCCTTATTCCTCCAAACATCACTCGCTAGGGATAAGGAACAATGTATGGCCCCCTGCCTTGGGAACTCAGGAAGCTGCCTTGTATCGAGTGATATCATTGGTCCAGTTAAGACTCAGTATTGTCTACATTGAATGGCTGCAGCTCTCCACGGTTTCAAGCAGGACGTTTCTCCAGCTGTACCTGGAGATTTGGACTTGGGACCTTCTGCCGGCAAAGCAGACTCTCTGCTACTGAGCCATAGCCCTTCCCTGACTTCATTAGGCCTGAAAGTGTTGCCAATAGGAAATGCCCAGCCCATTGTGGTTTGCCAGGGCTTTCAAGCCTTTACGAAGGTCCAGTCATTCTTGCAGTTCTCAGGGATCTTAACTTTAGAACCCTCTTGTTTGGAAAGCTTTCAGGCACAGTGAAAGGGAGTCCATTTGGACTGCATATTGTATGGATATCTATGTTTTACCTGGCCTCAGCTGATGTCTCAGTCTCAGTCAGTTTTATTGCACATAGCCAAAGGCTGCCGCAATGTACACAGAATTATTTGACAATTAAAAGAAAATATACTGAATTGGTAAAAAAAGACTTAAAACATTTATATTATTAAAACATTACATACTCTAAACAAAGCTATAAAAGTACCCTAATGTACAAATAAAAACATTAAACAATAAACTTCATAAGCTAAAATCATCACATGGTCACTAATGTTAAAAACAATATCAATTAATACAGTGTGCAATTTATACTCAGAGTTTGGTGACAAAGATAGAGCATAGCCTGAGGTAGATAGATAGGATCAAATAAATTCATCTCCTTTACAGTTAATGGCTACCTTGGCTATATAATTTGCTCTAATTTTCCTAGCAGCAGTTGCAAAAGTGCTACCCGCCAGGTCACATACTTATCTGTGTCTGCAAGGAAATATAACATCATATCAAGGGGGTTCTGGCCAGGGGACCCTGTCATTATAGGTACCAAAAATCTTTTTCTTGCATCATTATATAACGGACAGTGCAAGATATAATGCATAAGGTCCTCTACTTCAGAACATCCCCTAATGCAAACACGTTCGTTTTTTGGTGTGCCTCTATGTCTCCCATCTCTATAAGCAGAGCTTATTGTATTTAGTCGTAGCTCTGTAAAAGCTTTTCGAAGCTGTGCAAAAGTCAATTCATTAAAATAAGATATGTGTTCGTTGACCTCTCTAAGTTTAAAATACAATGGGGCGCATGTAGATGTGCACATAGAGTTTAGATCGTTTTTAGTTGCCACTGCCCTTATGGTTCGTTTAAAAATATTTTTCTGTGAATGTAAGGGGAGTTCTTTAATCTCAGTCTCAGCTGATGTTTTCCCCTCTCCCCCTTGTGCAGAAGCCCTTTTCGCCCTAGCTTATCTCCTCACCCCAACTTACTCCTGTAGTTAATGTAACTCCTTTGGCTTGTTGATTATGGTTTGGAAAATGTACATTAATACAGTGGTACCTCAGGTTACATACGCTTCAGGTTACAGGCGCTTCAGGTTACAGACTCCGCTAACCCAGAAATAGTACCTCGGGTTAAGAACTTTGCTTCAGGATGAGAACAGAAATCGTGCTCCAGCGGTGCGGCAGCAACAGGAGGCCCCATTAGCTAAAGTGATGCTTCAGGTTAAGAACAGTTTCAGGTTAAGAACGGACCTCCGGAACGAATTAAGTACTTAACCTGAGGTACCACTGTAGAGGTTGGGAGGGACTAACTCCCCACCCTCCCCAAAAAAGAGAGCCACAGGCCCTGCCGGCTTCTTTTTCAGTTGCCAAAAATAGCCTCCTTTGCTACTCTCTTTTCATCTTCTCCCTTCAGCGGCTCTTGCTTCTCTTCCAGATCCAGGCCTTTCCATGCCATCCTGGGCACAAGCCCTGGGCGAATTTCAGGGCTACTGCTCCCTCTACTGGCTTTAGGAGACCTTGGCAGACAGGGAGTCTCCCTCACCTTGAACTGAACTTTCTCCAAACCACTTGTTTTCTTTTCTTTTTCAGGTCTGGTGATGATCGGTGTGATCCTTGGTGCAAGAAAGGTGGGGATAAACCCAGACAACATTGCTACGCCCTTGGCAGCGAGCCTCGGAGACCTGATAACGCTTTCCCTGCTAGCTGCCATCAGCAGCACCCTCTACAAATACATAGGTACGTTAGCAAAAGGAACCTGGGAGCTCTGAAACCACAGAATGGCCTCTCCCTAGACAGCCGCCCACGTTGGAAGGAAAGCAGATTCCCAGGCTGCCTGGGGTCTGCAGGGCTGGACAGCTTTGTTCTGCCTGTTGAGAGAGCACCTTCAGACTCTCTGGATCTCCTAGTTCATTTAAAGTGGCACAGTGGGATCCATTTTGGTAACCAACAAGGGAAAATCAGAATTTGTGTAACAGATCCATCAAAACTCCTGCACTTGAAGCACCCTGTAAATTATCCAGTGCGTTCGCTTGCTCTTAGTAAGCTGACCAGATAGAAATATTAGTTGTGTGAAAAATGAAATTTTGTAGGTTTTGGGGAGGGAAAACAACCTGCGGAGATCCCTTCTTCTACAAAGGTGTTCCTAAAAGTATGGCACCCCTGTTCTCTTTGGCCTTGATGGTCCTCTCTCTACAATAGGATACCCTCAATCTCAGTTATCCCTTGTATGTGCTCCCTCTTCATAAAGAACCTCCCAGATAGGAAAAGATACCCCATCACGATGCAGCCTGCATATTAAGAGCTGATACCAAAGTTTCCTAATACAAGGAGCAGTTCCAATCTGCTGTACATTTTCACTAAAATTTTAAAATTGCCAAGGCAGTTATTGTGTGACTGTCTGAGAGGAGTTTGTGGAAGGATGAGATTTTGGCTTATGTTTTATTTTCAGTTGATTAAGGATTTTTTTTTTCTTGGAAGTTTGTAGCAACAAGCTAACTGGAAATTGAGAGCAGATAATGTGGGTTACTTAGTGGTTTCCTTTATGTCATTTTAGTAAGGTAAAGGGACCCCAGACCATTAAGTCCACTCATGACCGACTCTGGGGTTGCGGCGCTCATCTCGCTTTATGGCCGAGGGAGCTGGCGTACAGCTTCCGGGTCATGTGGCCAGCATGACTAAGCCGCTTCTGGCGAACCAAAGCAGCACACGGAAACACCGTTTACCTTCCCACCGGAGCGGTACCTATTTATCTACTTGCACTTTGAAGTGCTTTCAAATTGCCAGGTTGGCAGGAGCAGGGACCGAGCAACGGGAGCTCACCGCATCACGGGGATTTGAACCGCTGACCTTCTGATCGGCAAGTCCTAGGCTCTGTGGTTTAACCTACAGTGCCACCTGGGTTTCTGTTGAGGCAGGTGATTAGCTGTGGGAGGAGCTTATCAGAGCTTGCAGGGCAGCAGTTGAAGAAGGAGCAAAAAGGGTTTTCTTGTGTGTGTGTGTGTTTCTTTGTGGCTGATTGGCTGCTCTCCCTGTGCAAAGGTCAGAGGGGGCAGGGTTTCTGTTGAGGCAGGTGATTAGCTGTGGGAGGAGCTTATCAGAGCTTGCAGGGCAGCGGCGCGCGCAGTTTGATCCATCTTTTAGATTTAGGGAGCTAGTCTCAAACGTTTGTTGGGGAGACCTAGGTTTTTTGTGGGGGAGTTATTTTTCCTGTCTTCACGCTTTTTATGATGGAGGACCGCTGTAGCCACCCCCAACGACACGTTCTCAAGATGGAGGGGAGGGAACAGCTGCAGTCGCCTGCAGTTCCTGCGCAATGTTTGCCATCTTGCCAAAGGTTGCAGGCAGCTTTACCTGCAGCAATTGCATGTTGATTGCCCTCTTAAAAGACAAAGTCCAGCAACTGGAGGAACGTGTAGCTACGCTCCAAAGAATTAGAGAGCTGGAGCTCTTCTTGGAAGCAACAGAGCACACCGTCTCCACCAAGGAGGAGACAGGGGACTCCCTGAGAAGGACGCTAGTTCACCAACACAGGAGCCAGATATATGGAGAAACGTGACTCAAAGAGGTAGGAGGCCCAGGGTTCGCTCTGATTGTTTAGAAATACACAATCGCTTTGAGGTCCTCTCCCCTAGCATGGAAGACGAAGAGCAGACTCCATTTGAGGATCTCTCCCTCATTACAGTCGATCAGGTATATGAAGAAGAGCAGCAAAGTCAGTCCTCAGGGAATGTGCAGGCGACCTTGGAGCGGACAGCTCACGGAAGAACCCCGACCAAACCTAAGAGGAGGCGTGTAGTGGTGATAGGGGATTCCCTACTGAGGGGAACAGAAGCAGTGATCTGTGGGCCTGACAAGATGTCTCGGGAAGTGTGCTGTCTCCCGGGGCTAAGATCCAAGATGTAACTGAACGACTGCAAGGAATCATAAAACCCACTGACAAATACCCCTTCCTCTTGGTTCATGTGGGAACCAATGACACTGCAAGCAATAGCCTCCAGAAGATCAAAAGAGACTACGAGGCTCTGGGCAGGAAATTGAAGCAATTAAATGCACAAATTGTGATCTCATCTGTCCTCCCAGTTGAACGACGTGGCCCAGGGAGAGAGGGGAAAATAGTGGAAGTGAACAGCTGGCTTCGCAAATGGTGTAAACAGGAACGGTTTGGATTCTTAGATCACGGACTGCAGTTTCTTGAAGATGGACTTCTGGCAAGCGATGGGCTGCACCTCACAACGGTTGGGAGAAATGTTTTTGCCAAAAATCTCAGAAACCTCATCAGGAGGGCTTTAAACTGACTAATGTGGGGAGGGAGACAGTGCTCCTGAAGGTAGGAGTCTATCAACTGATGAAGATGATCATCCAAATGTCATAGACCAAATGGAGCAAACAGCACACAGACCTAGTGGTGGGAGGAAAAATCCTTAAATAAGAGTCACGGGGAATGATTAATGGACTTCAATGTCTGTACACTAATGCGCAAAGCATGGGAAATAAACAAGATGAGCTTGAGCTCTTGGTACAGCAAACTAAATATGACATAATAGGCATCACTGAAACCTGGTGGGATAAGTCCCACGATTGGAATGTAATAATGGGGGGGATACAATCTATTTCAGAGAAACAGACCAGACAAGAAAGGAGGAGGAGTGGCGTTATATGTCAGGGATGTGTATACCTGTGAAGAGATCCAAGATTTAGAACCTCAAAGCCAAAGTGAGAGCATTTGGGTCAAAATTAAGGGAGAGAAGAATAACAGTGACCTCATTGTGGGAGTTTACTATAGATCCCCAAGCCAAACGGAGGACATAGATGATGCCTTCCTGGAACAGATGGCCAAGCATGCAAAAGGAAGGGAGATAGTAGTAATGGGGGACTTCAATTACCCGGATATTTGTTGGATGCCAAACTCAGCCAAGAGCATAAGGTCAAACAGATTCCTCACTGGCCTTGCAGACAACTTCATTGTCCAGAAAGTGGGAGAAGCAACAAGAAGAACAGCCATTTTAGATCTGGTCCTAACCAATGTTGATGACCTGGTTAGTGGGGTAGAAGTGGAAGGATCATTAGGCGCGAGTGATCATGCTCTTCTGAAGTTTACTATACAGCGGAAAGGAGCAGCCAAGCATACTAGGACTCAATTTCTTGACTTTAAGAAAGCTGACTTCATAAAACTTAGGGAAGTGCTGGGTGAGATCCCATGGAAAGTAATACTAAAAGGAAAGGGAGTTCATGATGGCTGGGAGTTTGTTAAGAGGGAGATAGTAAAAGCACAACGTCAGGCAATACCAATGAGACAGAAACATGGAAGGTGCCTAAAGAAGCCAGGGTGGCTATCTAAAGAACTTTTAACTGAGTTAAGATTTAAAAAGGATGTGTACAAAAAATGGAAAGGGGGGGAACCACCAAAGAGGAATTCAAACAAATAGCCAGCACGTGTAGACACAAAGTCAGAAAAGCTAAAGCACAGAATGAACTCAGGCTTGCTAGAGAGGTTAAAAGCAACAAAAAAGGCTTTTATGGGTATGTTCGTAGCAAAAGGAAGAACAAAGAAACAGTGGGTCACTCAGAGGAGAAGATGGTGAAATGCAAACAGGGGACACAGAAAGAGCTGAACTCCTCAATGCCTTCTTTGCCTCAGTCTTCTCCGATAAAGAAAACAATGCCCGACCTGAAGAATTTGGAGCAAATGATTCAGCAAAGGAAACACAGCCCAGAATAACTAAGGAGATAGTACAAGAATACTTGGCTAGTTTAGATGTATTCAAGTCTCCAGGGCCAGATGAACTGCATCCAAGAGTATTAAAAGAACTGGCAGATGTGATCTCAGAACCACTGGCAGTCATCTTTGAGAATTCCTGGAGAACAGGCGAAGTCCCGGCAGACTGGAGGAGGGCAAATGTTGTCCCTATTTTCAAAAAGGGAAAAGAGAGGACCCAAATAATTACCGCCCAGTCAGTCTGACATCAATACCAGGGAAGATTCTGGAGCAGATCATTAAGCAAACAGTCTGTGAGCACCTAGAAAGGAATGCTGTGATCACCAATAGTCAGCATGGATTTCTGAAAAATAAGTCATGTCAGACTAACCTGATCTCGTTTTTGACAGAATTACAAGCCTGGTAGATGAAGGGAACGCAGTGGATGTAGCCTACCTTGATTTCAGCAAGGCATTTGACAAGGTGCCTCATGATATTCTTGTAAAGAAGCTGGTAAAATGCGGTCTTGACTATGCTACCACTCAGTGGATTTATAACTGGCTGACTGACCAAACCCAAAGGGTGCTCATCAATGGTTCCTCTTCATCCTGGAGAAGAGTGACTAGTGGGGTGCCACAGGGTTCTGTCTTGGGCCCTGTCTTATTCAACATCTTTATCAACGACTTGGATGATGGACTCAAGGGCATCCTGATCAAATTTGCAGATGACACCAAATTGGGAGGGGTGGCTAACACCCCAGAGGACAGGATCACACTTCAAAACGACCTTGACAGATTAGAGAACTGGGCAAAAACAAACAAGATGAATTTTAACAGGGAGAAATGTAAAGTATTGCACTTGGGCAAAAAAAATGAGAGGCACAAATACAAGATGGGGGACACCTGGCTTGAGAGCAGTACATGTGAAAAGGATCTAGGAGTCTTGGTTGACCACAAACTTGACATGAGCCAACAGTGTGACGCGGCAGCTAAAGCCAATGCAATTCTGGGCCTCATCAATAGGAGTATAGCATCTAGATCAAGGGAAGTAATAGTGCCACTGTATTCTGCTCTGGTCAGACCTCACCTGGAGTACTGTGTCCAGTTCTGGGCACCACAGTTCAAGAAGGACATTGACAAACTGGAACGTGTCCAGAGGAGGGCAACCAAAATGGTCAAAGGCCTGGAAACGATGCCTTATGAGGAACGGCTAAGAGAGCTGGGCATGTTTAGCCTGGAGAAGAGGAGTTTAAGGGGTGATATGATAGCCATGTTCAAATATATAAAAGGATGTCACATAGAGGAGGGAGAAAGGTTGTTTTCTGCTGCTCCAGAGAAGCGGACACGGAGCAATGGATCCAAACTACAAGAAAGAAGATTCCACCTAAACATTAGGAAGAACTTCCTGACAGTAAGAGCTGTTTGACAGTGGAATTTGCTGCCAAGGAGTGTGGTGGAGTCTCCTTCTTTGGAGGTCTTTAAGCAGAGGCTTGACAACCATATGTCAGGAGTGCTCTGATGGTGTTTCCTGCTTGGCAGGGGGTTGGACTCGATGGCCCTTGTGGTCTCTTCCAACTCTATGATTCTATGATTCTATGTCATTTTACATGACGCAAGTATGCTACACACCAGCAGAGAAAGGTGGCCTAATAATTTCTTCCCATTTCAGCCCTCCTCCCCTTCAGGAAAAACAGGGAACCAATGTAGCATAATAGGGCATTTGACTGGGTCCACGGAAACATAGTTATGAAGCTCACTGGTAGGGATTGGGGATGGATTCAATTCAATTCAAAATGCAACCATCCTTCAAAATTTGCAGTACAGTTCTTCAGCCAAGTAAGGTATACAAAATGCATATACTGAGGTAAAGTTTGCATTAAAATGCATATATACTAGAGGGACTATGCTTTGCAAACATAGTTTGGCAAAATTTCATACAAAATGTGTATATTAAGAGAAATCAACACCGGGGGGAACTGATGTGGGAATGTGGAGACCTGAATTTAGAATTGGAAAATGAGAAACAGAGAAACCAAAGTGGGCATATTCACCCATCTCTGGCTGCTGTGTAACATTGGGCCAGTCCCTGCTCTTGACCTTTCTTACCTCAAAGGGCTGTTGTGAAGCTCCTGAGCGCCTACAGTGTAAGAGAGAACAAATGCAAAGGGCTAGGGGGCTTCTTGTGTTTCTGATAATTGTGCGGACGAAGGAACATTGACAGAACTAGCTTTTCTGTAGCAGTCCTATGATGTCAAAAGTAGCATCTTTAATCCCAGTTGGACCCCATTCCCTGCTAAAGGTCTCCCGCTTGATAGCTATATAATTGTCTCTGAAAGCAGAGTTGCTTAGGATCAGACACTCCCTACCTCCAGTTATAAAATCAATCAGAGAAGCCCCCACCCCTTTGCTGTTGCTGCTGCACAGGCTTCCTGCCCTGTATCACCTGGGGTGATGCTAAGGGCTTTGAAAATCCCATGCTCCACCCCCCCACCCCCCGCCCCGAGAAAGGTGTGTTCCCTTTTTGGGTGACATCCTTTGTGATTTATGGCAACTTTTGTGATTAAAGGCTTTGATAACTTCATACTTGTAGCCTCAGGCTTTAACAGAATGTTGTTTTGAGAGAGGGAGAAAAAATATAAAGCACATTTCCAGAATGCTTCAACTGCTCCATTACCTGCAAAATGTGTTGCGACTGGCCCAGCTTTGCACCAGTTATGAAGAGCAGATGGAGAGAGCCCTCTAAGAACGATCATTAGCATATCAAAAGGCCTGGCACAATCCCCATTGCTTGAAGGTGTTTCTGAAGCTTCCTTCCTTCTGCTTCTGAGTCATCCTTGTTTTGTCAGAGCAGCAGCATTCTCTCTCCCTCTTTCCTGACGTTCCCTGCACTTCTAAAGGTCACCCCAAGGTTGACTTATTCAGAAGACAGACAGAAATAAAACAACAGGAGCTGATATAAGCTAAAGCACGGCTAGGCAAACTAAGGCCTGGGGGCCGGATCTGGCCCAATCTCCTCCTAAATCTGGCCCGCGGAAGGTTCAGGAATCAGCATGTTTTTACAAGAGTAGAATGTGTCCTTTTATTTAAAATGCATCTCTGGGTTATTTGTGGGGCATAGGAATTCATTCATTCCCCCCCCCATATAGTCTGGCCCCCACAAGGTCTGAGGGGCAGTGGACCGGCCCCCTGCTGAAAGAGTTTACTGACCCCTGAGCTAAAGGGACAGGGGTGGGTGGGGAAGTATAGGGCAGTAACTGCTCTAGTTCCAAGAAGCTGGCATTCTAGTCCATTATCCCCTTTTTTGACAAGTCAGGTAGCCTCACAAACAGTCCTGGGTGCTTCATAGAGAAGTATATAAAAGCTAGCTCCAGCCTGCCTGGCACATAACAAAGTCGCCTCACAGCTAGAGATACACAGCTGGATTATACCACAATCTGTATTTTAGGTAAAAGGAAAAACCCACATAAAGAGGATAACCATCAAAATAATTCAGCAGCTCTGTGCCATACATTTGTTAGACTTCAAGGTTCCATGTGGTTTTTTGTTGCCTTTGCTCACGATGAGCCTCGTGGTCCCTTTCCAACACTACAATGCTATAAGTCAACAGACCAAGACAGCTGCTCCATTTGAAACAACATGAACAATAGCAGCATACGGTATTAGGTCTGTGTCCGCTATAAATTCTAGAGTTCTTCAGGCCAGGTCTGGAACTTTTTACACATGGTCTAACTCTTTGAAGCCGCGTCTAAATCTCTTGCGAGGTCTCAGTAATTGTCAAAGGGGTAGAAGCCAGTTTTCATTACTTCATTCAGTACTTGAACTGAAATTCCTATTCCGGAGCTCTTTTTCTCAAATCGCAGCTGATCAAAATTTGGTAACAAAAGTTGACTTGTGTCAAACTGTCCTTATAGTGTCAGAAATGCTTGGTTGTCAGGTCTTCTCCCTTCATTAAGTCTGAGCTGCGTCCTTCCCTTGACTGAACTCAGAAATGCTCAGGTTTTTTCATTGGTTCAGTTAGACGCTCCAGGGTCTGTTTTATTTTTTTTTCAACAGTGTTGCTTAGTGAGCAGTGACTGTTATGCAATGGAAAAGGGGCTCTAGTTCCATTCTGGTCAGCCCATTTACTGTTAACACACATAGTGTTCTTCATTTATTTTTACCTTTACCTTTACCTTTTCTTTTACCTTTATCTTTTTTCACTTGTTGCTTGGTTTACTGTTCTCCTGCACCTTGCTTAAAAGCCTTAAAAAAACCCAACAACAGCTGTGTGCTTTTTCCTTTTATGAAAGCTCCTTGGCTTCTTTTAGAAGGTATCCTGTTTCCTCTGTACAGATTAACAAGCTTCTTTTAAATGCCGAGTCCTGCAGTATGACAAAATCACTTCTTGGAGATGTGGTAATGAACTTGTTCTGTTACCCCACAAGAGCAGTCAGTTAGGGTTTCTTAATTTTCTACCTTTGGGTAATTCTGCTTCCGCCAACTCCATCTTGCCAATGTGATGAAGGGGCTTCTGTTTGAAGATTAGTAGCAAATCCAATTTGTATACTCTGGTGTGATGCTTACATCGAAAACACACTGACCCTGAAGTTAGTTGTGCTTAATTAAATTCCACTTAAAACATCGGATCCTAAGGATCACCTTCTCCCATGTGAACCTGGGCACTTGGAAGAGAAGATAATTAATGGCGGCTCCTTATGTCCTTGTCCAGCTCTGTTGCTTTGTTGCTGCTGGTCCTGTAATTGTGTTACTTCATTTAGGCTTCTATATATGCTTTGGTTTTATATTGATGTAAAACCCACTTGGCACATCCTTTTGGATGGAAAGTTGAGATAATAGATTAATTATAAAGAAGGTCTGCTCATGCAACAAAACGTGTCCCTTCCTCCTCACATGCTCCCTAAATCTATTCCAGAGGGTTGGAGGGAGACCCAGAACAGATTAAGGAGGTGCACAGGGAAAAGAGGGGAGAAAAGCCCTATTTCACAAGCAGGCCCCCTTCTCTGCATGTACCCCACTTGGCACTACATTGAACAGAGCCGTCTTTCCAACTGGGCTTAGTGGTTCGTTGTGCCAGGGCGCCGGCCTCTCAGGGCACCCAGCGAGTGGGGGAGCTGCGTGGCTTTGCCAGTGGCCTCCCCTTTCCCTGCACACCCGCCAGCTAGGCCCCATCAACAATATGGCTGGCCGGTGCGCAGCTTCCCTCCCAAGCCTCTGCGGGGATTGCTCTCCCACAGCAGCATGGGGGAGAGTTGCGCCGCCCCCATGGCTGGCAGTGCGCAGCTTCGCCCCCCCCCAACTATCCGTGGTAATTTGGGAGTGCTGGGAGGATATTTGCACCCCAGTGCCGCATCTGCTAAAGACAGCCCTGACGTTGAATTCCAACCATATAAATCAATTACATTTAAAAATAAGTGTAACTTGGTCCATTGGTTTTGAGGCTTTACACCCTCCTCTCCTGCCTGCTAGAGCATGCTTACTATTTTTGCTTTATGTTTTCTATTGTGGCAACCAATGCATTCCCCCCACGTCAGCTAATTCTGCTGGCTGCTTATAGATGGCAATGGAAGCAGGCAGTGATGGAGGATTGCTGCATAAAAATCCTAGAGCAAACAGGCTTGGACACTCATCACTGCATCTGTTCTTTCGCTTGAGAAAGTGGAATGGTCTTCCCCACAAAGTTGTATTCTTTCAGATTTGGAGATTCACACATAAACTTTTTAAGATGTGTTGTGGAAAGGGGGATTATTGAGTTGTCCTTGTCATTGTTTTGATTCTGTATTTTTTGTTAGTTTCTTATATTGCGATTTTATATTGTGAACCACCCTGAGATCTATGCCTATAGGGCAGTATACAAATTTAATAAATAAAAATAAAATAATAATAAACTTTTCCTTTTCTTTGACAGAGGTGAGATACCTGTCGCCCCTGATCTGTGCCGTCTTCATTGTTATGATTCCTCTTTGGATCGCTATTGCCAGGCAGAGTCCTTCCGTTGCTGAAGTCCTCAAGACTGGGTGGCAGCCAGTCATTGTTGCCATGGCCATCAGCAGGTAAGCATCGTGGGCTAGAGATGGACTGGAATTTAAGAGGTCTTGTCCCTGGTGCAAATACGTCACTTCCAGGGACAATTTCTTCCTGTGTATTTGGTTTGTAGCTAACATGTTCTTGGAGTGTGGAGCCTTAGGTAGCCCAAACAGTGCCATACATGCACAGGACGTGTCGGCAAGCTGGGAGAATGTCCAGTGTTTACAGAGGTACAATAAGGAATAATAATAATAATAATAATAATAATAATAATAATAATAATAATTTATTATTTATACCCCGCCCATCTGGCTGGGTTTCCCAGGCCACTCTGAGTGGCTTCCAACAAAATATTAAAATACAGTGGCCTGTTAAATGTTAAAAGCTTCCCTAAACAGGGCTGCCTTCAGATGTCTTCTAAAAGTCTGGTAGTTGTTCTTCTTTTTGACATCTGGTGGGAGGGCAGGTGCGAGTCCCAACAGCGTGCAATGAGGACAATATTCAGTAACCACAAGATGCTGATGGACTCTTGGTATAAGCGTGAACCAGCCCCCAAACTGCTTATGTGTATGTGTTAAAAGAGACAAATGAGGCCTGCAACAAAATGTTGCAGTGTGCAGGCTTCCAGCCATGTCCTTTTGCAATATAACTCTATTTCCATTGGCCCCCACTTCTTAAAAGGAATCAGCTTGGATAACTGCATAATGAGCTGATTTGAACTGTAAACAGCATATCTCTTACTTATTTTAGAATTCATTGACCAAACAACTGCTATCTAATAATACACAGGCTGGACACACACGCATATTTAGGATTATCTTGGGAGGTCAGGGCATGTGGAAATGCAGCCATGTTAAAAAAAAGGCAGGACCCAGCATCAGATGATGCACAGGAAGAACATACTTTGAGTATTGACCTTGGCAGGGTGCCCTCTTGGCAGTTCCTCTGCCCTCAGGGGTTGGTGGTCCAAGAGAGGGCAGTCCCTAAGTTGTGGAATTCCCTTCCCACAGAGGTGTGTCTGGCACCTTCACTATACAGCTCCCTGCCAGTGCTGAAGATTTACCTCTTCACCCTGGCTTGAGATGCATATTGTTGCATGTCACTCCAATATCCAAGCAGTGCAAGACTCCAGGGGTTCCAGGCGCTGACCCGAGGTCCGTGTTTCCTTTAAGAAATGAGGCACAGTGGAGACTATGATGTCTTTATGATATATGGTTTGTTTACACATATATACAACCTGAGCATGCAAGGGAGAGGTTCACAACACTGACCCCCCCCCCCAAGGGTCTTGCGTCTCCCATAGCTGCAGCTTTTGATTCAAACACAGAAATCAGCCATCATGCTCTGACCCTCTTTCCAGCTTGCCGACTTTAACAGACTGCAACCTTTTTTCTTAGGTCCTGTCATAGGCAACTCTAAAGGCTCTTCTTCAAACTCTGCTTTGTTTCCAAAAACTAACCCTGAATGGAGCGAAAGGTCACTTCCATTTGCCATCTGGCACAGAGCCCCCTCTAATTTTGCTTTTCTAATGGCTCCTTACCTTCCTTTTGTCCTCGTAATGGCCCATCACCCCAGGTGATTTCTTGGTCAGGAAACTGATCTGGCTTATATTTTAACATTTGCCTTGATTAAATTCTAACCCCTACTGGACCCAGGAATTTAGGGAAGTCTGGTAATCATGAACTCAAAACAAAATTTTTACACCCCACCTTATTTTTGTATTATTTGTTTTTTAATATTAGTAATGTTTTTTAATAATTGTAACCTGCCATGGGACCTTAGGGTGAAGGGCAGGTAATGAATTATAAAAATAGTAAGAATAATGCTGATGGTATGCATATTGCTATGTGGAGATACCTTCCAGAGTTATAGTTCTTATCTTGAAATTTGTTCCAATCACATATGTTTATTCTTTTCAACTTTTCTTTTGCTTTTTATGCCAACTTAGTTCAGATCAGATTTCTAACAGTCATGGCATGGCTATATTCTCAAGAAAATACTCTGAAGCCGTAAATGATGATGGTCCCCATAATAAATGAAATTTATGGCCTTGTACTTGTCATATTATTTAAAATGATATGCTGTAAAGTGCTACAAGTTGTGTTTTTCAATCTATTGTGCTTGGCTGTTAGGTTCATTAAAACATTTTCCTTATTGCTTCGGTGTTGAAGACATTTCCTGAGTGTACAGGGGGGGATAGAATGTTTAATAATAATAATAATAATAATAATAATAATAATAATAATAATTAGTATATCTCCCTTTATCCAAAAATCTTTCCTGTTGTGGGATTTCAGAGACGTACTATTTTCCTTCAAGTCTTCCTAGTCTGGGAACTGGGGTGAAATCTTTGTTATCTTAATAAAGTTGTCCGCCTGAATGACAGTAGCAAAAGTAAGGATTTCCACAGAATATTGCTGAAAAATATCAGGATTAGAAGCAAATGTAATCAAAGAAGATACTGATTATTATACAGTCACTGAGTAGTGGGTTACTAACAGATGAAGGATGTACTCATGTTCTCTCATTTTTTAAAAACAGCATCGGGGGACTTATCTTGGACAAAACCATAACCAATCCAAACTTTGAAGGCATAGCTATTTTCACTCCTGTGATCAATGGTAGGTTGGTTCTTTTTTTTTCTTTTTCTTTTTAAGCATGTCAGGCTGCAAGTGAAATATATGTCCCTGTTTTCACCCTCATCATTGTAGGACTTAGAGAATCCTCATTTTCAGATCCGTAAGCGAGACAAATCCTGATTGCCGCACAAAGGCATTGTCTACCTATAGTTGGATAGACCAGAGACTTAAGGTCAGTAGTGGAGCACATGTATTGGCTGTGCAAAAGGTCCTGATTCAGGCCCTGGTATTTCCAGATAGAGCTGGAAAAGACACCCATGACAATGCAATTTAGTGAAGACAACACTGAGATAAACAATCCATTGGTCTCACTCAGTAAAGCATCTTCCTGTGTACTTAAAATGTTAAATTTCCAGTAGAAGATTAAATGCTTCAAAAGCTGTGTATAGTACTTAACACTTTTGTGCTGGCCCTGGAAATAGGCACAAGTGACTGGAGTATTGGATTTCTAGGGTGAGATCCAATGTCAGTCATACTCAGGGTAGACCCATTGAAATGAATTGAATAGTCCTGGAATTTCCCTTTCCGCATAGCACTAACTGTGCACTGCATCATGAGATACGGAAATTGGTTTGGAACAAATGTGGTTTTGAGCTTTCTTTAAATATATGGATATAACTAAGGCAAATATTAAAACGTTCTAAAGAAATAAAACACAAGAATGAAGCAGAGGATTGCTCCACTCTGAACTCAGGAACAGCATTCATGTGAACAGGATTTTACCAAGAACTGTTGTCTCCATCAATGCACCAAAACGGGCAGCATCAGGGAGCATTCCAAGGAGTGGAAGATCCCAGACATAGAAGGCATTGTCAGGTTTCCACAGAACTAACCTCTATCTCCTGAACACGAAAGGTGACTTCTCCTTCCACTTCAGAAAGTTTACATTTGTCTTGCAATTTTACGAGGCCTTACATACATCTGATTCACTCTTGGCTGAATCCAGTGCCTCCAGAAGAACATTGTGGCAATGCTCTGCCACGCTTTGCTTTTAAAACTTAAGAGTCTTCTGGTTCTGTTTGTTTCTGAGAAAGGGGATTGAAAGCAGCTGTTGGATTTCCAGTGCTGCAGTTGCTGTGCCAGATACGTCCTTGAGACTCATTATTGCCAAAGGTTTATAGGACAATTGCTTCATATAATCTGAGGTGGTTGAAGACATAATGTTGCTGTAAAATAGCCCTCCAAAGGGAGATGTTCACTGGGGGCTTTCTCCTTTCAGTTACTTTATGGGTCCTTTCTTATGGACTCAGCTATACAGCTGCAGGGGTCTTTTCCAGGGAGTCTTCTCTTCTCATGAGGTGGCCAAAGTATTGGAGCCTCAACTTCACGATCTGTCCTTCCAATGAGCACTCAGGGCTGATTTCCTTAAGAATGGATACGTTTGATCTTCTTGCAGTCCATGGGACTCTCAAGAGTCTCCTCCAGCACCATAATTCAAAAGCATCAATTCTTCGGCGATCAGCCTTCTTGATGGTCCAGCTCTCACTTCCATACATCACTACTGGGAAAACCATGGCTTTAACTATACGGACATTTGTTGGCATGGTGATGTCTCTGCTTTTTAAGATGGTGTCTAGGTTTGCCATCGCCTTTCTCCCAAGGAGCAGGCGTCTTTTAATTCCGTGACTGCTGTCACCATCTGCCGTGATCATGGAGCCCAAAAAAGTAAAATCTCTCACTGCCTCCATTTCTTCCCCTTATATTTGCCAGGAAGTGATGGGACCAGTTGCCATGATCTTCGTTTTTTTGATGTTGAGCTTCAGACCATATTTTGCGCTCTCCTCTTTCACCCTCATTAAAAGGTTCTTTAATTCCTCCTCACTTTTTTTCTATATTTATTTCTATAAACACTTTTCAAAAAAAGAATTTTCAGAACGGTTTTTTACATGTGTGTAGATTCCACCTGAGTGACAGCCAGAAATTAGTAGTATTATACAGTGTGCCTCATGAGATGGCACAGTAGAGAAGGAAATGGCGTCAGGCCCTAGAGCAGGAATCTGTGTCCCTCAAGATGTTGTTGAGCTACGACTCAAGTCCCTGGCAATGGGCCTGGGGGAAGTCTTAGTCTAACTACAACTGAAGGCTTCCAGCTTCACCGTCTTTCCCCCTAGAGGTTGTTTTTAATTCAGCCTCTCAGTTTTAGCTTTGTTACGCTGTTCAAACACTCTGCGTTGTTTACCGTCCTATCTCATTTTAATTGATTGTAGTACGTTTTTCGCTCTGTTTTTCTTTTCTGCTTTGAACACCTCTTCCAGGTGTTGCAGGAAGTTATGTTTTTCATTCTGTTTTTGTTTTCTGCTTTGAACACCTCTTCCAGGTGTTGCAGGAAGTTGCAGGATAGAAGTTTTGTCGCAAGTAATAAATAAGCTAGCGTGCCGAGAGCCTGTCAGAATGCAAGGTGGCCCATATCCAGAGGAGACTAATTAGATTGATGGTGCTGAACTTTTAATTTGTCCTCTCATTCCATGGTTCCTTTCGTCAGAATAGAAATTGCTGGTACCGTAATTACCACAGTTGCAGATATACTGCAGGTGGTTTCACAGCCAAGCACTGCAGCACCTGTTAGCTGTTTGTTATAAAAGAACCTGTCTATGCACAAGAGTCAAACAAGTTGTATTATAGAGCACCTGTGTTGGCTATCTTAACTCACGAATATCCAGTATGTGATAAGGAAGGAGGGAAATCTCTCTCTCTCTCAGAACTGGAAGTATTTGGTTATGTATCTGGAGCAAGAGAAACAAAAGGAGAAGCCCTGTTACAGTTTGTGCAGTGTGACCTTGCAGCAGTTTTGCAATTCCTTTTCTGGTAGTTAGAAATTTGAGGAGGCCTCTGTCCCCTTAAAGATTTACAATGCCTGCCAAGGCCTCAAGGCAGTAGGAGCAGTTGCTGTGGCCCCTGTAGCTTCTTTCCATTTCTCTGTGTAAAACCACAGTAGAGATTGTCATTGGAAGTCTACTCAGTATCGATCCAGAGTAGATTCCAATGCATAATTAGCCGAGTAAAAACTTAAACATGTCACAGGATTTCCAAAAAATAGACCAGAGGCAATTGTATTTCATCCAGCAGAGCTTTACTGTTACTGAAGGCAAATGAGCGTAATGGTCACAAATCCAAAACATTCAGGATTGGCACTGTCCATCCAGTTGCAGCAGACGTAACCTAAACACAAACTTATAGTAAGACTAACCTTAACACTATATACTGAACACCACACCAGAAAGAAAAAGAGAGAGTGAGACCTAGGCTCTTTCTGGCCTCATTATTATAGTCAGCATGACCTTGACAGAAAGAGATAACAGATCCAGTTTAAACCAGCTGTACTCAGCTTCTCAGAAGGAATAACCCAAACATCAGTAACCTTCTGCTTGCTTCTTTCACACAGAGGAGCTTCCAGAACTCTCTTGAATTATGTAGAATAGGAAAGATCACTACACCAGATTAATACTTTCTGTACTGAGAAATGCCAACTGACAGAGATAGAAGATCTTGGGAACTATTATTTTCCCACCCTGGCTCCTCTCTCACTTCCCCACCTCTAGCAGCTGAGCATTGGCATTGCTGGCCGTGCTTAAAGCTCACGCAGGGCATTGTGATCTGTACAGGTGTGCTTGTGCAGCTGCCAGGTAGGTGGTAGAATTCTGGGGCAACACCAGTAGCAACAGAAACAGTTCTTCTTGTACAAAGCATCCATAGCACTAATCCAGTTGTTGTTCTGTCAATATTCTAATGCTTTGCTGCTGATCAGGTGACAGCAGCGTTTCCTGCCTCACCATCTGCTTGTGAGCAATGCTCTAAAGGATACTGAGGTAGAGAAGGCAATGTAAGCCAGTGGCAGTAAGGCGGTTTGGTAGCTTATAGGACAGACGTCTGCTTAGCTTTCAGACCTGTGGGAGTGCATGAATGGGTATTGACTGATTGCCATCCTCCCAGTGTCTCCCAGCTATTGAGGCTTAAAGGGTGTGTTCTGCTAATTTTTTTGCTTTGCAGGCGTCGGCGGCAATCTGGTAGCTATCCAGGCCAGCCGGATCTCCACATTTCTGCACTTCTGGAGCATGCCTGGAGTCCTGCCACACAAGATGAGGCAGCACTGGCCAAATCCATGTACCACCTTCTTTAGTTCAGGTAATCTGCTTTCTAGGTACTGGTGCCTAGCTACTCTCACATCTAAAACCCCAGGGAGAACTCTACACTAGCCCAAATTATTGTTGTTAATAATAATATTAGTTGTATTTATTTGTTGCTTACTATAAAAGAAGTCCCAGAGCAATGTTCAGGGTTGTTGTTTTTCAAAAGCAGCATACAATATCAAGTACACACCAGAAGAGTAAAAACACTGAAAGTGCTCATCCTTTAGTAACATAAGAGAGACACATGCAGCCCCACACAGCTAAAACATGGACACCAATGGCAAACCGCATATATAGGGGATCTCCCATTTGGGACCAGCTCCTTACTAGCGGACCATTCCGTATTCGCTCAGTATAACCAGAGTTATGATGTCATTTGCCTTTTCTCCTCTGCAGGAATAAATTCAAAGTCTGCTCGTGTCTTGATCCTGCTAGTGATCCCAGGGCACCTGCTGTTCATCTACACCATTCATTTCTTGCAGGCAGGCCATACGGCTCCCACCTTCACTTTTGTCTCCTTCTACCTGATGGCTGCTGTTCTACAGGTAACCAGAAACTTGACTTCTTCTTTTTTTAGTATAAGTTTGGGTTCTGCCATGTGTTCCAGAGTCGATCAGCCACTGTAGCTATATGAATGCACCAGGGACAGACCCTGATTTCTACAAACCACAGGCCACCATCCTCATCCCAGTCCCTTTTAGATTTCTAAATGTACAGCACCTGCTTGGAAGCCGCAGTATCTTTTTAGTAGAGATTTCTAGGGGAAACTGACTGAGTTATCAGTGTAAAATGCTGCAGGGTGGCAGATTAAATTCCCCCATTTCCAGCTAGAACACATTACCCTCTTTTCACACCTTCCCCATGTCGCTAAGAAAAATTATCAGTCAAGCACCTTCCTTTTCCCATGATATTTGAATTGTTGAGTCAAAATCTCTATAACAGCTTGAAGTAAGGGGAGTTTGGGCATTTATGCCCTGCCTTTCTTCCATCCTGGAACTGATCAAGGTGGCATAGATATGTTTCACACCTGATCACCTGTCCAGGCACTGCTCAGACCGACAGCTGCTTAGTTGGCTTTAGGAAGGTGCTGGTTTCATACCCAGAGGCTGCCATAGCCTTCATCCTTGCATTTCGCAACCCGGCAACAGTTTCCTGCAGTATATTGCCCACAATCATCTACAGAGAAATCACTCTGCAAGTGCCTCCTTGTGTGTAGGAGTTGTGTGAGAGTGGGACACCCAGTTGCACCAGTGTCTTGGTTGTGCAGGACCTCCTGTGCCACTGTTCTTCAGCTGGTGGGTCATGGCCTGATTCAAAGCGGGTCACAACAGAAGCACTGCCCCCATGCAGACAGATGGGAAAAGTTTGAGAAATGGGTCCCCCAAGGCATGCATGGGCTAAAAATGGGTCTTGGGTATGAAAAAGTTGTAGATACCTGCTCTACCCACAAGTATACCGGGACTGCTCGTTAGACAACCCCATGCAACCTGTGGCCTGCTCTGCGTGCCACACAGAAATGCCATCCCTTGTGAGTGGGACATCATTATGGCTCCTGTGTCTTCCCTGTTGCAGCTGCCATACCTCCCCCACCAGGATGCAATGACTTCGTGTTTATCCTGAAACCAGACTGGGTGAAGGCAACACTGCTTCCTGCCCTCTGTCTACCTGCTAGTCTGCTTGCAGAGGGAGAGGGATGGACAGAGCACACTTCCTTTGGCCCACTTCATTCACTACTCCCCCCCCCTTGTGACCTCACCCTTCCACTTTAGCACGTGTGAATGTGGTGGCAAAACTGGGTGGAGGGGAGAATTTGACCCAGCCCTAAATATTCCTGCCCTCTAGGCTCCTGAGGTCCATCGAATCAAAGTTCCTCTATGCCCCACTGTTGTTACCAAGTCCGGTGCCTGAGTAACAGAAGCCGTTCCCAGCAAAATGGAATGTGGCTGATCTGCATGCTGATGGCCATGTGGTTTCCCACCCCCTCTGCTTACAGGTGGCAATCCTGCTGTACCTGGCTGACATTCTTGTGCGGCTGTTCTGGAGAAAGGGCATGGATCCTGACAACTATTCCATCCCCTACCTCACTGCTCTGGGAGACGTCCTGGGCACTGGCTTCCTGGCCCTTTGCTTTCACTTGGTTTGGATCTGCAATGGGTTGAAGCCCATACCAAAGCACTAAAGAGGACTTCTGCTGCAGCACTGACCTGCCTACTGTTTCAACAAGTAAAATATATATATATTGCTATGGTGCTCTTGACACAGTCCAAACAGGGTACGAAGAAGAGGATGTCCAGCTCCTTAAATGGAATGGCTTGGATATCCCTCCCCTTCCATCTCAATACCATGTAGATGTGAAGTTTGAAAGATACCTACCAATGAAATGGCATCAACGTGGACGCAGCTTCCGAATGGGTTGTGAAACGCTGCTCCTGTCTACCTTCCTCTTGGTTAAGAAGTGTTATTGAAATGGCCGAGTCCGAAAAGCCCATTGACGCTAATGGGAGGCTGTCCACTGATCTCAGTGGGGTTTAGATTATGTCCTAGATGAGGATGTTTCACTGTCTTTGCCAGGCATCAGCTGGCAATCAAAGATGACATTTTCCTGTCTGTATTTCTTCTATATGTTCCCACACAGAGCGGGATGGGGGAGAGAGAATTATGTCCAGGACTAGTCACACTCTGCACCAAAAAAAAATAAAAAATAAAAATACTTTATATCCTACACAAAGGAAACCAAAAAAACTTTGCACCGCAATAGCTCAGATTCTGCCTCACAATACCTCATTGCAGCATTGTATATAGCAATTTAGGTACTTTACATTTCTCTGTTTGCATGCTGATGCTTAATTTGAGTGTTCTACAGAAGTTTCAGAGTGCGGACACTGCGGTAGCAGGAGTGGAGTAAAAGTTAAGAAGCGGGAGAAGGTGGCCAAGGATGGGGGAAATGTAGCTGGAAGGCATAAAATAGCCAGAACTGAATAATAAAGCTTCGTATGGGCTGTTTGAATGGTTTCAAACAACTGTACCCACCCATAAAATATTGAGAGGCTGAACAGCTTCTCATCCCACTCTCCACGCCAGTTGTCCCGTCCAAAACTGCTTTCAGGGTTTGTGCAAGGATACTCATAGATTAAATGGCCAGCTCCGCTGATGGACTTCGTAAATACTTCTTCAGTAACTGAGATAGTTCCCTAGAGTGGGTTCTGAAGGCTCATCTGGGGGTAGGGGTGAGCTTTCTGTATTCTGTATGGAAGTCACTGTCCTGGGGAGCAATATGCTGATAGTACTCAGCACCTTTTAAGAGTTCTGTGCCCATGGATTTTGTCAAATCACTTGTCCTTCCCAAGGCAGGAAAATCAGCCGTGTTTATCCCTGGCACAGTGCTCTTAAAACCCAGTGAGTAATTGCTTAAGGCTTGCAACAGAGGCTGAGCATGTTTGGCTTTCCAGGTGTTGTTGGTCTCCCAACTCCCATCAGCCCCAGCCAGCACATCTTTGTAGCCCAGAAGCATCTGGAGGACCACAGGTTACCCATGCCTGTCGGGAAGACCCAAGGGTGGATTTTCACCATGTCATCAGCATCAGTGCCAAGCGTGATAGAATTGTCATTCTCTCTCCCTCGTTTTTTGTTTTGCAGTTTCAAATCTCATGAGTTTTTATGGTTTGTAGAAACACCCACCCACATGTAAAATAAAAGTGTAAAAATGGTTCATGTTTTGAGAGTTTCATTGTGGGTCCTGGTCCAGGACTGGAACAGTATATATGGGAAATACCTACTTCGGGTATAGATGAGGAAGCCTTCCCTTCCAAATGAAGGATATAAGTTTGGTTTCCACATTTTAGCCATGGAAAATTATGCAAGTAAAACCTCGAAGTATATGTTTGAAGACCAAGATGTCCAATCCATTGTGTCTTCCGGTCAGTTCACAAATTGAAAATGAAAATAAAACAAGCAAGCAAAAGCAATAAACAGAAAAAGCTATTATCTCAACAATAATGGTAGCACAAAACATAAAATCAATGAAAACAATAAAGAAAAGCTAAAACTCAGTGGAGGGGGTGGGGTTGGGACCAAAGTATTCAGAGGAAACAGTAAATTTCAAAAGAGGATATTTTTTTCTTAACCTGGAAGAGGTTAAGAAAAAAATATCCTGGCACCAAAAATATCTTTATGACAAGAGTCTATGGGAAAGCATTCCACAACAGGTGCCACCAGCAAAAAAGGCCCTCTCCCTAGTATTCACATGCCTCACCTGACTTGGCAGGACTGGGAAAGTATATATGGGATATCCTTCAGGTATCCTGACCCCAAACTACTGGGATCTCCCCTCCTGCAAGTCATCTTCATAACAAAATATAATGAATGAGCTCTTTCAGCATGTAAGCAAAACATCTGCATCCCTTTGTGCACGAAGGCAGAATTACTTGGTTCCAGCTGTATTCGGCCACAAACCCAGATGTGCCGCAACTCTTGTGGTCCGCCGAGGAAGAATGGTTCCTTGCTCTAAAGCTGGAGTAAAGCTCCCAGTAATTGAAAGAAGGTGGTGAGAAGGCATAGTAAGTTGCACAATGCTTTATATAATCTTAAAACTGGCTTATTCCTTTTTGAAAGAATTGAGGCATGGTGCGAAGAAAAAAAGGCATTCCTAAACCAGGCCTGGAGGGAAAAGACACCCTCCCCCCCTTGTAGGCAGTTCAAACCCTCTGCCTGCTTGGTTAGCCAGTGTGACCCAACAGTTGCCTGCTTGGTTAGCCAGTGTGACCCAACAGCTTTAGGACTTCTGTGTTTTTGACAGTGCTGTGTATCGCTGCTGCTGCTCCTGCTACAGGATCTGCTTTTAGTTTCACCGACCCCACTTCGTCACTCAAACTAGGGCTCGAACTGTTCATTCCCCTGGAGTCGTAACAAGAAATTGTCCCCTTTTTAGTGGAGGGGGGGAAAAGAGAGTTTTCTCATCCAGAGCTACTGCAGGGCTTGTTTCCGCCTTGGACACGGCTCAGGAAGAATATCCATCCAAGTCTCAGCTCAGCTGGTCTCTTGTACAATTCATATTCACTTGAGTGGGGCTTTTGGACAGGAGAGGTGAAAAACAAATGAAAAGACGCAACTCATGTCACATAGAGAACAACCCAGTGGATGATCTAGGTCAAGGATGAGGAATCAGTGGCCCTCCAGATGCTGTTAGACTCCAAATCCCACCAGCCCAGTCAGCGGTAAGGAATGGTGTGAGTTGCGGTTGCACAGCTGGAGGGTCACAGGTTTTCCATCCCTGATGTAGGCCCATCTAGAGCAGGCATAGGCAAACTTGGCCCTCCAGGTGTTTTGAGACTACAACTCCCTCCATCCCTGACCACTGGTTCTGTTAGTTAGGTATGTTGGGAGTTGTAGTCCCAAAACAGCTGGAGGGCCGAGTTTGCCTATGCCTGATCTAGAGCATATGCTTTTAAGTAGTGGATCCTATTTCCTACTGAGAAAAAGGACCTTAAACCCCTTTTCTCCAGTACTGTTGGGCATTGCACCTGATGCTATGACCCACCAACTCCTATTACCATGCTTCCTCCACCCAGATATTTTTTGGGCAGGGAATGGTTTGCAATTTTTGATATGGTAGATGATAACAGTCTCCATTAAAATAATGACAGATTTTTAAATAGGTCCCTCTGAAAAATTCAGTGAATAAAGCAGGGCGAATGCACAACAAAAGCCTCATCTGTCCCTGCTCCACACCCCCGGACTGCGTATCCAGGACTTTCCCTGGCTGTGGGTGGATTTTTCATTATCAGAGTCACCCTATAATTACTTAAATGATCCGGGGGGTGGTGGAGGGGAACCAGGCTGTATAGTAGCACAATCCTTGAAGAGTTCAATATTAGAACTTTGCATTATGGGCTGGAGTTAAACTTCACCCCTTGGACTTTTCTTTGCCCTGCTTTTCAGTTTCAGTTGTGTTTTCTACCTAACTAGCCATAAAGAAGCCTGTTTATCTGCCTGCTGCAAGAAGTAAGTGTTTGTTTAGTCTGCAGTTCTGATGATGAATAGAGCATGATTAGGTGCTTATTGCTACAAGATGAACAAAGAGATCTGAAAAAAAATATCTACCCTTTAATATTTTAAAGCACTCACTATACTCTGTCATAGTAGCTATTTTTTCCTTCCTTTTCTTGAGTACTTTATGGCATCCTAGAGGAACAGAAACACTGCAGAGCACAAGATAGCTAGGCTGCAACTCAAGAGAAATGCAGATCAGTGTCTCCCCCAACACGGTTGCATTAGCTGCCTTGAATTTCTTCTGAAAAGTAGGCAAATTTTAAAAATTAAAAAATAGTGCCTCATGCCGGTAAGCCAAGCATGGCACAAAAATTTGTAAAATAATACAAAATAACTCACTGACAAACAAACAAACAAACAAACAAACAAACACATACTGCTCTAATTATTTAGGGCTTACCTACACCTCTGTTTGCCCAGCTATTTTCCCTGGGGGAAACGCTGTTCACCACTGAATCGGACCAAATGATTGTTTTCTGTGGATTGCTGTTTGGTCCTATTCAGCAGTAAAGAGTGTGTTTTCTCAGGGAAAGCTGCAGGGCAAACGCAAAACCTCTCAGACCCATGGCTAGAAAGCATGGGGCAAGCAGAAAACCTCTCAGACCTATGCTTTCTAGGCATGGGTGAACAAGCCCTCAGTTTGCAAAACACAGTATTTTAGGGCAAAGGTTAATGGTTTTACCCAACTCACTTTGGTGGATGGTATTAGCTGTGGGCAAGGCCTCATCAATACCTACTGTGCACCTATTTGTGAAAAGTAAACAAGACCCATCTGTTTCAGCTAACGTTTTTCCTTTTGAATTATGTGGATGTTTTGCAGGGAGGGAGCCACACCAAAATATGCCTCTGAATACCCGTTTCTGAAAAGAAAGAAATGGTGCTAGCCTTAGGTGGCATTCTCTGTGAAACACAAGTCTGAAACACCTGCTATAGTGCTAAGCTGTACGCCATCTTCACTTCTGTGCAACAAGGACAAACATCTAGGACATACACTAATGCCCACCCCCTCATCCCATCCTCAAGAGATATGATGCAACAGGAGGAAATAAGTTTCAATAAAAGGGGATTTCAAAGGCACATATTTAAGGTTGTTTGTCTAGTAAACCTTTTTTTAAAAAAAATATTGCCAGGAGGCCCACACATCCCAATCTTTGTGTTCTCTAGTAGAGAGATGGGAACCATCTCATCACAAGGCAGATACACAAAAGTCCCACAGAGAATTTCAGGGCCAAATCTCATTGCCTTTTCTGTACACGGCAGGTTTCTGCAGATAAAATCCACCTGGCCCACTTGTAACATATTTCCAGGATTTTACTAGCTTTCACGTTCCTGCGGATCTCAGATGATCTCACATGTTCATGCTTCACTGATAAGCTGCATGGCAGCATACGGCTAGTAGGACTGTGATCAAAGCATGATAGTGATTTTTAAGAAAGGACTCCCCTCTATACCCTATCTGTCTTCAGTCCATATTATCACTGTTGTCTCACATCCATCTTGAGAAACAAAGGACGGCAGGAGTCCCATTATTCTTCATTTGCAATGTCTTATACACAAAGAACAGCACAAAACCTCTCACTACCTCTGGCAAGAAAGGAACGATTTCCCTCTCAACCAAGCAACACAACAGGCTCTTTGCCTGTAAGTATCAAACACCCAGTTTATTTAAGAAAGCAATTCTTTCCTCAGTGACAGTAGGATGTAAAGAAAAATAACAGGGAAATCAATAGCTGGAACACCAAAATCATACAGCATAAATAACAACATGCAGCACTTAAAAAATGTGTTAACTGTGCCTTGTATCACCCATGAACAATCTTTCTGTCCATCCCAGAACAAGTAGGCTCCGCCTCCCATTAACTACCCTTCAAACATGGAAATGAAGTGGAGTGAGTAAAGACTATCACTTTTTTAAAGTGTGTGTGGGGGGGGACAGAATTGAAAGTCCACCCCCCAAGCTGCTAACTCAGACTGTGTTCTGCCTCGGTTCCTGGAATTTGGAGTGGAGTCAGTACAAGGTGGTAGGTAGGTGGTGACACTGTATTTTGTACCGAATCCATATTGGGCACAGAGACAGGGGGCTGACTCTGCTCCCACCCCAGCACAAGGAAGACAGAGAGCCAGCATGAGGGATATAGCCTCTACTCCAAACCCTGCTGGGCCAGCCACATCCTCCTCATTATGACCACAGCTCTGAGGGAGCTCTGAAGCAGCCACTGGTGCCCTTGCCCACTCCCCAAGACCCACTCAGGAGGTTTTTATCCTCAAGTTAAAATGGCGGTAGCCTTTCTGTACACCAAAGATCACTGGGACTGGCGGCTGCTGGCTCTTCCACCATCATCGCCTATCCGCTTTCCAATTTTCCTGCTCTTCTAATTCTGCCACCCCTGATGAGGAACAGTTGCAGCATTCGGAGCTTATTAGTTTCTAGAGAAAAAGCAAGTGAAGTTGACTTGATAGAAGTTCACCAAAGTATTCTTATTATTCATGGCACAGGGGTCACAGGTGGCTAGACTGTTTCCTCTCACATTAATGCTAGAACTTGTGGAGCTCTAATGAAGCTGAATGTTGGAGGAGTCAGGGTGGACAAAAGAAGGTACCAGCGCATAGTTCAGCCAGGGAACTCTTTCTCCCTCTCCCTGGATTCTCACCAATATGCCTGATGGAACCAGTGCTTTTTTTCTACATATATATAAAATGTTTAGGAGTACTTTCATTTTGACTCCAGAAAATCACCATTTTATAGTTCAAATGAGGAAAAATAAATACAGTAAATGGACAAAAGTACAAAGAACATGCATTACACCAGGAAAGGAAATGAAGCTGCCATCAGAGGTGGTAACAACAAAACTGACCATTCACCACGCTAGATTCCAACTCCTACTTCACACATTAAACGCTCGCTTCTGTCTGACTGAGACTCAGGAAACACCATGATAGGAAAGGAAGCTGCCATCAGGGGTATCAGCAGAACTGACGATTCACCATGCTAGAGAAGAAACTATTTTTTTTAATTAAAAAAATTAGTTTCTTCTCCTGTTAGATTCACAAAATGTTCAGGGGTTTGTGTACCCCTGCACCCCCCCCCCCAGAAAAAAGCACTGGATGGAACCATTAATAGGAGCCACAACTGGAAGTAGCCAGAAAAGTTTCTCCTGATAAAGCTTGGAGTGGTGCAAAAATCTGGGCTACCCAAATGACAAAAGATGCACTTCTTATTCCCCACCACAGAGAGCCACTTTGCAGGCATCAGCCAGTAGTTTTCCAGCAGCAACAATTTGACAGAGATGCAAACGTTCTCTAACGCGGAGCAAGCAAAATGCCAACAGGTCAACACTGTCAGATTTGAATAACCTCCTTTAAAAACCCCCCGGGTGCCCCAGCACAGTATTTGCCTCATCCCTCTACCTGGTAAACAGTCAAAGCTGTGTTATTTAACACCAAACTCTGAAAGGAGACTTCGGTATTTGGGCATTTCACACACACACACACACACACACACACACACACACACACTCAAACAAACATACTCCTGGTCTGGCACAAAACACAATGTTTTTTAAGCAAGCAGGCAGGGGTGCTGTTTATGAAAATTCTAAGTGATTTAAGAAATGCATTCAACAGTCAAGAGAAAGAATTCAGCTGTTGCCGTTGCTTATTTTGCATGGAAGGAAGCTCCATTTCCCCCCTATGTAACACTAGGAGCCATATCAGATAGAGCCAACAGAGTTGCATTCTTGTTGATGAGGGTGCATTTTTTAAAAAAAATTACCTCATATGCACGAATCCAGCATTAGGTAACCTATTTCAGCCCATGGATCACAGTGGCACATTGAAACCTGTCCAGGGTCAACACACACACACACACGTACAGTAGATGCACCTTTTTAGCAAATTATGCCCAACAAACTCACAACAGCGGCTATTCACTGGATACCCTGCTATAGGTCTTCTTTCCACACAGCTCAGAAGCACCAAGCTAAATCCAGTTAACGGTTCTGTCAGCAGTTTATGCCTACCCACAAATTCCCAAGTGGCTTCTACCACTCGAAAGTGTGATGGGAAACCCCAGCCGTGTGGTACCTTGACTCAGTCAGGGTCTCTGCTGCTAGGATGGGAAATACTTGCACTACCTTTTGCCACTAGGGCTGCCATCTTGTATCCTGAACACCAGCCTTTCCTTTCCAAATGCAGGCGGAGAAAGGGCAGCAGAGGCTCCTTTAATCTGTTCCTGCTGCATTCCTATCACCCAGCCCACACTCACCTGTGGCGGCAGCAAGTGGAACTCCAGCTGCATCCCACAGCAGGTGAGAGAAGGAAGAAGACATCAGAACCAGGGAGGCAATGGGGAAGATTTAAGATTTAAAGGGCAACATCCAGTGACTCGTCATAGGCGACAGTCTTGTAGGTGACCCAAGGAATGTGGCCTTGCATCATTCAGCCTGGACACTGAGGTCCAGCTCTGAGGGCCTTCTGGCAGTTCCCTCACTGAGAGAAGCCAAGTTACAAGGAACTAGGCAGAGGGCCTTCTTGGTGGTGGCGCCCGCCTGGTGGAACACCCTCCCATCAGTTGTCAAGGAAATAAAAGAACTATCTGAATTTTAGAAGACATCTGAAGGTAGCCCTGTTTAGGGAAGTTTTTAAAGTTTGATGTTTTATTGTGTTTTTAATATTCTGTTGGGAGCCGCCCAGAGTGGCTGGGGAGGTCTGGCCAGATGGGTGGGGTATAAGTAATACAGTGGTACGTCAGGTTATGAACTTAATTCATTCCAGAGGTCCGTTCTTAACCTGAAACTGTTCTTAACCTGAGGTACCACTTTAGCCTTCAGCGTGCGATTTCTGTTCTCATCCTGGGACAAAGTTCTTAACCTGAGGTACTACTTCTGGGTTAGCGGAGTTTGTAACCCGAAGTGTCTGTAACCCGAGGTACCACTGTAAATTATTTTATTATTATTATTATTATTATTATTATTATTATTATTATTCACTGCAGTGTGGATTCTGATGAGGAAGCAGCAATTCCACAAAGGCACGAGCACTGTAGCAGACATGTTTAAGTAGGGTTTAAGGTTCCTCCTAGAAAACATTCCATTAAGTCGACCATCAGTGGCCTCACACTTTGCTCTTTTTGATTGGAGATTCCTCCCCACACAAGCACTGATCAATTGGCTTGGCAGGGGGTGTGGGTTGGGTCCATGTCAGTATGCGGATGATACCCAGCTCTACCTCTCTTTTAAATCAGAACCTGTGAAGGCAGTGAAGGTCCTGTGTGAGTGCCTGGAGGCGGTTGGAGGATGGATGGCGGCTAACAGATTGAGGTTGAATCCTGACAAGACAGAAGTACTGTTTTTGGGGGACAGGAGGCGGGCAGGTGTCGAGGACTCCCTGGTCCTGAATGGGGTAACTGTGCCCCTGAAGGACCAGGTGCGCAGCCTGGGAGTCATTTTGGACTCACAGCTGTCCATGGAGGCGCAGGTCAATTCTGTATCCAGGGCAGCTGTTTACCAGCTCCATCTGGTACGTAGGCTGAGACCCTATCTGCCTGCGGACTGTCTCGACAGAGTGGTGCATGCTCTGGTTATCTCCCGCTTAGACTACTGCAATGCGCTCTATGTGGGGCTACCTTTGAAGGTGACTCGGAAACTACAACTAATCCAGAATGCGGCAGCTAGACTGGTGACTGGGGGCGGCCGCCGAGACCATATAACACCGGTCTTGAAAGACCTACATTGGCTCCCAGTACGTTTCCGAGCACAATTCAAAGTGTTGGTGCTGACCTTTAAAGCCCTAAACGGCCTCGGTCCAGTATACCTGAAGGAGCGTCTCCACCCCCATCGTTCTGCCCGAATGCTGAGGTCCAGCGCCAAGGGCCTTCTGGCGGTTCCCTCATTGCGAGAAGCAAAGCTACAGGGAACCAGGCAGAGCGCCTTCTCGGTAGTGGCGCCCGCCCTGTGGAACGCCCTTCCAGCAGATGTCAAAGCGATAAACAACTACCTGACATTCAGAAGACATCTTAAGGCAGTCCTGTTCAGGGAAGTTTTTACTGTGTGATATTTTAGTGTATTTTTGGTTTCTATGGAAGCCGCCCAGAGTGGCTGGGGAGGCCCAGCCAGATGGGCGGGGTATAAATAATAAATTATTATTATTATTATTATTATTAAGGGCTGCTGCGCAGACACTGGCCAATGCTGCCTTCTGCAATTCTTGCCAAAGTGTGAACGTAGGGAGCTGCCTAAGACTGAGTCAGATCATTGGTCCATCTACCTCAGTACTGTCTACACTGACTGGCAGCAGTTTTCTAGGGGCCGAGGCAAGGAACCCTCCTAGCCCCACCTGGGAATTGAACCTGGGACCTTCTGCACGTGAAGCAAATGCTCTATCACTGAGCTATGGGCCTTTGCAGGGAAGAGTTGTGGTTTGCATGGGAAGTAGTGCTAACCGGAGCTGGCCTGCTCTCCTTGGAAATGACAGCCAGACATTTTCTTTCTACATAGACTATTCCAAAAAGGGGGTTAGCTTGGACCTGCAGACTTTTCTCCTTCTTGCAGCAATTGGGTCAGGGTTGGGTTGTTGTTGTTTTTTAAATAAAATTCTTTGTGGGGGATAACGAAGATTTATTTCTAAGTCAAAACCTTTGGTGTTATGTTGCAAAGAAATGATTAAAGCCCCTTTCCACGAACTCTTTGGAGGGCAGGCACACATCCTGCCGCAGAACAAGCGAGAGAAAAGTGTGGCCGTTTGGTGGCAGCTTATTGATTAATGCAGCCGGAGAAGAGAGCAGATTTAAATCCGTTTTATGCAATGTTCTCTAATCTAATTGACAAAGATTGAATCCACATAAGATTATTCAGACTTTTCAGCAGAAGAGGGGTGATAAATGGCCTCGCTGGTTCTGCACCAAATGCGAGAGACAAAGAGGACGAGTGCCATCATTCAGCCCATGATGCACAGCAAGGCGGGTGGGCGAAGAATTCTGCAATCTGCTCTGATGCACCAGGAGGGCAGCCATGCCCAGGAAGAGCCAACATGTAGAAGCAGATCCCTTAATTAACTTCAAAGACCCACATGAGGCTTCAGGTCACAGCAGCTGTGGAACTTCTGACAAAACCAAGTTTTTCTTCTTGGTAGATTGCAGGCTTTCGTAGGACAGCCAGCTGACTCCCCCGCCCCCCCCACCTGAAACAAATCATTATTTTTTTTCATCCAACAGATCCACACATGCTTCTCTTTAGAACCACAGCTGCAAGGATCATCCATCAGCTCCTGTCACCACATTTTCATGCTGGGAAGGAAAGCTGCATCTGTTGGATTGATGCCTACTGCTCGCCTGTTAAAGGCACACAGACACTTCCAGCAGTGGTGGCTGGTGCCCATTGGATCAGGGATGCAATGGGAGATCAATTGCCGGAAGAGCCAGTGACAGGCAGAGTCAACTCATTGTTCATACTGAAACATTGGTCCAAAGTTCATAGTGAAATATTTGCTAGCCAGTTCTCTCCTGCCCATTCTGTTACCAAAAAACATACTGTGGAATATTTAAGTGGGGAGAGACATCCTACAGTAAATTGCTTCGATTGAAAATTTGTTTTGCTCTGTGAACACAAAAGCTCCTAAAAGGAAATGCAATTTCTGCCTGCTATTCCTGAATTCAGGGGGTAGCAGAACAATGAAGGTTTTAGGGCGTGAACTCTAATTGGCTTGCCCTGTTATATAATAGTGCCTAGATCTGCTGTTTTGAAAGTAAAACTATGTCATGGAGGGGAAACCGGTACCTTCTCCCCCAAGATGTTGTTTTGAGTACAGTGGTACCTCGGGTTAAGTACTTAATTTGTTCTGGAGGTCCATACTTAACCTGAAACTGTTCTTAACCTGAAGCACCACTTTAGCTAATGGGGCCTCCTGCTGCTGCTGCGCCGCCAGAGCACAATTTCTGTTCTCATCCTGAAGCAAAGTTCTTAACCTGAAGCACTATTTATAGGTTAGCGGAGTCTGTAACCTGAAGCGTATGTAACCTGAAGTGTATGTAACCCGAGGTACCACTGTACAACCATCCCATCGCCTGGCCATCAGCCAGCCTGCGAGGAGCTTGTGAGAGTTGGAAGTCCAATAACAGATTCCCTACCCATTGTCTATGCCATAAGGCCCAATGGTGCTGACCCAGTATCTTTCTAAATTCTTCTTTTTTAAAAGAAAATATAGCAAGCACCCTATAAAGTTCCCTTCCCGAAGTTGATTACTATGCAACCACCTCTGAGTCAGTTTCCTAAGCAGAAAGAACACAAGAAGGGCCTGCTAGAGGAGGTCAGAGGCCAATCTAGTCTAGCATCTAATTCTCACAGTGGCCAACCAAGTTCCTACAGAATCATGCAAGCAGGACGTGAGCACAACAGCACTCTCCCCTCCTGCTGTTTTGGGGCTTCTGAACTTGAAATGGCATCAGAATTACCCACTTAAAAAAGCAGGAGCATGTGGAAGATAAGAGACCTGCAATTGCTCCACAGAAACAACGGCATGCATGTCAAGGTGCAAGAAGAGTATCGCAGTTTAAATTGTTGTAGTTCACCCAATCGGCCTCCAGGTGTCCCCACAGCTCTATGTTGATTCTAGGTGCAACCAGTCTCAAGAGGCTTGCACTCTTGTATGGAAAGTTTGCATACAAACAGAGAAGTCACAGGGGCATATATGACCAGGTTTTAGTAATATGAAACACATTTTTAGGCTATTGCATAACCCGTTTCCGTTTGTGGGGAGCAATTCCAAATGGCTAGTCAAGTTTCTTTACTCCACTCAGAACAGTAAGGATAGCCCAGATGTTGGCAAATGGCAGCTCCCAGCTCTCCTGACCATTTGGCCATGCTGGCTGTGGCAGGCTGAAGCTGTCCACGTCATCTCGAGAGGCCCAGATGGACCATCTCTTTGCCCAAGTCACCAGATCCAGGCCTGCAGCACAGTCATCCTCTTTATCAGCACAGTTAGTTAACAGAGATGATGCATTATGTACAAAGACAAAGACAAGGGTAACATGGTAGAGACAAAAATGCTGCTTTATTGAAGCAAAACTGTCCATTTGGACTGAAATGATTGTCTCTTCAAGTACAAATGCTCCAAAGCTAGGCAGACTGACCATGGCTTACAAGTGAAATTTCTCTCTCTCTCTCTCTCTCTCTCTCTCTCTCTCTCTCTCATGTCCATATCTAGGCAATATGTCTACCACTCCAAACATGTTCTTCCCCTCCAAAACCCATGTCATCACTGAATAAGGTTTTCCACCTTCCCACTTCTAGAGTGCATTCAAGTTCTTTGGGATTTCAAAGTGCTTTGCAGCAAAATAAAAATGGATATGCTGGAGGATTGACTTGGCCCATGAAACGAAGGCAGCTTTTTTTGGGGGGGGGGGAAGCAATGATCAATATGCAAACCAGTCTATGGCAAATGGTGCATTCAGTCTTAATATAATCCAATCTTAATGTAAGGCAAGTCTTCCTGGGTGTAGGATTTGTACAGAGCAGGGCACCCCTAATCAATGAACACTGCTCTCTGTCCAAACTCTTCCTGAACCAAATCCAGCTGATAAGGAGAATTTTAAGGGCGCCAACTCTTTCCAAATCCACCATCCCTTCACTCAGAATGGCACCTTCGCCCAGCTGAGGCACAACTTGCAAAAACACAAATGATGGAGCCTCATATTCCCCAAAGACAGGGGAGGCTCCAAGTTTCAGCATTCAGCCCTTTCATTTTGTCTGTACAAGAGTTGGGAGGTTTAAAAATGCTTTTGAATGTGTGGAGTATGAATCAGAGGTACGAGAATAAAGAAAGGAGCTGAGGGAAGTGCCAAGCAGAGATGGACCACTTGGGAGGAGAAATCCCCTCTTCCAATTAAAGGACACAAACATGGGGACACACACACACACACACTTTGTTACACTCTTGTCCTAGGCCATGCATGAAAACCTGTGATCCTCCAGATATCATTGGACTACAGTTCCCATTATTCCTGACCATTGGCTATGCTGGTTTGGGCTGATGGGAGTCCCAACATCATCTGGAGGGACACAGATTGCCCATGCCTATTCTATGGGGAAAAACAGTCGAGACATTACCCTAATAAGGCAATAAATAAATATATGTAGTGAGGTTGGCATGAAGGGTAAGCGCCTTTTGTAAAAGTGTTTCCCTTAGGGAAAGCACTCCTCTTCTGTTTGAATTTCCTGGGAGGGCTGGAAACAAAGGAGAAAGCAGTTGCCCTCTCTCAGGGTCAGCAAAAGAAGCACAGCTCCCACTCCAAGTATGTGCCATGATGTCACTTGGTTATATGGCATTGTGACCTCATAGGGGTCAATAATGTGATCCCCATATTGGGGCTGGGAAAGCAGGAAAACAATGGCACTGAAGGCGCAAGAGAGGGTGGAACAATAGGGTTGTGAAGAACTATAAGCAACATTTTTAAAAGCATGGTTGGGGGTTTGGAAGGGAAGGGGGATTTTTATTTCCCACTTCCAGTCCAGCTTTTGCTCTGAACATTCCAGACACCTCTAATTTACAGGGCACAGGGATTGTATTTATTCTGGAGCTGCAATTAGCAGCCCACAGCTCAGCAGCTAAATACAGAATGCTGCCCGCCTCACCTCAGAGTTACAGCCCTACACCCTCTCCTTTGTTTCAGGCTTAGAGAGTGGCTAGCTCTGAGGTGAAGGCCACTGCTAAAAATATACACTTCTTTCCCTCCTAAGAATAATGCTTGGTCAAGAGGATGCAGGCTTTCCTAGAGAGAAGATGGCAACCATCTTCCCAGGGACATTATCTCCCTCCTCTGGAAATCGCATGAGAGAAAGATGGATAGCTGCAAGGGCAGGAAACTGACTAAGTCCTACAAGGTATGTTCTACATGCTCCACTTGCCAAGAGAGGTCCGTGGGGTGGGCAGGATCCCTCCTATGGAGCCAGACCTGGTGGGACAGTAAACTGTGTGGGGCACAAAGGCCTGGTTCACACAACATGCGAAATCAAAGGCTTGTTCTCGGTTACAACTCATAGTGAGTGAGACATCACTTAGGTACAAGCTCTGGTCCAGACGGCACCTTGGCTTAGCTAAATGCAGGAGCAAAAATGACCGAAGGTGGGAGAACAAAGCAGTGGCAAGCTCCTCTCTGGGAACCCAGATCCCTATGTGGTCCCCCATAAGCCATAGTTTGGCTTACTGGGTTGTGTGAACCAGATCAAAAAGCTCAATTCTAATTCAAGGTACATTTTCCCTCAGACTGGTAAAACGAAACATTGCTAGCCTTCTAATCCCAAGGGTGTTCCCAACTCTGTCTCCATCTCCACCCATTTTTCACAGATTAAAGAACCTGTTTCTGGAGCTTAAATTGGTTAGGCCCATGGTGAGCTAGACCAAGGGTAGCCTATCTGGTGCCTGTCAGATGTTTTGGACTGCAATTCCCATCATCCTTGGCTGTTGGCCATGCTGGTTGGGGCTGATGGGAGTTGTCGTCCTCAATATATAGAAGGTATCACGTTGGCTACTCCGGAGTTATGCACATAAAGAGAGAAAGCCACAGCAATTCCTTCATGCAATGACTGCATGTTGACATTGTTTTTTTTTTTTTTTAAGGATTGAAGAAAGGCATTCATTTCTGCTTTGGTTCAGGCCATTCATATATGTAAATATGTGTGCACACCCCGCCCTACTCCAATGGACAATCTATTAAGCAGCACTGCCCCAGTGCAATGTCTATTCATATAAATGGAATTTGCTTGGGAGTATAACTTGGTGGGCTTTGTGTGCAGTAAGTGCTCAGTCATATCCAACACTGGTTGAGAGAGAAAGAGCGAGGAGGGGACATGAAATAAGGCTTTGTCTCACAGAAAAATTCTAGTTCACACTAAGACATTGTTCACAATAAGACACTTTTGGCTCACACCCCCTGCTTCTTCAATCTACGAGGAGAGAGAGAGAGGCTTTGGGGGAATATTAAACAACACATAAAATGCATATCATGTTTTATTGCTTCTCTGATTGCTCCAGGTTGATTCTCCAATCTCCTTACCAAAAAAAAAAAAGGCCACAATTCCTGTGTTCTCCTGGAAAAATTCTCTTTGGCTGAGGAAGGATAATCAAACAACAGTAGATTTCTTTAACTGAAATAAGGGAAAGGAGGAGACAGGAACAGTGGCTACAGTTTTGACAAACTGGAATCCCAATGGATTGACCATCACAACAAGAGGGGAAAGGTTATCTCCTATCTTATGTTCACTGGCTGACAGCAGAAACCAGGAAAGGCAAAGGGAGGCCCGGCTGCTTGGTCACCACCTCATCGGGTGCGCAAGTAAGTCGGGATGGAGTAGTTGAAGAGCAAGTAATCCATTTTGTATAAATTAAATAACCTCCTTTGGTAAAAGGGGCTGATGTTCTGGAAGAACTTAGCCGTCATGTCGTCGTTGGTCCTGGTGGTCTTGGAGGAGGAGGGGAACTTGACGCCTGCGTCAGCCCCAACCAGTCGCAGGATGTAATTGGAGTCCTTGGCCAATGTCTCGTACTTGCCTACCACGTCGTAGTGGATGATACAGGGGTGGCAGAGGGAGTGCACTCGCTCCCAGTGCTCATTGAAAGGCTCTTCGCGCTGAGTCTGCGGATCCAGCAAGTAGTACACAAACTCCTCGAAGCGCACGTCATGGCCGTGCTCCAGGGCCTCGTCGCTGGGGTCCTGGCGATGCCGCCGGATTATCTTGGTCCCGTAGCGCTTGTGGAAAGCTGTGTTGTAGCTGCGGGTGAACTTGTTGCGGTAGGCAGAGACCAGCCGCTCCAGAGGCTCCCGCACAAAGATGAACTTGAGGTAGTTGCGCAGGCGGTAGTTGATTTCGGGGATGCTGTACTCAGAGAGAGTGTGCAGGTTGGAAGCCACGTGCGCCTCGTTGGCTGGGATTTCCAACGGGTCCTGGTACTTGCCCTGCCCGGTCAAGACCATCATGACCCGTTTCCAGTTAGTGCAAGCCACCTTGGGGACGTAGCAGTACAGCAGCCCGTGAACATCGTCAACCACCAGGTGGCGCAAGTCGTCAGGAGTGAGGAGGCGCCGCTTGCGCGTGTAACGGTTGCACACCTTCTTCAGCAGGTCCCGCCTGCGCTGGTGCGTCGCCTGCAGGGAGGACTGCTCAAACTGAGGAGACAGAAGGGGGGAGGTGGAAAGAGTCACTGTACACTTGGCTGGTAAAGTGCATTTGGTCAGATCCCAACCTTTTCTCTGCTCAGGGCCACAAACACCTACGTGTCAAGAAGATAAAGAATCTGGAGGCCTTTCTAAGGCAGTTGTCAGGAGATCACCTGCTACTGGGACAACTTCCCTTCAAAAAAACCCTGCACCTACCTCTTCTCTGGCTGGCAACAGAGTTGGCAAAAGAGTAAGAGGAGGAAGGAGGGACAGTTTATTCCTGCATTGCAGGGCATTGGACTAGATGATCCTCAGGGTTTCTGCCAACTCTACAATTCTAGGGGTGGGGTTCAACTATGGTGGTGCTGTGGTCTATACCACTGAGCCTCTTGGGCTTGCTGATTGGAAGGTCAGTGGTTCAAATCCTTGTGACAGGGTGAGCTCCCGTTGCTCTGTCCTAGCTTCTCCCCACCTAGCAGTTTGAAAGCACACCTGTGCAAGTAGATAAATAGGTGAAGCTGCGGTGGGAAGGTAAACGGCATTTCCATGTGCTCTGGCTTCTGTCACAGTGTTCCGCTGCACCAGAAGCAGTTTAGTCATGCTGACCACATGACCTGGAAAGCTGTCTGTGGACAAATGCCGGCTCCTTCAGCCTGAAAGCGAGATGAGCACCGCAACCCCATAGTCACCTTTGACTGGACTTAACCATCCGGGGGTCCTTTACCTTTACCTCAACTATGTTGCTGCAATGAAAAAAGGCATTCACATAAAGAATATTTATACCCTAGAGAAGTCTGTAGCCACCAAGAATGTGCAGCACCCTCACCTAACTACAATTCCCAGAATTATTTGGGAGGTCAACTGGTATAGCCTATATTTTTAAAAGTCTGCATATTCTAACTCATTTTTATAAATCCTCACAGTTGTACTGTTTTATCTATATGCACTGTAATGTTTTTATTGTTGTAGATATTTTTACTGTGTGTGTGTCTAATTACGTTTATAGAAACACACACACATGCTTTTTAACAGGTGGGGGATACATCCATTTTTTAAAAAAACAACAACCCTGATATAGCTTTGTAATGTAGATGTGCCCACATGATACGAGGCTCCTTACGACCCCTTCAGAGCTTTTAGCAACCTGAATCACAAGGGGGGGGGGTCATTTGTTTGTATTCTCTCCCTGTACATCTGCTAATTTGTTTGGGTGATAACTAAATGCCACAAGGTTTAAAATGCCAGCTGGCGCGTTTGGAAAGGGGGGGATCTAACCTGGCTGTGTGTACAAGAGAGTTGCAGAAGGAAGAGGAAGGTGCTGTTAAAGTGTGTCAAGTCATCACTGTCTGAAGGCAAAGGAAAAGGGAGCATCAAAGCTTCCTTCATGAAAGGCCTGGCCAAGTGCTCTTGGCAGGGCAAAGTTAACTCTGGGACAGGATGACGTGAGCAGAGACTGCCTTGGGCTATTCAAACATCCCAGCCTCCCTGCTCCTTATTGCGGTTCTTTCCTGTGCAAGCCATCTGTTAGGAAGGGGTCAGGTCAGGCCACTCCAAGGTCATGGTGATGCCCCAGGGCTTGCTACTCTGAACAAGTTCAGGAACTGGATTCATGACTTGGAAGGTATGCATGTGTGTTCCTCTTGCTTTCTTCTACACTTATGCCCACCGTTGTCTCCCCCCCCTCTTTTTTTTAAAGAAACACAAGGCAACATCAATTTATTGAAGGAGTCTGCCCTGATTCTCTCCCTCCTATTTCATTAAAGACAGAAAGCTCTCGTTTCAGCACGTGAACTGCAGCTGTGGGTTCAGTTGCATTTATTCCTTCGGTTGCTCCTTCCACCGTCACACAAGTTCTGATGTCGTGCCAAAGGCCTGCTTTTGAAGATCCCCGTACGCAAAATATTCTCTGGGGGAGGGGGGAATCAGCTACGCCATCCCACAGAGGGCTCAAAGCTCTGTTCGTGCGGTAAATCTTGGACATTTGCGCAGGGCGCATTCTGCATTTTGTTACACAATTAAGCAGATTCTTTGTCTTGCGCCCAGAAAAGCATTCCTAGCTTTAAGCAAGGAGCTTCTACTAAAAAGCATATGGCTCTGAAATCACAATCTGGCCTACACAACACAAAACCTTTTCAAGTAAGGCTCCCACTACGTAGCAACAGCATTTTCTTCCGAGGAGGGGCTGTGCAACGCGTAGGTAGACCTTTTGCTTCCTTCACTTTTGTCTTCTGAGGGTTCCTGACAGCTGTCAGGCGCTGTTAGATCACAGCCCAGGAGCCTGCTTACTCAACCTACCATGCCTGCCTCAATTTCTCACTCACCCGTTGGCATCTGCCAGGCCAAATAAGACTTGTTCACGCTCTTCAAAAGGAAGAGGGATAACATTAAAAAAACAACCCAACCCACTCTCTTAATGCCAGACAGAGAGATGGGTGGAGCCGGCACATCACACCTTATTGTTTTGGCCATCTAGCAAAATTGGATCTGATTGTGGTCACTTCCAAGGTGGGGAGTAAGACCAATGCTCAGACACAGTGACTTGAAAAGAAAGACAGCAGACTCACAGGGAATAAGACTACCAGTGGCTACTCCAGGAACAGAGGCAGCATTATTCCCAATACCAGTTTCTGGGAGAGGACTATTTCTAGTGCTGCTCCTGGTCCTGCTAGAGGGCTTCCCAAGAGACCTCGCTGGCCAGCCTCTGCAGGAATCAGGATACTGAACTAGAGAGAGGCCTTTGGCCTGGTTCAGCAGGGCTCTTATGTTCATAAGCTGACCCAGGATTTGAACTCACATCTCCCAGAGCTGGGGCACATCTTAGATAGGAAGCTATTGTTATTGACTACATCAGGGGCCATTCACTCACCCCGTTTCACAAGGGCCAGGCGGCTTTTGTGTAACACAAGGATTAAAAGTTATAGAATGTTGTGCGCTTGCAATGACTCCTCTTTAAAAACACAGTTGAGACATTAAGGCAGAAACGTTATAACACTGAAAAGCAGCCGTTCCGTTTCCTATATGGGTTCACTGGGGAGTCATCGTCGCTGCCGTGGGAGCAGTTATCTGGCTTTCATTTTCTCCTGTTTCCATTAAATTAATTGTCAAAAGGAAGGCAAGAGTAGGTGGTTACGAGGAGAAAATAAAATGTATTCTGGCAAGCTCCAACAGCCACACACAGGGAGTATCCTGTGGTATCTGCACTGCGGAGAGTTTCCTACCTTCCTTGTTCCTAGGTCGCCCTTGCCAGGCATCAGTCCCCTAGCATAAATCACACTGCTAAATGGAGTCTGTGGCCAAGCAGTCAGGGGCATCGGATAAGGTGGCAAAACCTTTACCTGGACTGCACCATGTCAAACTGCTGGTGCGGGTCGATGTCCATTAATGATCCTCCAAACATACCAAAAAACCCACCACAAATAGGTAACTGCCTCATCAGTGGGAAAGGTTACCAGCAATTAGGTCTTTAAAAAAAAAAGTGTAGGGGATTGTTAAATCATGCATGCCTCCCCCTGCAACCTAAAGTGGTACAATCCAGACATAGGATTGCTTAAGTCATCCACTGTTTGTAGGGTATAAACCTATGAGGATAAATCTCTTGCTAGACCAAATCTCTGAGCAACAGCAGGGACAGCTGCGGACCTTTGGGGAAAGTCATTGTGCAGCAGTAGAGCACATGCTTTTAACATGCAAAAGATGGCAGGTTAGATTCCCCAGGAGTGACAATTGAGTCTAACCTCTAAGAGAGAAATAACTCCACCCAATTTTCTAGATCTAGATATATTTGCCAGAAGCCTCCCAGAATACTTACAGCCCAAGAGCCTGAGCTATGCAGCAGAAGCATCTGATGCCACTGATTCTAACTTCTGCAAACTATTTGGAGAGGGGGAAAAGCCAACATGCTCACAGTGGAGCTAGCCTTTGGGAGGACTTGCTCCTGATTCGCTTGCTGGATGCTTTGAAAGCAGGGTGGCCAGGGCATGAGAGCAACTCAATCCCCTTTCCAGATACACAAAACCACCAAAGTGGCAATTTACCTCCTCTGCCCACCACCTTTCTGTAATTATCAATGAGGCAGGATAAAATGGGTCAAAAAAATTGTGGTCTGGGTGCAAAGTTGTCCTAACAAAAAAAGAAGAAGAAATGCACATCTTCCTCTGCAGATAGTAACACCGAAGTTGCATCAAAGCAAGCGTTGTGTGTTGCCTGGACTTTGACACACAATGAGCACTCCCCAACTCTTGCCGGTTCCCTCCACGCCCTTCCACCTTCCCTTTTCGCGTTCACTCACCTGATCACCGTGGTAAAGAGCCTGAAGTGGACTTCGACCAGACTTTCCATGCCAACTGGACTTCAGAATCCTGTCCTCTGCAGCTGGAAAGGAAAGGGGGAAGTTTTAAAAAGTGCCACTAGCAGCTCTGTTTCATGAATGAATGAATATAAACACACATACACACACAGTGTCAGCCTTTGCCAACCTGGTGACCTCCAGCATGTGCTGGCAGGGGCTGTAGTCCCAACAGCTGGAAGGCACCCGATTGGTTGTAGTATATGACTGAGATGCTTGGGTGGTGGCATCTAAGAGAAGATTCTGCCTGGGAAATGGTTTTCACATGTGCTCTGTTATGCCTGGGTCAAGATGAACACCTAAGCCTGACAAAAAAAACCTCCCCAATGGAGTTGGAAAGCACAACAGGTCTGATAAACAGGTTGTCTCGCTTGCTCCACTTCTCACTTTTTCCTCCCACTAAAAATTATTAGAGAAAATAAGATTAGGCTCTCACTTACTAGTTTAATCCCACTCTTCTGTTAGAGCACCTTCAAAGTATCCCTGTGGAACGCCCTCCCATCAGATGTCAGGGAGATAAAGAATTACACAACTTTTAGAAAACATCTGAAGGCAGCCCTGTTCAAGGAAGTTTTTAATGTCCGACATTTTATTATTTTTTATATTTTGCTGGGAGCCACCCAGAGTGGCTGGGGAAACCCAGTCAGATGGGCAGGATATAAACAATAAAATTGTTGTTGTTGTTGTTAACAAGGATTGAAGCTATCAACACAATGAAACATTAAATGGTAAATAAAACAAGAAAGCAGTAGTAGCAAAAATACTAGCAGTAGAAAGCAAAATAAAACATGACAAATGGGCACATGCTGTTTGTGCTGTGGCACCAGTTCTCTGAAATTCTCTTCCCTTAGAAGCGAAGGAAGCCCCAACATTGTGATGTTCTCAGCCTTTATTACAAACTTTTCTTTTCTTCCAGTCCTTCCCAAATTAGCCTATTTTTATCTTTGCTGTTTTTAATTCTTGTTGGCTTTTATGTCTTAATTCCGCTTTTATGATTTGCATTTTACGTTCTGGGTGATATCCCATCAGCACAAAGATATCCACTTGTGCAACAGGACTTTGCCCCCTCTGTCCCCTCCCCACCTCCCTTGCCCCCTCCAAAAACCTGATCCAGAGGGTTGGGAGAACCCCTAGAACAGTCCAGGGGAGGGGGAAAGAGAATGTTCCATTTTACAAGCAGAAATCCTTGCACTGATGACTGAATGTTCACACAGAGCTATTCCACATTTGTTGTTGTTGTTTAGTCATATCCGACTCTTCGTGACCCCATGGACCAGAGCCATAGCTGTCAAGTGTCCCTTATTCCAGCGCCATGTCCCGCTGCTGTCCCTTATTGATGGATGTCCCTTAAATGTCCCTTAAATGATGTCCCTTAAATTTCAAAGGAAGCAGCTCCTCTCCCTCCCTCCCTGCCGGCCAGAGAGGAGGGAGGTTCCAACTGTGTTGCTTGGCTGTGTTGCTCACCCAATAAGAAGTCTAAGAACGACTGGGGGGTGGAGCTTGCATGCCTTGTGTGTGGCTAGTTAATGCAAGCTGAGGGGGGGCTTGAATGCTGGACGCCATTTTGTTGCACGTGCTGCTGCAAACTTTGCAGTGCAAAGCCAGGCGGGGGAGCCATCTTAAGTTGAGGCTGCATAGGCCTTGTGGTGCATGTGATTCAGATTCTATTCAGTTGAACCTCTGGTTACAAAGTTGGTTGGACAGTGTTCTCGAAGCTACCCAGCACGAGTTTGACCAGACTGCAGGAGGACAGGAAGACTGGAGTGCCTGGAACAGGTGAGGCTGCAGGTCCCTTATTTTGGCTGCTGGTCCCTTATTTTCAAGGCTGCTGGTCCCTTATTTTCAAATCTGTAAGTTGACAGCTATGACCAGAGCACACCACATACCACATACGACCCTATCTTTCTGTGCTGCGCTTTTTATCCTGGTTTGTTGTTTAATTCTACTGCATTTCTTTTTGCTTTTTGCTTTTCATTGTCCAGACAGGGCGTAAGACAGGGAAACCAAAATTCTGTGGCTTGCCTTATTTAGTACTTCCCATTTACAGTAACTAAACCCTTCACTCGTCACTTGCAAAATAATTAGACCCCTGTGGGCACAAGGATAAACCACTTCCCGCTGGGCTAGACTCTCCAGGCAATTACCCAAGAAGCGGTGGCTGTCAGTAACAGTCACTGGCTTGCTCAACCCAGTGAACCCTCGGCCTGCAGCAAGGGGAAGCCATTGTGGCGCTGGGATGAGGCCTGATCAAACGCATGCCAAGCTGCCACACTCGGCTGAGCTGCTCGTGTGTGAGGTTCTGAGCCTGCGCCACTGCCAGTGGCTTACCAATTAAAAAGGAGAAACCTGTCAAGGCAGATTTTAAACATTCATTCATGGCAATGACTAAGAACCCTATTGAGGCAGGGGGCCAGGATTCTGGGAAAAAGTAAGAAGGGCGTGCTCATTAGTTTTGCTCCCCATAATAAGAACTTGAAAATATTTGTTATTGTAGTAGGCTCAATGTAAGAACACAGGAAGAACTTGCCAGATCAGCCCAGTGGCCCATCTAATCCAGCATCCTGTTCTCACAGGGTCAACCTGCTGGAAGTTTGCAAGCAGCGCCTAAGTGCAATAGCAGCCTCCCCACTTGTGATTTTCAGCAGCTGCTACTCAGAAGCATTACTGCCTCTGTCTGTGGAATCAAAGCATGCCCTTCATTATTGGTAGCTGCCAATGATAGCCTTATCCTTCATGAATTTGCCCCAAAGCCATCCACGGCTTATAGGACGATGCCCAACCCCAGGCCTATGCTCTGTATTCTCATTACTGCTGGGATAACAACAAATCAGCACAGAACAGAACTGACTGGCCCAAACATCTCTTTGTAGCGCTGCTGCTCCTGCTGTAGGCGCCACAGTAGGTGGGTTTCAAGGCGCCATGTTCAAAATAGCAAATCTAGATCTTTTGTGGTAGAAGCATGAATATGAAGAATCAGGATGAGCATGCTAGGGGAAGGGGAGCAAGCTTTTGAACTCCAGGCTGTAAGTCATAAGTAACAGACCACTAATCTAAATGCCATTGTCCCTGGCTTGAGAAAACAAGTATAAATGCATGTTCTTATACTGCTTTGTACAGTACTTGGGAAATCAGCTCAGCATACTAAGGGAAGTGGGGGGAGGGGAGAGAAGGTAAGGCTGGTCACATTCTTACACGGTGAATAACCTGATAGCTTGCAGTGGTTGTGGAAATCAGCAGGGGAGGGGGAGAATTTAATCATCCAGAGAAATATCACCAGCCCTACCACATGCTTGTCACGTGACAGAAGGGGAAGTTTGGGCAAATGCAGTGCCGATATGCAAGGTTGGCAGTTGCTAAAGGGCAAGTGATCTGTGAGCTGATGCAAAAAGTCGGGAGAAAGCGGCAGGTTACTGAAGAAGTGCAATGTTGCAAGTAACCACAACCCATGCCCACAAAGGTACCGTTACGGGGGTGATAGGAAGAGCTTGTCATGAGAGCTTTGCTAGATATGGGGAACCAAGTGTTAATCTGCATTTCAGTCTTCTCTCTGCCCTGTCCTAGATTGTAAATGTTCAAACCTAATCCAAACTGACTGGATTTTGGTACCGTTAGACCAAGTTCTCTTGCTTGGGAAGAGACAGAACTCAAAGCACAAAGGGAATTTCCAATGTCGGTCTCAGCAAGTGCAGCCTTTGCTCCAAGTCAATGCACAACAAAATGTGCACCAAACCACATACAAAAAAAGGGGGGGGGGAGGAAGAACTGGCATTGAATTGGACTCAGCCCTGGCTTGACAACACCTAACATGTTAGAAACTTGCTAACTAACCAGCTTTCATACAGATACCTCATGGCAAATGAGAACTGTAGATATGTGTAACTCAAAAACTAGTTTTCAAACTGCCTATACACCTCTCGTGGTGTTAAGACAACTATGTGTTTTAGGCTTTCCTTCACTAAGTACTGGTAGCAATCTGCTCTGTGTGGTCAAGGGAATATGCCCCCTTCCTGCTGTGTGGGCTTGATCAAGGGATTTCTCAATAGAAGGCAACAGGAGGCTAGCAGTGCTGATCGCCTCTAGCCAAGATGATATTTACAATGTGTACAAGAGCATTTGTGTTGGGAAGAGAGGCGGGGAGCACTGGAGCATACACAACAGATCCATGGAACTGTATTATAAAATCAGCCTAGGAGGCTTACTGCTTAATTTGTTCCCCACGTGGCTTGATGAAGAGTTCTTGAGAACTCAAGAGTTTGCACACTATTTCGGCTGGCCTAATTGAAGACATGGTTCCAATATGGTTTTTGGAACCTCATTTTAGCATCTTTGCAACACCTGAAAACTAAAAGGCAACTAGGCGCAGTTAAGACTTTTTTCCTTCCTAAAACAACAGAGAGTATTGTGATGCCTTAAACGCTAACAGTTTTTCATTACGGCATAAGCTTTTGTGGACTTGGGGTCATTTTGTCAGATGCAAGGAGTGCGATCCTCGGTTGTCAGATACACATTGCACATGGATGTATAAATGACCCTTTGGCGCAGTTATTTATCGAGTTGTCAGAAGTCTCTAAATCTCTCCACCAGGTGGCTAACCTTTGGCCCTGCAGAGGTTGTTGGGAGATCAGCTCCCATCAGCCAAAACCAGCATAGGCAATGCTGAGGGCATGGAAACTGTCACTCAGCAGCATCCATAGGGCCACAATTTAGCTCTGCCTGCTCTGCGCTGATCATAAAGCAGAGATGAAAGCTTGCCTTATGAAAACACACTTAAAGAGCACACTTAAAGAAAGGGGCAAGTAGCCTGAGGGCAGTTACATAATTCTTCATGCAGAGTGCAGCAGGGTGGCATGTGGCGCAGGGCTTCCACTATAAAGAGAATCTCAACAGCCAGTTTTGGGGAAACTAAACATGAAGAGTGGGAATGGGATAAATGTTCGTAGCCCGCCAAGGACAGGAAAAGTTGGGATTCGAGATATCTTGTTTCGGAGAGTGTGCGTATGAGCTGTCAAGGGAACCATCAGAGCAGGATATTTACTGATTGTGCTAGTAGCCATGGCAGGCCCCACTCAAGCACTGTAGTTATGGACAATACAGTGACCTGAATAGGAAATTGCTTGGCTCTGTGACCCAGTTATCAAGCCACTCTATCATCTATCTATCTATCTATCTTCACGTAAGTGCAGAATGTACCCATATGCCATATTTTTCGCTCTATAAGACGCACCAGGCCATAAGACGCACCGAGTTTTTGGAGGAGGAAAACAAGAAAAAAAATATTCTGAATCCCAGAAGCCAGAACAGCAAGAGGGATCACCGCGCAGTGAAAGCAGCAATCTCTCTCACTGTTCTGGCTTCTGGGATAGCTGCGCAGCCTGCATTCGCTCCATAAGACACACACACATTTCCCCTTACTTTTTAGGAGGGAAAAAGTGAGTCTTATAGAGAAAAAAATACGGTATATGGCAGATAAGAGAAATGGAAGCAGCACGGTGGGCAGTACAGGCTCATTTGCTGTTCCTCACCACCACCTCCAGTGGAATAGCCAATAGCTATGATGCCGCTCTCCTCCCTCTGCACACTGTTCTGGGGCTTCTCAGATTCCCAAGCTAATTTCAAGGAGGGACACAGGGGGGAGAGAGAGAGTGGAGAGCTCCCTCACACAAGCAGAAGTCCTTGTGGACGGCTTTGGCTGACAGGCTCACTAGGTGACTCCTGACCTTATCTTATCACAAAATCTATACTGAGATGTAGTTACAGGTAGGTCGCTGTGTTGGTCTGCTGTAGTCAAAACAAAATAAAAAAAATTCCTTCCAGTAGCACCTTAGAGACCAACTAAGTTGGTTATTGGTATGAGCTTTTGTGTGCATGCGCTTCAGGTGTATCTGAAGAAGTGTGAATGCACACGAAAGCTCATACCAATAACAAACTTAGTTGGTCTCGAAGGTGCTACTGGAAGGAATTTTTTTATTTTGTTTATACTGAGATGCTTATTCTGTCTCAATGTAAGCTTCTCTAGATGTATTTTAAAGGCTGTTTGGTGTGGGTTTTAATGCCAAGAGCTCTCCTGCAGAATTCTGAGAAGTGTGAAATCTAATGAATAACTGCGTCCTAATCTTCACATCAGTCCAGGAGGTGTGGATCAGGTCAGTTTACCTGGAAAGTCAAAAAAGGGAGGGGATTTGCTGAGTAATGGAATAGCTGTGCTCCGGGGGTAGAGCACCTCAGGTCTGAGGTCAAACGCAGCTCTCCAAGCCTCTCTGTCTGGCTCTTGGGACCCTACCTAGGCCACATAACCCAACCATGCTGCTTACCACCCCTGCTTTGCACCCACCTAGAGTGCTTTTGGCTGGCTGCAATATGCCCCTGAACTCTGATCATGGCTTTTGCTTGTGTGGGTGGAGAATAAAAAGGATTGCATGATGTTCCAGACCCCTCCTGGCACCACTAGGCTGGGCTTCAACCAAGGACCAAAACATTGCCTTTCAGGAGACAGCAACCATATATATGCAGGAACCATTCATGTATGTCTGCAATACTCAGCAGAACATTTGGTCTGCTTGGCAAAAGGGGACGAGAAGGCTATGTAATCTTTATTCTTTTAGGAAAAAAGTAGCTGCTAACTTATTGGTGAAAGAACGTTGAAGCTCTCGCCTGGAAATGGGCAGCAGCCAAGCTTCTTCATTCCACAGGACCTGGCGGTTGTGGTGTTAAAATAAAAGATTACGCCATCTCTTTTGTCTGTATGCTTTTCAAATTTCATGGCTTGGGTCAGAAGTGATGGCATATTTCACAAACACTTGTACATCAGTAAGTGCCTTAATCCATAATACTCCTGTTTGCTTTATACTCAGCTATTCCCAATATTAAACTACTGCAGCCTATCTCAGTTAGAACTAGGGATGGGGGGACCTGTTAATTTTGATTTCTCAGTTTTCCAACCTTAAGCTCAGTTTCCCACATTTCCACATCAGCTTGCGATTAGTATTATTTTAAAAAGCCCTCGTGAAAATTCATCAGAATTTGAGTGCTAATTTCTTTTAATAGACACCTTTCTGCAAAGTGTTTTTTCCCTAGTAAAATGCATTTTCACTAATATATGCATCTTATTCACACTTTATCCCAGAGCCTGCATTCTGGTGCATGTTACTTGGCTGGAGAACTGCAATGCAATATTCAAGGAAGCGCAAAATTTGAAGAATGGCTGCTTCAGTTTGTGCATTGTTTCAGAAACTGCCAAATAGGTAGGTTCACCTTTAAATGTGAACTGAATCATATTTTCTATTCATAACAGGGAACAGTTTTAGCTGGAACTGGAGAACACCTTATAGTCAGAAATATTATTTTCTGAATGTTAGTGCGGTAGAGAAAACAGGAGGCAGCTGTTGTAAAAACTAAATGTCCACTCTGCTCAGTGTAGCATTTTCAATTTGCAGAATGTGGAAAAACCTAAAAACATGATTTAAGCATCACTTATAAAAATGGCCCCAAGGGAGCCACAAATGGCTCAGCTACATCAGGGCAGCAGTCCAACTGTGAAGGAAGAATTCTCCCTTTGCCAATGCCACTGCAAGTAGCAGCAAAAGGAGGAGGGGAAGAGAAGATCCGCTACAGCCCTGCTTCTAAAGATAAGCCACCACCCTCCAAATGGTGGCTGATTCAGATGCACACCACCACACACACACAAATAGGAGAAATGACACACAGTTTCAAGGCTGGGAAATTCAGCACAATTTCATTTCACTCTTAAAGTGAGAAGGTTGAAGTGGGAACTTCTGCATGCAGAGCATGTGATCTACCACTGACCTATAGTTGCTCCTGAAGGGCAAGATCTGATTCTTAGTCACCACTAGAAGTCGGGATTACAGCCATCAGCACAGCAGGATTCCCCATCACAAAAGCCTTTCCGATATTGCAATGTCTTGGAACGAAACCACCTGACTTTATGATGCATCGGGTGCTGTATGTGACATCCTTCGTATGCAAAGGCCCTTGAAAGGTTTAGCAGAGACATAGCTGAGTAGCTCCAGGAGTGAGTGTGATACAGCCAAATATAGCCAGCCCCTGAAAGCCCCTCAATCCTGTTCTGTTTAAGTCATCTTCTTCCAGATGTCAAACTCTGATCTAATAAAGAGCTCTATGTAACAGAATATACTGATGTGTATTTTTGGAAGAGTCTCCAAACCAGTTCAAAATTCAAACTCTTAGGGCAGAGGTAGACCTCCAGGTGTTGTTCAGGTCCTAATTCCCAGGTTATAAGGAACCACAAAGGTCATCTATAGTTCTGTCAGAGCAGGAAATCCACCTCTACAACATCCCTGATTAATTCTTTAAATTTCTAGGAGTGTGCTAACATGAGCATTACAAAATGAATCTAATGTGTGAAATGCCATCATCTCTGCAATCTGCAAATTGGCCCTGGACAGAATCTCCTCTGTTCCAAATACCCAACATGCATTAGGAAGTGCAGCAACATAATTAACTGATACTTAATAAAGCTGATTGATCCAACTGCATTAAGGCCTTTCCATGTATGAAGAATGACTTCGTGGAGTTCACCACCACTGCCATCAATCTTGCCTGTAGGGCTGAGGAAAGGGAAAATACCACTCCAAATTGGAAGTAATATTCTACTAAACAGTGATGCTATTATTCTCCAGCAGTTTGATGGCAATAATAGCTTTAAAGCCAGGGCCCTGTAATGACTTGCCAGCTGGTTCCCATCACTCTTTTTCAGAAACAGAAAGGAAATCAATCTGAAGCTAACCCTGTTTGGTTTATTATACTAATTGAGTGGGCAGAGGATAAAGAGTGAATGTTCCTCGGAACCTTTTGAGAACATACAGCTTAGAGAACAGCCCTGCTGCTTTTGACAATCAGAAATCAGATATTTATCCAATGCTGACCTGGAAACGATCCCAATGGTGCCCTTTGGCATTTCCATTGGAAATTATGGCAAGTGCATCCCTGCAGTTTCAAAAGTTGGCTTTCAAACTCTTTGCTTTTCCTGGATCAATCTGTACCCCCTAAAACCTAAAATCATTTCTGAAATTTGGTGCCAAATCAAAGAATGGACCTTTGTCTACAAATCAAAGAATGGACCATTTTTTGAGGGCTGCAATATTTAGTAGGCAACAGTACCCAATTTAGTTTGTATTGACTTTCCCTCCATGTATATCTCTTAAAATTAGTCTCCAGCTTTGTTGAAACTTCCTAGTTCCAGCTTGATTTTGGATGCTACTTAGTAAGGAACCTGTGTGCTTCAGCCAAGGATGGAGACAGATGGGGATTTTTTTTATTTCAAAAACTGGGGTCTGTGTGAACCATTGTAAGCTGCTTGGAGCCAGCAACTCTTGAGGCAGCCCAAGATGCGACTTGAAACCTTCCTAGAATCTAGTACAGCCCAATCTATGCAAGCTTACTGCTCCCTCCCATATTCCATCATAAAACTGTGACTATATGCAGGCACCATAGCTTCAGTGCCAGCCAGTTGTTTTCTACCCCACACCCTACTTTAACAACAAGCTATGGAGAACTGAAAAGACTACCCCCCATTTTGTGACATTTTAGTTGGTCCTAATAAATATATTCCTTCACCATGGATTGACTGTACAGTGTGTGTGTGTGTGTGTGTGTGTGTGTGTGTGTGTGTGACACGTGTGTACACCCCTCCCCAATACAATCATAATAAAAACCATTAACAATCCCTAAGACATCAACAAAATTAGCACATAGAAATTGCACATAGCCCTGGTTCACAACCTTCTAGGAATTGAAGTGTTCCTGTTCCTCTCTGGAAGCTTTGAACTGACTGAGCTGGGCAGGCCACATGTGTGTGATAGAGTCCCACAAAGGTGTCTCTAGTCCACTTAATATTTACTGGATTTAAAACTGAATTGAAGGGAGATGAGTGTCTGTCTGTCTGTCTGGAACATACCTAGTTTCCACTGTACAAAGGCAAGAGTCAGTTTCTAACAGTGTCTTCACAGAGAAGGAAGAAGCAATTACAGGAAAAAGTATGAGACATGAGCTGTATTTTTAACCTGTTTGTGTAGAGTACTTTTTCCATTCAAAGGCTTCCATTTTGTCCTACTTCCAGTTTACTACACAAGCACCTAACAGATAGAAGCTATCAGCTGGATGAGCCTCAGCTCTTTATACAAAAAAGTACCCCTGTCCATTGGGCTACTTGTGATCTTTGATAAAACAAGCAATTCAAAAAATTTTACTAAGGCAACCCAAGATTCAAGGGGCGGGGGGAAGAGACTGTATACCAAGGCCTCTATTCATTGATTTAATTGCAAATTGCTTTACTTAACCTTTTCCTACTTGTGGTCAGAAAGGATGACAAGTTATGTACGACACTGAGGCTCCCAACATCTGGATTTCCTATTCAAACCCCTGACCTCTTCCTACACTCCCGAGATTTTGCCAGGCATCACCCAAATCTGTATTCACAGCTTCAAGAGCAAAAACCTAATTTTCCTAAAACAACAACAACAACAAACACCACATTTCCCGGAACGCTGCATTTTGCCCCAAAACCAATTTAGCATGTCAAGAACTGGAAAAGCACGCACACAGCCTTGCACATCTGGAACCTGGTGCTCAAATGTGTCAGGTTTCCTCACAGCTTCAGAGTAGGGCATTGGCTGGACTCCCATTTCTGCCCACTAACCCCCAATTTGTGAGGTGGAAACTGCTGCCATTCATCTTCCTTCTAAAGTAGGCATGTAGGAGGAGACAAAGGGAAAAGGGCCAAGGGCACTGAACAATGTGGCTCTAACATGCCTGAACCTGTGGTTTGGCAAAAGGACGTGAACATGCCATAAAGAACTACTGTCTGGAACGCAGCCACAAACACTCAAAGAGGGAAATGCTCATTTAAGCATCTAATCATGAGTGCTGAGTAATCCCAAGAACGGTCCATTGCTGTGGACCTATTTGAACACAGTCTCTGTAATGAGAGAAATATTCACTACCTACAACCTTACTATTAATCAGAATGAGGCTGCGCTCCTGAAGGGTACCATTAATTGACTGGGAGACATTTAGAATTATATCCTCTAGAAGAGGATTCAGAAACACGTTATGTCTTTGCTGTAGTTCCCTCTTAGCGTTGGATCTGCGTACTGATCAGACACGCACCAAATGACGAATCCAACTGGCTGGGAACCGAAGGGACAGCGCTCCAGATTTCAAGGCAGCCGACGGTGACATCATGCAGGCTGCAGCCAACAGGGTTTCCCTGTACAGCAATGATTAAGAACAGATCCCAAAATGCAAAGCTCACAACTTTGGACGCAAACCACTGGCTGGGCTGTATGACACACTGGGAATCCAGGGCACAACACAAGACGGCAGGAACGTTTGCTCTCCCATTGAAATCAATTGTGAGATTTAAAGGTCCTTAGCCACGACTGGATCATGTCCTTGGAAAAGACACAGAAGGGGAGTGTACTTGCATCTGTAGGCTGTACAGTATGCTACTGCCCCGTCAGTTACTAAATTCAGCCACCCCCTTCACTTCCTGTTGCATCTGCCCAAGATATAAAAAGAGGGGGAAATGAAAGAGCTGTCTTAAAGCCAGAAATTATAGCTTTGGGCAACAATTACAGCCACTGGCCTTCCTGGAAGTAGAAATTCTAAAAAGTGATCCAGAAGATCTTCTTTTTTTTAAAAAAAAAAAGTCAATTCTTGTTGCTTTATGGAAGAGTATTGATTTGAAGGGGGTAATTGCATTTAGATCCTGTTTACCTTTCCTCCTTGGTTAAAGCTAACATTTTAAATGTTCGGAAATGACCACAAATGGGGAAAATGGGAAACGCACAAGAGCAGCATGCCTTTCTCTACTGGATTCCTGCAGATCTAAGAGGCATCTGTCAAAACTGAAACTGGTTGTTGTTGTCCTTTTTCCAGGCCATAATAAACATATATCGCCCACTGCTCTCCGGGGCAGTCCAAAATTAAGAGTATTTTCATCTGTAATGCTAACATGCATACAACTTTTATCCTGCTCTCAGTAATAGGGCCATATGTAATACTGTTAACAAAGAGCAGAGAAGGACCTAAGGTCTAGACTTCTTTTCCACATGGGGCATTTTCTTGTCACATTGGTTGAAGAGTTGCTTCCCCGAACTATGGTGCTCCCAAACATCATCTTTTTTCTCACAATAAAAGGAAGCTCAGAAAACCAATATTCTGGTCAACAGACCCATCTCCTTGCCCTCCCCCTCACCCAACTGTTGCCTCTGTAGGAGCTATACTAGACCAACATGCCTTATGTGATGCACGCCAGAGAGTATGGGAAATGAAGTAGAAAGACAAAGCTTAAAAAAAAAAGAGTATTAGCTTGAACATCTCTCTTTGTCTTAAAGGCTCTCTCAGGAGATGCAAGGAAGGAGGAGCCAGCCTTCACGACACTTTCTCACTGTCACCATTCCTTAGTCTACATATTATGCCATAAACTGACTTCATGGTTTTCTCATTTAAAGATAAACTTCTCCAAAAATAAATATTGTTTGGTGGAAGGAAGCAATTTAGGCTACAATCCTAATGTTGTTTACTACTGAATTCAACAGGACTTACTTCTGAGTAGACATGGTTAGATTGTGCTGTTAGACAGAAAATGAAGGTGGGTGCATGTAAAATTCATGAAACAATTCTGTAAAACTGTCAGACTCAAGTTGCCTATCCCTTTCCTAAAAGCAGTAGTGGGGAACTTCAGCCAAGGGCCTAAATAGACCCAGCAAGGCTTAGAATTTAGCCCACAAGGCTGATTTTACACAAGCTACGGCCCCCATGCCTGATGTCACATAGATGCAGAAAAGGCCCACTTCAGTATTGTCCCTAGGTGGCAATCCACTAACCATGGAGGGCCTCCTCCAATGATCATAAAGACCAGCTGGGTCTGTACAGGCAAAGTCTGTCCACCAACTTTGGCCAACACGCTCTTCGTGCCTTTGGTTGTGTGCTACACTGCCCAGATGTGGAATGCAATGTGACAAGCTTTTTACTCCCAAATCTACAATTGATGCACCCCTGTAAAACTGATGACTGGGTCAGTTCTGTTCTCCACCCTTCGACCCCCTTCCCCAAACCAAGCTGTTCCAAGAAATCTTTTTCTGAATGGACGTAATCCAGCCACTCCTGTGCCAGCCAGGCCCTGAGCTACATTGCCCTTGAATAGCACCTTTATTCCTAAGCACTAGGGTTCCCTTCCTCTAGATGCATCTCCGTCTCCTGACTAAGGTGGTTTCCTTTGCCAAGTGAGACCTGCATGCTTGTGGTCTGACAAAGCAGCACACAACAGGCAGGAGTCTGTTCCGAGCGGCTTGGACAACCTACCAAGCACGCATACAGACATAACACGTTGCCTGTGCAACGTAACAGGAGGCTGTTGACTGGCAAAGTCCTGTGTCTGGCACAGCTGCCTCAGGAGGTTTCTTGAGGGGAGCTGGCAAAGGGTGGCAGTGGAGTAATAGGCCAGAATGACATTTTCTAGTGTCACTGAGAAGGAAAGAAGAGTCTTAAAACTAGGGTAAAGAAAACAAAACCATCTGAAACATCCCCAAGAGATTTGGGGATTTCAGGTTTCTGGCTGAATGGGCATGAAGCCAGCTCTCACACACACCCCAAGCTGATGTTCATTGGGCCTGGAAGCAGCACTGTGTGGCTCAAGCCCCCAGGAAACCATTTCCCACAGAACCGGAAACCTGGGATACTGCTCCTGAAGTGTTATAGGGCCTAATCAGACCTTCTTGCTGCCAGGGAAGTTTGGGAAGAAACGAAAGTGGGCAAGTAGGAGTGGCGATGAGGGGGTAAAAGAAAGGAAAGACCCAAGATCTAGTAATGTCCCCTAGCTGGCTGAGGAACTGTGGCAGGGAAATCTCTAGGCCGTGACATGTTTGTGATCAGGGCAGTCATGTGACCTACACTACATGTGACAGTCCTGTGTTTGATTGGCTGTCCAGTCCAAGTCTGGTTAAAGCTAAAGAACCATAAAAAGTAAGAGCAGGAGCTCCGAAGCTGCCTGTCAACTGTTAGCAGCACCTGGTCAGCAGACGGAGCAAGCACACAGGTTCCCTGGTGACTGCCCCACCATAATGAGATGTGTTGTATTTCTACTTGACTTATAGAAATCATTTCTAAATTTGCATATATATATCAGGGTCGGACTTTGCTAATATGGTGCCCTGAGCGATGACTAAATTTGGCACCCGCTCCTAAAAATTTCTTATTCCCACAATAATTCCTTTTGGTACAGCTGCTGCTGCTGCTGCTGCTTCTTCATCGTGCCCCCACGGCTCAGTACCCTGTGCAGGGGAATTGTCCACATTGCCCTAAATCCGGTACTGCGTATCTCTCTCTCTCTCTCTCTCTCTATATATATATCACACACAGAGTCCCATTGTTATGAAACTGAAAGTTTATATGCTGTGAGCTGCCCCCAAACCTGAATTTACACTGAGGGGCGAGAAATAAATTCTCAAATAAATACGTGCATAAATATAAAATAAAAATAAAAATGTCTAAACGGCTGCCCCTCCACGTCAACCTGATGCTTTCTCGCCATTCTGTCAAGATTTAATGTTTGGCCTTGAGGAATGCCAATGTTTGTGAAGCTGAGCTTGGCATTCAAAGTAGAGCAGCTCCATCAGTCATTCCACTGTTTGTCCTCAGCATCAGAAGAAAAAGAAACCCTAGGAAGAATCACTCACTTCTCTCTTGCACTCCTCTATTCTTTCTTCCCCCTCAAATATGTTTCCTTAAGTATGTTTTCCATGCACTCAGCGCTTTCAAATCAATTCCCTTTACCTTCCCTCAAACCCTTATCTATCTACCCACTACAAAGGAGGGCTTTTACCAGAAGTTCTAGAAGGTTCCACCCCACCCTCCATCTGCCCCCTCCCTCCCTCCCTCCCTCCCTCCCTCCACCTGTGAAGTGACTGCCGCAACCAGAGTTCTCTTGGAAGTTCATAAAGGTAGGAATGAGCCAATGATTCTAAGTGAGTAAATATGTTAATTTTAACGAACTAGTGTGGCATCTTAAACGGGAAACAGCCCAGTCAAGCAACAGAATATGATCTTTAGAGCTGTACAGGAAAGTGAAATGAGGACAGACTTTTAACAGGAGCTGGGAGAAACTGAAGATTGCACCGGAGACTTATCGTGGACAAGCTCAAAAGCCACAAATGGCATTCTTATTTTAGTAATGCAAGTGGAAAATGTGATTAGCTGGAAATGTGGCAAGCCCTTCAGCTGGTTCTTCAAAGTAGCTGGGATGGCAAAGACTCTATTTTCCAGTATTCCTAGCTCAAATTGTTGGGAAACCATTATATTAGCACCAAAAAGGAGACATGTATAAACTATATGAAATGTCAAGCTCTTCTTATTTGCCTTATGACAAGCAGGGAGAACCTGTGGATGATCAAGGGCCTGAAAACCAAGACTTATGAGGAATGGTTGAGGGAGTTAGGTATGTTTAGCCAGGAGAAGAGGAGATAGGATAGCCATCTTCCAATATCTAAAGGGCTGTCACATGGAAGATGGAGTAAGCTTGTTTTCTCCTGCTCAAGGGTAGGACACGAAGCAATGGCTTCAAGTTACAAAAAAGGAGATTCCAACTAAATCTCACGAAGTATTTTCTGATGGAAAGAGCCATTTGACAGTGGAATGGACTCCCTCAGAAGTTGCTGAACTCTCCTTCCATGGAGGTTTTTAAGCTGAAGCTGGATGGCCATCTGTCATGGATGCTTTAGCTGAAATTGTTTCATTACAGAGAGTTGGGCCTTGATCTCCATTCCAACTCTACAATTCTATGAAGGGCCACAGGTTCCCAATTTCCCCCTGGCAGTTTCTCTCAGTGCCAGGGATCCAGCAAAATCCCTCGCTGTGAAAGAAGTATATTTTATTGTATTTTCCTCATGCAGCACTGTTTCCATTCCACTGCAGTTCATCTTCCACCCAAAACTACATTATCTGTCTCACTGTCCAATGTGGCAAAATTTCGTAAATGATGTCATTATATTGTCCTTACATTATTCCACCATGTTCATTTCAGAGCAAGGAAAACATCGTGCAATTTTGGGGGGCGGGGGGGGGGGAGAGCACACAATGTAATCCAGTACATGTTGTTTTGTGGACTGAAAACAACAGTGGCAGCAAACACCAAGTTTATGTGCTGGGTTGATTTCTGTTACTGAAACACAATGAGTAAGTGAACACTGGCAATTTATGCTCCCCTCACAGCTCTCCAGCATCCCTAGATAAGAGCCCAAAATGGGCAGAGCAGCCAGGTTTCAGCTGAGTGAACTATGGAGATTGTGGCAGTCTGCATATTGGCTCAGGAGTAAAAATGGGGAGAACACTGACTGGCTGTGTTGCAGTTCGGAACAGGGACAGGCATGTTAAAGGACTGCTTTCCTGACTGACAAGAAAAGTGTTGCAGGGGGATGTGCTGCTGTTAAGTTTCACTTACCAGAGAAACCAGATATCTCCAGGAAATAATGAAGTGAAACAACTGTGGTTCTCTTTCTGCATCTCCCTGCATGCTTTCCCTAATACCCCTCAGTTGTTAGGGCTCCCAACAGCTGCAAACTTCCCTTTTTTATTACTTTTTTAAAACAAAAGGTAGATACTTCCATGATGTAATATCAGTTATAAGCACCCTTCCATTCCTGTCTCCCTAGGCTCACCCACACAATACTGCCCAATCCTTGTCTCAGAGTGGCTGTTTCAAACAGGTCCTTCACAAATAAGCCCAGCATAGATTGAATGAAATTATGCAGCCGGTTTTCCTGTCTCAGAAACAATTCAGTAAGCTCTGGGTGCATATTTCACAAATAAAGCTGTCCACTATCTAGAATGTCAGGTGAAAATATGGTCTTCTGAATGGGCCACCAGAGATCTAGCACAATATTATACCATATCATCTCATACCTGGGTTAATTTCAGTCTGAGCTAAGGCCTGATTTGGACACTGCAAGTGCCTCAAAAGCTAAGTGAAGGACCACTCAATGCTATTCATCATCACTGAGCATGAAATCCTTCTGGACAGGCAGTTGGGACTGATGGCACACTGAGTTGCCATGACTCTGTACCTACTCTAAGGGCAAATTCCAGAAGATGGCTATGGGGAACTGGTGTTCAACCCCTCATCACAGGATCCTATCTAGTCCCCATTCTATTTCATATCTGCATGGAAACTGCTGGATGAAGTCACCTAGAGAGCTGGGCTGCCATCAACAAGGTTTCTTCTTATTATTTATATTAAACATTTATATCCAGGTCTTCTCCTCCAAAAAGGAGCAACTAATAAAATATAAAAACACCAGGAATCCATCATTCGGGGAGGAAGGAAGAGAACAAACAAGCACCAGACTAAAAAGCAGCATCACAGAACAAGAAAACAAGGAGCCAAAACACCAACACACACACACCAATTGACCAAGAAGTCAAATTAAGTAACAAGCAAATCAAAAGCTTTTAAAAAAAGAAATGTCTTCAACCACTGAAGAGGAAGATACCCCTGCAGCCTAACCTCTTGGAGTAGGGAGTTCCAGGGACAAACAAGGTGCCACCACAGAGAAAGCCCTCTCTCACGAATGGCCTCCAGTGGCACCTCAGAACCTCTGGTTATACAGTGATACCTCGGGTTACATACACTTCAGGTTACAGACTCTGCTAACCCAGAAATAGTACCTCGGGTTAAGAACTTTGCTTCAGGATGAGAACAGAAATCGTGCTCCGGCAGCGCAGCGGCAGCAGGAGGCCCCATTAGCTAAAGTGGTGCTTCAGGTTAAGAACAGTTTCAGGTTAAGAACAGACCTCCGGAATGAATTAAGTACTTAACCCGAGGTACCACTGTACTTCATGGGAGGAAAAGTGTCGAGTTAGTGTCTGGCATCCATGATGGACTTGAGGAAGGTTGATAAACTGAGGCTGTATCCTGACAAGATGGAGGTGCCGCTGGTGAGAGTGGAGGAGGGGTTGCATTACACCACAAGAACCAGCGTCACATTTTGTTTGGTGAGGATGCTGACGGACCCAGTGTTGTTACAGGAGGTGTCAGGCCTCCAGGTTACAGAGCAGCCTCCACCATTTGAGGTTGGTGCGCCAGCCCAAGGGTGTAGCTTGGCCATAGTTATCCATGTGCTGGTAACCTCCGCCAGGCAAGAGACCTTTCCTCGAGTGTCTTCAGGTTCTGGTGGCAGGTGAGTAGCAACTGTGGAGAGGGTGGCCCATTTATGGAGTGCACTTCCAACGGACCCCCACAGGGCATCTACCCTTTCATCTTTCCAGCAGATCTTTAGACCCAGCTAAGCGGTTTTAATTAGAATATTGTAACGATGTGGTGTCTCGTTCCACTGCTCTTTTTACCAGTGTTGTCATACGATGAATTTATTCCTTTATTATTTTAATTTATCTGAGTGGGCTTTAATGGGAGTGTTTCTCCCCTGAAGATGCAGATTACTAATAATAAAACAAACAGGCAGAATTAATTCACCACAGAGCCCATTTACACATTCAGCTGTCAGTCATCCAGCCCTCAGTAATCAAGCAATACCCCCTGAATGTGCAAGCGATGAGAAATCACAGGGGGGATTCAGCTAAATTTTACTCAGAACAGACTCACTGAAATTGAAAAACCTAGCTTTTAACTTCAATAGGTCTACTCTGTGTAAAACTTAATTGACTATTACCCCATATTAAGAAGCGCAAAGCAGCTGAGGGAAGAGACTCAAATGCCAACCAGGGTTTCTGAAGTGAAAGATGCCACTATATCAGATCCTGGTTTCATCTGCCAACTGTAAACTAGGCTGTGCCAGTAAACTCCCAGCATTCAAACTGTTCTCGAGTCTTCTTCCACCAGAAGAGCTTCTTGACCTGAAATCTTCCAAGATCTTCCCACCTTCGCACAACTGCCTTTTCATGCAAAAACGACAAGGTGAGCTCCAGCACAGCTTCAGACAAAACTCCTGCCAGGCCTGGCTTGGAAATCACATCGACACTCTTCTCCCACTTTTGAGACAAATGCCTTTTTGTAAAACAAAAAACCCAGAATCGTGACGAATTGTCCCCCTTGCAAATTGGTTGCTGTTCGGGGGGCATCACTTTCTCTTGCTTATTTGGGGTACCTGTAACTAATGCCTGTCTTGCATCAGCTGCATAATAAACCTCTCGGGATCCTTTTGTGTGTGGTGCTAGCTTGAAGAGGGGCAAAATTCCCCAGCTCCGGCTGAGCCCTCTATAAAAAAGGTAGGCGAATGGAATCCTTTATGGGTAATGCCATTCCACACCCTTCCCTTTCAGCCTCGCATTTACATTTTTCAGCTTTCAGCACACTCTAGGTGGTTCCAGCTCTCAGCGAGGGCAGTGCCAGATGTGAAATGAGGGATGAAATGGTGCAAAGGGTTTGCAGTAGAGTTCCGGGAAAGAGATTCTGCAGAGCTGCTGCCAGTCTGTGTAGAGACTGTATTGAGCTAAACAGACCAATGGTCCAACTTGGTGTTAAGATAACTTCCTATCTACCATTATTTTAAAACAAATCTAATTTCTATACCACCCTTCATCAAAGGATCACAGGGTGATTTACAACATAAAAACACATGCTATAGCAACAAACAAAAACAATACCCCCTACAGTTTAAGAGGCCATTGATTGTTTTATTAGCCAAAAGCCTAGGAAAAGAGGAATGTATTCACCTGGCGCCTAAAAATATGCAATGAAGGCGCCAGGCAAGCTTCCCTGGAGAGGGCATTCCACAAGCAGGGAGCCACGTCAGAAAAGGACACCCTAAAGACTTCTCATAGAGGAGGCACATGAAGGAGGTCCCTCTGTAAATAACAATCCATGTCAGACCAGACCACTGCAAAGCAGTGCCACCTACACCTAATTCGATCAGCCTCCCCCAATCATGCCTTTGTCCACTGTAAAGATTAATCTCAAGCCCACTGGATACTAGGTTCCAAACAGTTCTGTAGTTTGGCTGTCCATGGCACAAGCCGTCCATATTGGTTTGTGCCAACTCTACAGACTCAGTACAGTGGCACCTTGGGTTACAGACGCTTCAGGTTACAGACTCCGCTAACCCAGAAATAATACCTCAGGTTAAGAACTTTGCTTCAGGATGAGAACAGAAATCGTGCTCCGACGGTGCGGCGGCAGGAGGCACCATTAGCTAAACTGGTGCTTCAGTTTAAGAACAGTTTCTGGTTAAGAACGGACCTCCGGAACGAATTAAGTACTTAAACTGAGGTACCACTGTACAGCAGGAAGACAGAACTGCCTGTTTTTTGGAAGACAAAACAGAGCACAATCCCTCCCTCTACACACACACACAATGAACTGTATGAAGACAAAAGATAACAAAATATAATGAAATATTCCTTTGTGCCTGTAGACAGAGGATTTTTTGTTTCGTTGTTTTTGTTGGCATGTGATAAACCCTCTGTTGTGTAAATACAAAATTCACTTCCAATTCAGGATTCACTACTGAAAGCGTAGACAGACTGATAAAGGGGCTGTGGAAGTGTTCTGAACAAACAACATGGAATTTTGAACTGCAATAAAATTTAGTGTATATAAGGTCTTTCTCAAAATCCATGTAAACAGTTTTTTTTTCTCTCCCTCCTCCCTCTTTCACACATGCACTCCCTCAACTGAAGAAACAGCAAAACTGCATTTGGGGGCAACTGGGAGTTCCTCCAGACATCCCATCCGCTGAGCATTCAATCCTGATTTGCTAGCCCAAAGCTTGTGTGGAGACTATACTGTGCTTGCTCTTTATCAAGCATTTGTCCCAATTTGATTGCACAGAGGTTATAAGATTTCACATCAACTGACTGCCGTCCCACATTTTTTAGCACATCCCCTCGTCACTTTCCTTACCACAAAAGAAGTTCAGAAGTTTTCGTTTTTCTCAAAGCAGATTTGTATTGACAGAACACTTTAACATACTCTAACTGACTGCCAGTACGCCACTGAATCTCTCTTGGAAAATGGTGGCACAGTCTGGAGGTGACCATGGCACATGGGGCAATGGGCTATATAGTTTGCATGGAATAGCAAATTCCCCTTTCCCTGTACAGACATTTCCAACTTACTGTTGTCAGAGGGAAACAGTTCCATACACACTCCATTAAAGGCAGAGTTTGCATGGGTCCTTCCTTTCCCTCTCTTCACCCCACACCCCAAAATAAAACAGGCTGCGGCTCCTCCATGAGAGAGCATGTGGACTGCTAGAAAGTAATGAGAGCTGCTTGCTCACCCACCTCATCCCCTGCCGATAAGGAAAGCAAGTTTCTGGCCAACACACACACATACTTGGAAAGGTTTGATGAGTCACTGGTTCATATGCAGCCATCCAGCAAACAGCAGTAAAAAGTTAGAACTCTCTTCCCTCAATTCATTTAAAATTATTTCTCTTTTTTTGGGGGGGGGGCAAAAAGAAAGCAGCAAGTCCAGTTGAAAGAGAGCAGAAAGAGGGGTGGGGAAGTAGCACCTAAAGGAAATTATTATAACCACAGTGGGTGCCAATGTAGTGCAGCCTCTGATGGAGGTGGAACAAAGCCATTGTGGCTAGTAACCATTGATAAATAGCCTTATCTTCCTTTTTTCCCCTTCTAAATTCGCTTTTAAACCACCCAAATTGGTGGCCATCACTACTACCTCTGGTGGAAGTAAATTCCATAGTTTTGTGAAACTAACTTCTTGTGAACTATGGAGATGTAAAAAGGTACCCCTGCCCGTACGGGCCAGTCGTGACTGACTCTAGGGTTGCGCGCTCATCTCGCTCAAGAGGCCGGGAGCCGGCGCCATCCGAAGACACTTCCGGGTCACGTGGCCAGCGTGACGAAGCTGAAACTGGCGAGCCAGCACCAGTGCCGCACACGGAAACGCCGTTTACCTTCCCGCTGTAAAGCGGTACCTATTTATCTACTTGCACTTAGGGGTGCTTTCGAACTGCTAGGTGGGCAGGAGCTGGGACCGAACGACGGGAGCTCACCCCACTGCGGGGATTCGAACCGCCGACCATATGATCAGCAAGTCCTAGGCACTGAGGTTTTACCCACAGCGCCACCCGCGTCTCATGGAGATGTAGGGCACAATAATCATACATCTCTCTCTCTTTTCTTTTACTCTGTGGAGCAATGCCTATGGTCAATATAGGCACCCTCCCTACTCCAAATAATATATGTATTTAAGAAAAAGCCATTTAAAGCGGGGGTGGAGAACACTGTCAGAATTCAAAATCCATATGGTTTTTGTATGAAAGATCCAGAAGCAGGAGACTGGGTTCCTGAAAATGAATTCTGCACTCCTATTTCATTTTTTTTTTTTTCATATGGATCCCTCCAGAGAACTCCTTTCATAAAGCAAAAAACGTTTTCTGTCCCAGGGCCAATTCTGACGTACTGTTAGTTATTCCTGGCAGCATAATTTTTGGAGACTGTAGTCAGCTATATGATGTGCTCCTACCAGGAGACGCATTCACTGTTAACAAATTTAACAGGCATCGAGACAGAAGAAAAATAAATGCCAACAACCACAGCTAAGTCATCTCAAAGAGCTGGGTTCCAATTTTTTTTTTTTTTTTAATGTGACTGCTAAGTTGAAAACTCTTCTTTTCCACTGCTCTCAGGGACAGGAAACAGTCTGGATGAAGCTCATTAGAGCATCAAATAACTGTCCTTAGCTTTTAATTTCCTTGCCTCTGAATTTCAGTCTTGGCCACTTTCTGGAAACTCACATTTTATTCTATTTTAAAATAACATACAGCTATATGCAAATATTTGTGATTGAAGAAAAGCAATTAAACCAATTCCAGATGTGTTAAAAGTAACATTTAGAAGGAAATAAAAACTTCAAGTCTGCCATTTCCAAATTTGTTTGCTTTGGGCAAGATGCAATAGCACATGTCATCAGATAAAACTCCCATTATGTGCAATGAACTTTTCTTTTATACTTCTGCAAGATGCAATAGCACATGTCATCAGATAAAACTCCCATTATGTGCAATGTGCTTTTCTTTTATACTTCTGACAGTAATCAATGCATATGCCATTTCACCTTTTCCTCAAATAGAGAGTCTGTTTCCTGCTAAACAAAAGGTAAATGAAAATTTTGCAGAAAAAAATTCTAAATACCTGGAGTGCCAGCTTAGCTTGTGCCTGGCAAAAGACTCAACACTGCCCACTTTTTGCTCTTTGTGGTATCTGCACCTGTGCAAAGGTTCAAATCGAATTTTTTTTTGGGGGGGGGGCAAAGTGTGAGACCCTGTAGCCATTAGCAACTTTGCACCTGAGCTTGACTACAGCTGAAACAGCAAGAAAACATCCAGCTTTTTCTTTTTTTCCCAGTGTCCAGATGCCAGTAAGGAAATCCTCCACATTTTGAGAATCATAAATGCATTTGTTTGGGGATTTGTGTTAGAAATTCAGGCTGTTCGCAGACCGACATTTATTGTGCAATTTGAGCTGCTTATACACACACTTCTTCTTCTTCTTCTTCTTCTTCTTCTTCTTCTTTTTGCAGCATCCACACAATGTTGTCATCAACCTGATAGCCCATACTTTTTTAAAAAAAAATTATTCGGATTTCTCCTTACCTTAGAAAACCCAATGAATAAAAGTAACCTGCTGTACATCTGGATTCACTGATGGCATTTAGATTTGTTACAGCATGCATTTATTTATTGACGACGACGACGATGGTGGTGGTGTCACTTCTCTTTGCTCCAGCCCTTCTACTATGATCTTCTGATATTCCCTCAACTTCAGGCAGCTGATTATCCATGAGTGGTTTCTGTGCAACTGAGAAAAGAGTTCAATGCCCAGCTAGGTGAGCAAAACCTGGCGTGTGCATCTCTTTCCCATGAAATCGCCACCTTGCCCCTTTTAGGAGTCCTGTTCGTGGGATCCACACAATTATGCCACACTCCTAAGTGGGAGTCACTTAAATGTTCTCCCAGCTGTATCAAAACTGATCACGAATATGGGGTGCTTAATGTTGGCTGGGAGAATAAAAGACCCCTCAGAGACTGAGTGGGACCCTGAGCAGGTGAACTGCCATCGCTTGTCTCAGGAAGGCTGGTCTGACAGAACACATCATCTTATCTTTTATAGAAAGAAGCTGGAGTAACCATGGAAAACAGAAAATTTGAGCCCGGACTTGAAAATGTAAACCATATCACAAAAAGCTTTGCAGTAATTAAATGATAAATCCATCCTGTATTTTAAAAGTTTTGGTGTGCAAGCACACAAAATGGGTGAGCTTTCTGCCCAGAAATTATGCAGTGTTCACAGCTATTCATTTATACACCAACTTGATCACAGCACACCCGAGAGATTCTTTGAAGTTTTGAACATTTGCAATATCTAATTTCAGAACTATTTCAGAGTTCAGGAAAACAAACACACAGGAAAAGGGCAAAAATAAGAGTTCACTGTGATTGGTTTGCATGCCTCAGATCAGACAGTCTCTTTTCAGTTAAGAGAATTTGTTTGGGGGTGGGAAGCCTGGCTTTTCCACTGAATACTGTTGTCACTGTTTTGCATCCTGTTCCAACCATGGCAGGCCAACATATGCCATATATTGTGACCTGCTCTGGACTGGACCTATTTTATTTTGCAGTTCTAGGCAGAATGCAAAACCAAAAGCTTAATTGAGCTATTGCTGGCTGGTGGTTGATGGGCTAATCCTTACCAGAGACCTACTAGTAGAGCACAGCTGGGGAACCTGTGGCCGTCCAGATGCCATTGGACTCCAACTCCCATCAGCCCCACACAATCTTGGCTAATGGTCAGTGCTGATTGGGGTAGTAGTTCAGTAGAGGTTAGGCAGCCACCTGCTGGGACTGCTCTAGCTCTGGGGATATTCTGTTTGAAGTTGGGTGTTGGACTAGATAGTCTACAAGACCCTCTTCCATCTAGCTCTATGATTTGACCCTTAAATGGCACCAGCAACATGCAAAGACCCTTGGTTGGCCTAATACTGACATTGTCCAAATATGGATTCTGGAACATCCTATTATCAATACTAAGGAAAACTTGGCTTCCATTTGCACTCCTCTAGTGTGGTTTTGCTGGAAAAGGATACCTGAAAGATGGAATTAAGGGCTGGAAGCATAAAATGACTGGCGATGATTGTCACTGTGAAGAGTGAAAAAAATGTGTATATATCAGGATTAGTTGGGCTTTGATCACTTGCGCTGAACTTGACCTCTGGTAAATCCTAATTAAGCCAGACAGTTTCCTTACCTTAATCCAATTCAATTGGGTTAAGGAACAATGACATTAAAATCAGCTGGTCTTATTCACTACAAAAAGTGTCTGTGACCTGAGGAAACCCAGCTGCCAGAATGTATTTTCTAATGGCTTGGAAATTCAGTGGAGGTAGACATCTCAGTAGGGGAGCTTTCCCTATTTTAATATAGAGGGGGGAAAGGGAGGAGAAGGAGGAGAACTGCAGCTGTGAAATGCCTTTTCACCAATTCTGCTGGCTTTGAATAAAGGCTTGCTTTGGCTGGCTCCATATATACTGGTGACGACCCAACAGAATCAGGCTCCCTTAATGAGCTTAAGTGCAGCTAAGGCTGAGTTAGATAGTAAACTATGGAATGCATCCCCACATTCAAAAGAAAAGGTTCTAGACTTCATGGGCATTGAGGTCAGTCAGAAGTAGTGATGGCAAAAGTGCCAAGATCGGGAATATGAAGGGTTGCCCCTCAAATTATGGTGTTTTCCCATCCATTTTGTCTAACTAGCTGATTCAACTTCTGTTTGAGCCAGAGTCTTGCCCCTGCTGCATTCAGGGAGTCCTCTATCTCCCACTCTTTAACCCATTCTGATGGCTACTAACATAAGCAACGAAGCCGCATGGGTCAAACTCGCGGGAGGATCCCTCAAGCAACACTCAAACATTTCATAAGGCAATACAAGACATCGCGAGGTTTTTTCTCCCTCCACGCCTGGATTTGGACTTAAAAGACAAAGGGAAAGTGTTGGCTTATGGAGAGCCAAGTTGTAAGCAAGCACAACCTATGACATTGCACAACATCATTGATCATGTCTGTTAAAGCATTGACCTTAGCTTCCCATTTCCTGGCTCTGTAGAGCTTGAACCAACATGAGATAGCCTTAAGTCTAATCATAGATCACTGAATAATAGTACATGCAGGATATTATTATTATTACTTTATGGAGAGCACTCAAATGCGTACAAGTCCCCACCTGCAGTATGAAGTGATTCAGCCTGAAAACAGGTTTACTACCTCACTGAGAACGAAGCACATGTTGCTGTTGGTTAAAGGAGACTCCAGTTTCCAAGCCATCAGTACTAGTTACCTGGATGCATGCACACCTGGCCTCCAAAAGGAAGTCCCAAAGACGTGTACAGAGCCAAGTCAGCACTTTTGCCAGTGCGCCTGCAAACCACTTTCACTGTTTCTCATTATGGGATACAAACATATCGTTCTAGCCAAATGGCCTGAAAGTAAGGGGAGATATATCAGAGTTGAAGGTTTAAACCTGCTATAAATCTTGAACTGAAAAATCCAGAGACCTGTCACAAAAGCCTGCCAGAATTCCAGAACAGAAGATGCAAGAGCAGACCACCTGGAATCCACTCAACCAAATCAAGACAAAGTCCATCTTTGTCCCCAGAGCAGCAAGGTGCCCTATCACCAGGTGTGGATGCAGAAGGACTTCATTATTGTTTATGTTTTGCTTTCCTCATCCAGCACTTGACAGAGGACTTGGTGCATTGAACCAGCCCACAATAAGAAGCTATTTTGCATCTCTGGGGGTTTTTTAATGGTTGTATCAACATCTGTGATATTGAAAGAGTCCCTCCTGCTTACCAAGCTACAGGGTGATCTCCAAAAACTGGCCTTCTGCATTAAATCCCCGAAGAGCTGCTTGGCCATGGATGGAATCAGCAGCATATGGAAGAGAGCGGCACAGCATGCTCAACCCACAAATGCTTAAGTAAGTATGCTTCCTTTGTGACATGGCTTTTGGATGTGTTGGTGCCAAAAATACCAAGGCTGCCAGTGGAGGCAAGGTGGAGGTATGGAGAGAAAGCAACAAACTTTGGTCTGGATACAACAGAGAAGAAGGTTTTCCACAAAGGCAATGCCAGAGACCCACATGCAATTGTACAGCAAGCTGTTTTTCCACAGACTCAGCACAAAAAGCTGGCCTCTGTCCAGAGGATCTAGTCTTGGACTATCTTGGATCTGAGAGCTTTCCACAATAATTCAAATTCTGTTCCATGTTCTTTTACTCTCTTATCCCAGCCTCAAATGCAGGTTGTGTTCAGGCATTCAATCCTTTGAGTCCTCCAGAGTAAAATGTGACCCACCTGCCTCTCCTCTAACAACTGCACAATTCATTCATGTTACTGCTTTCATACATCACCAAATTAATTCAAGGAACTCCCAAGGTCACACGCACAAGTGGGAGAAACACATTTCCCCTGATAATGTATTGCTCACAGCCTGGCGTTCCTCAGAGGGCTGAGCAAGCCTGGTTGGCTTGTTTCTAGAGAGGCTGCCAGTTCCACATCTGGAACTGATAAATTCCAGCCCACGGTACAGCAACCAGATGATGGGAGAATGAAGATAGAGGCCTATCTTTTCCACATCTTCCCAGCGTATCTTCATTCCCTTTGGGTTGAGTGAATCACAAAGACTTCGCTGCATTTGAAGCGGAGATGAGACTGCTTGTTAAAATGACTAAGTAGTGTCATGGTTCCTTCTTCCGCACAGGGAATCCCGGGAATTGGAATTGTTTGGAGAAGGAGTATGAGAGGGATTGCTAACAAACTGCATTGCTGTTTGCTGTGCTTGCTAGTCTCTAGAACGGAATTTTATTTATGCTCTTTGTAGGTTTCTGTGAATAATACCAATAATTAAAAATTAAATAAAGGAAAATAACAGGAGGGGGGTACTCAGCTGGGGAAATGTAGAATATTCTCCTTGAGCTTCAGGATGCAGACAGGGTGGCCATGTGCCCTACTATGCAGAGGAGAGTCCTTTGTTTGGAGATATGCTCTATCTTGAATGGCTGTTCAGTCCAAACTGAGTTAAATAACCCTAAGAAGAGAGAGCAGGAGGGGCCTTGAAGTTGCCCAACAACACCTGGAGAGCCACAGGGTCTCCATCTTTGCCTTAGAGCAGGGGTGGCCACTGTGACACCCTCCAGGTGCCATTGAACTACAGCTCCCATCAGCCCTTACCAGAAAGGTTAATGGTCAAGGATGATGGGAGTTGAAAGCCAACAACATCTGCAGGGTGGCACATTAGCTACCCTGACTTAGAACAATCAACTGCAAGAGGATGCTTATCACCTGATCCCTGCAATCTCAAAACAGAAGAATCCAGTGGCATCTTGGAGGGAGGGGAGGGAAGAGATGCTACAACCTCACACCATCTTGTAGTCAGCCAGTGGCCATTCTAAGGGCCAGCCCTGTTTATCTAGCTAGGGTAGGTCAGCTGTTGCAGGAATTAAGGAGCATCTTATTCTTTTACTTTGTTATTAAAAACCCTTAATCTGTATACCTAAAATTTAAAATATACGTTCAAATTATTAGCAGAAGTCGAAACAAGTTTAATTTTTTTTAAAAAAAATCAAAATATAAGTAAAACCAGCAATTTAAAATACACATTATAAAATGAAACTACAGCTTTACATGTCTTTGAGGGCTTGCCTAAACACACACACACACACACACACAGAGAGAGAGAGAGAGAGAGAGAGAGAGAGAGAGAGAGAGTTCTTAGCAGGTGCCTAAAACTGGCTCCTGTCAGGGGGTCCCTGAGTATAAGTGCAATCACGGTGAAATGTAGATTCCTTACAACTGCTCCTTTTTTCAGAGTCAAATAGCATGGGCCAGAGAGTCAAAACAAGGGTCTAGTGAATGTGCAAAGCTAATTCATGGACCTCTCCAAGTGTTTTCCGAAGTCCTGCTGGCTGAGCAGCTTTCCAGGCTTTGCGAGGTGCAAAGAAGTCTTGCAAGAGGGAAGGATGTGAGGTTTAGAGAAGCTTCAAACCCACCCCAAACACTGCAACAAGACAGCACAGTTCTAGCTGCCACTGCAAACGGAACATGTGGAGAGAGAAATGCACACGGAAAAACAAACCCGCTTGCTTGCTTCAATATTTGCAATGCTAAAATAGAAAGGCCGACAGACAGCTAGGACGTCCATGCCAAGCAATCCTCCAGCTATAACAGCTCCAAATAGAAAGTCATTTCCAATAAAGGCTGCTGATCAGCAACAATTTAAAAATAAAAATAAAAAATGTAATAAAATACAAGGGGCCATATTTGGGACTGAGCAAAAAGTTGGAAGGCCAGCACTTTTAGCTCTGTCCACTGACCAGCTTCACCCCAGTTAAGCCAAGACACTAAGAAATCTGTAACCCTCTCCTCCCCAACGTGAGCAGAGGCTTTTGCAGAACGTTTCCCCTCAGCTACTCACTCTCTTACAGAAGCCAAGAGAAGAACCAACGAAGCAGCCAGCTGAGATGCATAAAGGGAGAAAAGCTCTGTTACTGCTGGGAGAGCAGGACATCTAAAGAAACCGTTGCTCAAGTTGTACCTAAGGAAACACTGGAAGCAAAAAATGGAAGAGAGAAGTCCTTTGGATTGCAGGATATGTATGGGCATGTTTGGAACTTGGAGGTGGGAAAGGGAGGTGCAGTAGACTGGACAGGAAGCACCAGCATCAAGCCGTTCTAATCTGCCAGAACCGAAAACTCAGAATCAAGCAAAAACTAATGATAAAAAAAGGAAGATGGGATTTTTAATTTTTTAAAAAGTTTTGGATCCCTACCTGCATTTCTTATTCATAACCCCTTCTACAGACATGGAAGGTAATTTGTGGGGTGGGCAGGAGAATGACTGAATCTGGTATCTTGCACATGCAACGGATGTGCTCTGCCACTAAGCCGGGGGTCAGCAAACTTTTTCAGCAAGGGGCCGGTCCACTGTCCATCAGAGCTTGTGGGGGGCTGGACTATATTTTGGAAAAAAATAAACAAATTCCTATGCCCCACAAATAACCCAGAGATGCATTTTAAATAAAAGGACACATTCTACTCATGTAAAAACACGCTGACTCCCTGACCATCTGCGGGCCAGATTTAGAAGGTGATTGGGCCGGATCTGGCCCCCGGGCCTTAGTTTGCCTACCCATGCACTAAGCTATGGCCCTTTCCTCATGCCGCGTGCAAAGTAGTCGTGGTCCAGGCCACATGCATACAGGGATGGGATCGATCGCTAAGCCTCTACTGCACCCCTATTGTTCAACGCTGAAGGAAGCTGTGGTCTCTGCAGAAATGAAATTCCAACATGTGTTATCCAGCGTTGCAGTTTCTGCTGACACGAGGACCTTCATTCAGCACAGCCCTTCTCTCTTCCCCCTCTCTCTAGCAACAGCCTCTCACATTACACGCATATGGGAAGCTAAGCTGACAAAAGGTCTGCAGCTGAAACAATTGAGTTTGAAGAAGTAAAGAAAAAGAGGGCCTCTCAGAGTTTTGCACTTCTGCCTACTTGTCACAGGCAAAGTGAAATCTGTTCCATCACTGTTGTTGAACCAGATATGCTTATATATCCGCCAGTTGCCAAAGACCCAAGTCCTCCCAGCTGCCTGCAATCATTCATTCATTCATTCTCTCCTTGTGCTTCAGCCCCATCCTTCCTCCCAATGAGAGCACAGAGCAGCAAGCTATATAACCACTGGTGGAGGAATAGAGGGTGGGGGGAGCGCACCGCCCCCGGCACCATAGGGGAGGGGGTACCATTGCAGCTGCTACCCCGGACATGCACTGCACCCCCCCATCGCACTGGGCGCCACGCCCCAGGACACAAGCCACGCCACATCCCCGCAGGCAGCATGTCACACCCCTGGGATGCACACACACCCCCTCTGTGGGCGATGTGCCATACCCCCAGGATGCACGCCAGCCACACCCCCACCTGCTTTCCGCCCCCGGTGTTAGAGCATGCAGCTTTGCAACTGTATATAACACAGCAATATTTTTAAAAAACAAAACATTGACTACAACATTAAAGACTATCACAATCTTTAATCTCTTAATGGCAAACTTGGCTCACCCAATTCTAGTTGATTAAGAGGTCTTGCCCAAGAAACCCATTTCCCCCAAGGACCAGACTTCTTGCAATAGGGGAAGTGAAAGGAAAAGACAGGGGAACATGTGGGATGACACTTGCTTTGACTCATCGTCATCTAACCTCCATGCAAAGCAAATCGGAATTAACACTCATTAAACAGTCAACTTCATCTAATCTCCCTGCAAACAAGTCAGGATAAATGCTCAACAAACAGGTCGTCCAGAAGTGCCCGTATACAAAACAGCAGCATTAGCAAAATGGTGGGTTACATTCCAAAGACCTAAGTAAACAGAAAAAAACTTTTCACCTGGTACCTAAATGAGAACAACCAAAACTCATATGGGAGGCAGTTTTATAACTTGTGGGGAGTGACCCACTGAGAATTCCCTGCCATGCAGAAACTAAGATAAGAATAGTAACCAAAATTAATATGTGGGCTGCGTTTCTGCAAGGGGATCTTGTTAGTATTTGTATAGAACATCTGCAGGAGGAAAGGTTAGTGGTGGGCTTACCTTCCAGCAAGAAGCACTGGAATGTGTGCAGCCGCTGGAGAAGGGTTAAGAAATCCTTTGCCCACCATTGCATCTCAGAATCAGGTATGCGGCAGTCAGTGCAATGGCTTCCTGGGAAGCTCCCTCTCCCTCTCTCTCTCTCTCTCTTTCTCATGTGTGTGTGTGTGTGTGTGTGTGTGTGTTTGCACATGCACATGTCATAAGAAGTTAGATTGCTCATTTGACTCTCAACAATCAGAAGCTAAGGATATCATAAGCAGAGAACTAATATGGCTAATTTACATAGAATATTTTCTACACTCTTGCAATGGCCTTGATCAATGGAAACTTTAACATGTGTGTGTGTGTGTGTGTGTGTGTGTGTGTGTGTTTGTAAAAAAACCTCACACTATAACAAAGGGTTAGTTGCTACTGGTGGATAAGTAATTATCCCAAATAACCTCTCTTTGTTTAGCCTCTTACTCCTTATCTTAATAGGAAATTACATATTTAAAAGATGGGCACGATAATAAAAATGCACAGCTGAGTGCAAACAACAATGAATTTGGACAGAGGTCATTCTTTCACCATGGGGCTGTACTTCCAATCATATTCTTGAGGAAAACAGTGGTCAGCTAAGCAGATATAGAGTTGTCCAGAGGTACAGAAACACCTGCAGAATCAGGGCCAGACCCAATGTGGCATGGTCTTGCTCCCTCCTTCTCCACACAGTTGTTCTAGGTGCAGAGAGCAAGTGACTAGGGTGAATGCGTTTGACTGGCAAAACCCTTAAGCCAGGTTTGGGCACAAGGTACATTGGCAGCTGCAGGCAGAATGCTGGATGAATTGCAGTAGATCAGAAAGTGTTGCTGATGTCCAATCGTTTATGAACAACAAGAGAAAAAAGGCTCAAGTTGTGAGATTGGAATTTTCATACAGTATTCAGTTTATCCCCATATCTGGTTCATGTGCTGTTATAGGTAACTGGCTCCACCCCATGAGCCACCATTTTGTATCTGGTTTCTTTCCCAAACTACTATTCTCCCACTGTGAACCTGCTCCAGCAGGTATGCCTCTCTAACAAAACTAGCAAACAAAAACAAAGTAGATCTTGCAAGCTTGAAATCCATGCACTCACGACCTAAATAGCCCATGTGCAACAGAATCCTATATACAAATATCCTGATTTTGAAGAAGTTCAGGGGCTGACCTCTGGAGGTTGCTGGACTAGAGTGGTCACACTTGCTGCAACTGACAGGAATCTGCACTCTCAACATCTGCTAGCATTATCAGCCATGCACACCATGAAACAGATGCACAAACAACACATTTAGAAATGGCGCCCAACCTCTGGGGCTGGTGGGATATCATTCTGCAGCCTATTGAATTTATCTAGCTTTGCAAACATTTTAACCACTTTTTAATCTTATCCATTTTGTATCAGAATTGAAAGGCAACAGTGTAAACTGCCCCCAATCACTCAATGGCACCTCACTGATGCTGTCAGCCTCTGTAGTGATGCCGCAGGAGAGAGCCACATCCTTCCTACAAATTATCTGAAGGGTGAAACTCTGTGGAAAAACTGCTGTAGACATAATTAACTGATAAAGAGAGCCCTGCCTCTCTGTTTAGTTTCATGTTTTGCATTTTCAAACAGGCACAGCTGGGATTGAGCTCAGAGAGAGAGGAGACTCAAGCGCATTGTTTCCTCAGAGCATTTCACACCAGAAGGGCTTCCCTACCTCTTGGTTATGACCCTCACATGTCTCAGTTGTTGCCCCACTGCAAAATAACAAAAGCCAGGACTGCAGAATTTCATTAGCAGACTCACTCCATAGGATTGGGCACTCTTCAGATCAAAGAGTCAGGTTGCTAGTCAGGAGATTCTGGGCTTAAAGCCATCTGCAGCAAGGCAGGGCAGAGCCCTAAACAGATTAGTGGGTGGAGCAGTTTCCTGCAACGTTCCCAGAAAAGCTGTGTCTGTCCAGTGCACAGAAATTGCTGCTTAGCTTCTTCTCTATACGTTAATAGCCCTGGCTGGTGGCTAATGGTTTGTCTACAACTTGGAATTGGTGTATTGTTTATTAACTGATCAAAGGGATGTGGGTGGCACTGTGATCTAAACCACTGAGCCTCTTGGGCTTGCCGATCAGAAGGTCTGCAGTTAAAATCCCCGTGACGGGGTGAGCTCCCGCTGCTCAGTCCCAGCTCCTGCACGCCCAAAAAAGTACAAGTAGATAAATAGGTACAGCTCCAGCGGGAAGGTAAACGGTGTTTCCGTGCACTGCTCTGGTTTCAGTGTTCCGTTGCACCAGAAGCGGCTTAGTCATGCTGGCCACATGACCCAGAAAAACTGTCTGTAGACAAACACCCTTGGCCTGTAAAGCGAGATGAGCACCGCAATCCCAGAGTTGTCTGCGACTGGACTTAACTGTCAGGGGTCCTTTACCATTTTTTACCTTTTATTAACTGATCAAGGGAATGGGGCAACTCCCCCATGAGGAAAAGTTACAGCATTTGGGGCATTTTAATTTAGAGGAGAGGTGAGTAAGATGTGATATGATAGAAGCACAGTAAGTGTATGCGTAGCATTGGGAAAATGGATACAGAATAGTTTTTCTCATTCTCTCATGACACTAGGACTGGTGGGGGACAGCTAATGAAGCTGAGCATCGGTAGATTCAGGACAGACAAAATAAAGTACTTCTTCACACTGTTAAATTATGAAAGTTGCTTCCACAGGAGATAATGGCAGCCACCAACATGCATGGCCTTAAAAGGGGCTTAGACAAATACGTGAAGGTCGAGGCTACCAATGGCTGCTAGCCATGATGGCTATGTTCTACCTTCACTGCCACAAACAGTGCGCTTTTGGATACCAGCTACTAGAAACAGCAGGAAGGGAGAGTGCATCTGGTGTGCCACTATAATAAGAGGATGCTGGCCTGGATGGGCTACTGGTCTGATCCAGCAAGCTCTTCTGAGGTTCTTAATATACAGTAATATATAGTAAATGTCACACACACACACACACACACACACACACACACACTTAGTGGACAATTCTATGCTGCACACGGCTGAGTGAGTTTTTTTAAAGCTTGTAAATGATAGTTACTGCCTACTAAAAACCTTGCTGGCCTGCCCACCCCCCAATAGCAATGCCCCATAAATTATGTTCACACTCAATGGGAAATTCTACATTCAGCCTTTCTATCCAAATCAGGTTTACCCAAATAAACTTAACAATATTTTTAAAAACAAATGAGACAACTTTAAAAGGAAGTGAATGCAAGAAGCTTGACAGGAAATGTGTGACAGGTTCACTTTGTTCTTTAATCCCCCCCCCCCTTTGTGGTATTAAAGAAACCAAAAGCAGACAAGAATTTCCTCAGCTCAAAAGTAGCAACTTCTGCTATCTGAAATGACAAAGAGTGTGTCGTTTTAAAAACTAGCTGAAATAAAAGCACCAAACTTTTTTTTCCCCAGGTGAAGACTTCCTGATATTTTAACTGAAAATATGTCAAGCGGCAAACCACCGACTTTCAAAATGTGTGGACATTTCAGATAACTAGTTAGGTACAACAACAACAGCATGGATGAGAGAAAGCAAGGTCAGAGGCAAGAGAACATACATAGGAGGAAAACTGAGAGGGACTCCAAAGTCTGCCTCTCCAAAAATGCTGCAAGGCTCAGTTTCAGGTTAGAAATGCACACGAACGTTCTGCAAGACATGAACATGAAAATCAGGAGCAGGTGAAGGTTAGCCTAGCTGGCAAGATGCCTCTCCCAGAAAGCTCTTATACAGATCAGTTGGCCTACGCTGCCACACCCAGACTGTCAGGATCCAAAGTGTAGTTCCCCCAGTGTTGTCATATCCCTGCAGCCTGGTTTTGGAGCAAGCAAGGGCCTTGATGGCACTAATATAACACAGCTGATCTACACCTGTGTCTGGGATCGGGACAAGTCTTCTATCCTCCAAAAGACTCAGAAGCAAACATGAACCAACTTAGTTATTCACCACTATCCATTACGGCTGGGTGATATCTGGTTTTCAACATTGTGATATATCATCAGCAAAACATCACAATATACCAATATATCATGATGTCTCAAATAAGGATGGAGCTATGTAGAGGCTTCACGGTTTTCCCTGCATCATGAATTTTGCTGGCACCTGCTCTTGTGATTCGCTGCCCCCTGCATGAGACAGGGGACAGCTGAGCTGGCAGAATTAATAGAGGCTGCAGCAATCAAGAGAAGCATTGGCTGGCTTCATAGTTTTCCCCCACATTGTGATTTTTGAATAGCATACACAGACACACATCATGATTCACGATATATTGCTGGGTCAAAAATTATAAAACCAATATCACAATATGGACTTCAAACCAGTTTGGGATGAAATATTGATATATCGCTCACCCTTACTATTCATTCAACTTCCTCCATACACTCTGAAGAAGAAGAAGAAGTTTGGATTTGATATCCCGATTTATCACTACCCTAAGGAGTCTCAAAGCAGCTAACAATCTCCTTTTCCCTTCCTCCCCCACAACAAACACTCTGTGAGGTGAGTGAGGCTGAGAGACTTCAGAGAAGTGTGACTAGCCCAAGGTCACCCAGCAGCTGCATGTGGAGGAGCAAGGAATCGAACCCGGTTCACCAGATTATAAGTCCACCACTCTTAACCACTACACCACACTGGCTCTCATCAACTGCATCATTTTATTTCATCACAGTTGCACCACATCAACTGCACCATTTTATTTCATCACAGTAGCTTTCCCTTCCCTCAAATGGGTACTTCTGTTTATCTTTAAACCTCCTGGGAAGTGGCTTGCAGAATTCTTTATCTTTTCATTAAAAAACAAAGTCATGTCATGAATTGGAGCTCTCTTTACTTCAACAACATTATTTATCACCTTCCACAAACTTCTTAAATAACTGTTAAAGATAAATGCAAACAAATAAATTTAAAATAAATGGAAATGCCACCTTTCATCCATCATGGTAAAAAACAAATCTGTGAACATTTAGGTCAAATTAACGGTGGCTGAGAGTGCCATGCAGGACCCAGGCATATTGTTGAATCATAAGCATTATGCATGCATGTTTCTCTGAAAATAATAAGCAACATACTTTCTAGTAAAGGTGCAGGAAACATGCAAGAAAATTATAACTCTTATTGGCTTCGCATTGTTTGGCTGTTCAACTGAAAACATTAATTTGGAGATTAATCTATCAATTCACTGGCCACAGAATTTGACTCAGTTTTTAATTCAAGTGGGCCCTCTGTGAGAGTTTATTCGCTGCTGACAGCCTCATCATCCATCATCTGAATTCTTGGGCCGTGACTTTCCAGAAAAGAAAAGATCTATGCTTTCATTACACAAGAGAAATTGCTGCCTTCATAAAACAGCCAGAGAACATCTTGAAATAGCTCATTAAATATAGCAGGAGTCAAAGAAGTTAAACCCTAATTCACTGAAACGCCTGCTTCTAGTCATATAGCCTTTAGCCCTCCTTAAAAAAAATAAAAAAATAGGGCTGCAATTTTATACACACTTATCTGGGAACAAGCTCCATTAAACTCAATGGGACTTACCCCTGAGTGCACACACAGAAGATGCGCTGTGCTTAAGCCTTATTGAAAGCAATGTAACAGACAGAGTAGAGTAGGTTAGTGCTTCTGAACATGTGCTAAAAGTGACCTGGACTGCACCCATCTCAAGGACGACTTCTGTCCCAGGCCTCAGAACATAAATACAGGGTGTGAATTTACACTGGTTCCAAATTGTTCTGCTGAAGTCAGATGCAGCCAAGGTCAAACATGTGTGAAATACATTTCTGTGTGCAGACTCCCAGCTCCAGAAGTGTGCTGTGTGCATGTTCCTGAAGGGGTAAAACCTCATCCAATGGGATGAATTGCAGTATGGCCAATGAGCTATTGTGGGATGGAGAAGATTCATTCTCAGTGGGGAATGGAATGGGGACCGCTCTCCACACTGAAAGGACTTCCCATGCATTTTCTCTCCCTATAGCCCTGCTGGAAGCTTCAGGATTCAATCTACCAACACTGGCCAAAGAGGTGGCTGATGCTATGGCTAATAATCTGCTAGATATAGCATTATCAGGTCACTATAAAATAAGGTTACCAGATTTTTTTCAATGAATCCAGCGACACTTTTCAACTCCCTACTAAATGGATGGATTTTGTCAGGGGACTGATTTGTAAATCCGAGGACTGTCCCCGGGAAATGGGGACATCTGGTAACCTTTCTATAAAAACATGTTTTAGCCCACTGATGTATATATGCACAGAGAGTTCAGAAACTACCTCTATTTTAGAACCATTCAACTTGAATACATATGTGTGCTTTCTCACTTGCACCATTTTGTTACTGTGTGCTGCTCTCCACCACCAGAAGTAGTTCAGCACTAAAGGGAAGCAAGTTGGTGAAAATAGCTATGAAGTAGATACCACTCTTTGTGAGGAGGAGCAACACCCTGCTAGGATAGAAGCTGAAAAGCAGCAGGCACAAAGCCACTCTGATATCCTTTACCTGCTACCTGTGAGTAAGCACCACTGAATTCTGCGGGATACCTGAGGAAACACACGGTCAGTTCCATCTCTGCTACAGATGCACTGCATCACACTGGAACCCATGCCAAGACCAGCTTTAAAACACAGTTTTGTTTGCAGTAAGCATACTCTGTGTGTCACAACCCACTGCAAAAATGTGCATTGATGAAGAACATGATCTTAGCTAGAAAATATGTAATATCTCAGAGTGAGTTGCCCTGGGCTGTTTCTTTGATTCCACTTAAGAAGGATTTTCCAGCAAGTTGGTATTTGCTTACTAAAGTTTTTTTTACGTACCGGGCGTTAAGATGCACCCATGCTGCGGTTCAGAAAATTCAGCACATACCTGACTGAATGTTTCCACAAAAAGAAGGCACGACTAATCTCACAGATCTAGAGTTGCTTCATATTCATCTTTTTTTCAGTGAAATCTGGACTTAGGACTCCGATCCTCCAAGGCTGTGATGCTCATAAATTTACTTGGAAGTATGTTCCAACAAAAAACACTGAAGGCCCACTTAAGTTAAGAGGAGTCAGCACATTTGCATTCCTCTGTGATCCTCTGTTTATCCAGGGAAGTTAAGTAGGACCTGGAATGAAGACTTACCCCACAGCAACCTCTACACTCTCAAACTCACTGCCCAGGAAGGCCTACCTAGAAACCACTTGAGGAAAGGCTATGGCTCAGTGGTAGAACATTTGCCTTGTAAGCAGAAGGTCACAGATTCATTCCTCAGCATCTCCAGGTAGGGCTCAGAGAAATTCCTGTCTGAAACCCTTGAGAGCTTCTGCCAGTCAGTGTAGACAATACTGAACTAGATAGACCAATTGGCTGACTCAGTGTAAGGAAGCTTCTTTTCTATCTTCACACCATAAAAAGGCCTTCTCCGGGTATTGACCTCCTGTTCTTCATTGACTCAGGATGAAAGTGAATCCCACACTTAAGTATTTTCCACTGAAATCAGTGGGCTTAAATGTACTGAAGTTACTGAAAATGTTTGGGGCATTGCTCAGCTACTCTATTTTTCAAAGCTACTGTGTAAATCCAATCCTATGTTTTCTCATTGAGTTCAATGGGACTTAACACACAACTAGGCATGCACAGGAATAAAGACTGAATTGCACCATTTTTTATTGACCTGCTCCTGTTTTAAACCCACCTTTAAGAGTACCATTTTAAAAACAAACCAGCAGCTGACTGACAGACTCATTAATTAAAAAAAACACACCCTGACATTACATTCAGTCATCTCCTCTCTTTTTAATGGGCAGCTTGCTTCTCTCAGACAACTATAGGACAACAATTTCCAGAAAGGAAGCTGTGTTAGGAGGCAACCCTACACATTTAACCTAAATATAGCCCTTAAAATGTTAATTGTTTATCATGGCCTTTGGAAGCTAATTAATATTAAATTACAACTTGGATCTTGTTTTCAAGCTAGCTGGGCTAATTTTCTTTTATTTCATGGCATGCTGGTGTGAGCACCTTGGATGGAAATGGATTTTAAATGTTAATGATTTCATTCCGGAGTTAGGTTTCCTTCTGTCAACCGCTTGGAGAAGCGGTCGAGAAAGTGGTCTCAAAAGTTGAACAAAATAAACACGGCTACTATCCTACTTCCACATATGCTCGGGAGTAAGTCCCATTGCCTTCACTGAGACTTACTTCCGAGTAGACCCCGTTACAGCGGCGCTGCCAGGTTTGCACTCTTGGGTTTGCTGCTGCCAAGATGACTTTTAGAAAGAGTCACCTTAAAAGAGCAGCAGCTACCGAAGTTTGCTGGGAAGACCAAACACCCAGCAAAGCCCCAACTTGAGAGAGCGCGAGGGGAGCAGAAAAGACGCCTTGAGAAGGGAAGCGCCGAGGTGCGTCGGCGGAGGGCGGGCGAGCGGGGCCGGGACGAGGACCTTTGCCTGCGGGGTGAATGTTTAACTCACCTGGGTTGGAGCTGCTCTGGAAGTAGAAGACGACGAGGAGCAGAGAGCCCAGGCAAGTGGCCAGGACCATCCGCTGCCCCCTGCTCTGCCTCATCCTCGCGCCTAGAGGGCATCCCCCGGGGCCGCGGCGGCGAGGGAGTCGCGCGGAGTCGCCAGAGAGTCACGGCGGCTCCTCATGGCCCGGGCTTCGGGCTGCCGCTGCCGCTGGCGGCGTCGCTGCGGGCGCCTCCCGACGCCCAGCTCCTCCGGCCGCCGGCTCTGCCTCTCCGGCGCGAAGCGAGAGCAGCACAGCGCAGTCCCTCAGGGCAAAGGGAAACCTCGGCGCGGGGCAGGGCCGGACTAAGGCGGCGCGGTGGCGCGGGGGGGGAGGGGGAGAGACAGCGGGCGAGGGCGTCGAAGGGAGGCGCGCCGCCCTCCCACACCTTTCCTTTCCCTCCCCGCCCGGCTACTGACGCTTCTCGCCGAGGGGATCAGGCGGAGTAAAGCGAGCGGAAGCTCGTTGCGCGGCTCGTTCGGGACGTGCGGAAGGCGGCTCCCCCCCCCTTCCCTGCCCCGTGGATGCGTCCGGCTGAAAGGGGAGTCGCCAGGCGCGCGCCGAGCTGCGGCTTTCCTTTCCCAAGCCGCGTACCTGTGTCAGGTCCCGCCTGAGTTGGGGGCGGTTCTTTTATGCTCGTGAAGAAAGGCGGGGCCGCCTCTGAGCATGTGAAGAGTTCTGCTTGGCGCGATTTAGCAGGCACAGCCGTTCGTCCCTACGCGTCGAGATTTAGCCTTCAGGGCAAGGGTCAGAAGAGTAGGACGTGGATTAGGGGAGAGTGTGGGGAACTTTCGCCCCCTGGATGTTGCTGAACTACGACTCCCATCAGCCCCAGGCAGCGCAGACTTTGGCCATGGAAGATGGAAGTTGTAGTTAAGCAGCACTGGTGAGCCAAAGGTTCCCAGCACTTGGATTTGGCTTGCTTGGTAGAGCTGTGCGCTCTGTTAAAGGTTCCAGGTTGGATCCCTGGTGTCTCCTGGTCTCGCTGGGAAACATTCGTGCCTGAAACCCTGGAGACCCACAGACAATGATGAGGTAGATGGGTCTTTGGTCCAGCATGGTATAAAGTAGCTCCTTGGTGGATGGCTCTTCAGATTCTGCTTGAGGACGTCTGGTGGAGATGCTCTATCTGGACTTCCCACAGGGAATTGATCTAGACAGTTCCTCGGGAAGTGGTGGACTTTTTTGGAGCTTTTAATCAGAGCTTGGATGGCCACCTGTCATGGATGCTTTAGCTGAGATTCCTGCATTGCAGGGATTTGGACTAGATCAGGCATGTCCAAAGTCCGTTTCGCGGGCCTAATCTGGCCCACTGGGTGTCAGTTTAATCCGGCCCCTGTGGCAGTTTGTTTCCTGGGGTAAAATCCTTAAAAACCCTCAACAACTTAAACCCTTAAAAAGGTTAACAACTTTGGTCGGCCCTTTGGTCATCCCTCATGGACCTTCACTTCATCAAATCTGGCTCTCTTTGAAGAAAGTTTGGGCACCACTGGACTAGATGAACCTCAGGCTCCCCTCCAACTGTGATTCTACCTCCAAATCTGTGGCTTTTGAGTGTGCAGTCGAACCTCGGTTTTCGAACGTCTCAGCTGCTGAATGTTTTGGAAGCCGAACACCGAAAACCCAGAAGTGAATGCTTCCGTTTTCAAAAACGCCTTGGAAGTCAAAAGCGGAGGTTCCACTGTACTGCTTTTCACTATCCAGTAAGATGGGGAACCTGTGACCCTCCAGACATTGCTGGACTACAGCTCCCACCCTCCATGACCCTGGTCTGTGTTGCCCGGGGCTGATGGGAGTTCGAGTTCAAGAACCCCTGGAGGGCCACAGGTTCCCCACACATGGTCTGCAGAGCAACAATTTGCTGGGAAGTGGAATCTGACAAGTCTCAGAGCCTTTGCCCTTAAACCCTTTGGCCCTTAGTCAAATACTTGATCAAACCTTTTGTCCCTTAGTCTCTAACCCTTTGCCGTTGCTTCATCTGAGAGGTGATTCCTGCTTAATTCTATAGGCCTATTTTCAGACGTTGCATTGCAACTCCTCCAGACAATATGGCAGGCCTTTGACTAAACCATCTATGCAGGGGTTCCCAAACTTGGGTCTCCAGCTGTTTTTGGACTACAACTCCCACCATCCCTAGCTAGCAGGACCAGTGGTCAGGGATGATGGGGATTTTAGGCCCCAAACAGCTGGATATCTAAGTTTGGGAAACACTGATCTATGGCATTTTAAACTGTGAGCGTATGGTGTGTATTTTTGTGTTTTTATATTGTAAACCACCCTGTGATCTTCAGATGAAGGGCAGTATAGAAATTTAATAAATAAGAAGAATAAACTTGTTACTGAGCATTTTCTCTGATTTGCTTGTTATACGACAATTAAATTCATCCTGGTCTCATCCTGTTTTGCTTGTGTGGTGTTTACACATTGATCATTCATTCATCTATCCCACTTTTCAGCACGCTATTTATTGGCAGACAGCTCACCATGGTGACCAACTTACCTCCACCTGTAGGGTAGAAGAGGAAATTCATGCTGCTTAGGTGCATGAAGAGCTTAAGAGTTTTTTGGAGGAAAATGTTTTCCTTTGCACTTTCCAGTCCTTTGCTGTTTACCCAGATGTAACTCCCACTGAATCTAATGGGACTTTCTTACATGTAAGTGTGCACTGAAGCCTTAGAGTTGCTGCTCTTCCTTTGTGGCTCTAAGTCATACTCCCAAGCAGACTCACTGAAAGAATGGGCTTGTTCATCATGGCGACAAACAAACCCACTGATTTCAAAGTGCTTGCTATGAATATGACTTCATTCCTGTGAATCTGGCACCGCCTGCCTATGTGGTCTCGCTTCTGTGTTCCTACCCACAGTATCTTTATAACAGTGAGAAAAGAGATTTTAACAGAGCCATAAGCCTCCAGTGTGTTTTCTCCTCTGAAATAAAGTCTGCCCCAATTTTTCCACCGCTTGTGGAAGAGAGTGGGTGAAGCAATATCCTTTCTGATATCCTTGGCCAGGTCTAAAGCATCTATGGCATTGTATGGGGACAGAGGAATTCTGCAAGAGCAAAAACAATGATTCAGCTGGCTGTTTGTGATGAGAAAAATCAAAGCAGGTTATGTAAACCAGACAGAAGAACCAGACTGTTTGCCTTCAATCTTTGTACTATGACCTTGGTAGCCTCGGGAAAGCCCCCCCCCCCAACATTTCTAAAAGAAATGAACGTGAAAGCCATGAAATGTCCTCTCCATAATGCTGCAAACACAGATCTCTCTATTTTTGGGTAAAGGTGGCTTTCGTGGGGTCTGTGTGCAAGGGCTTCATTGGTATTGTATTTATTACATTTACACCCACTTTTCTTTTAGTGACCTCAGTAGGTTGTATAGCAGTTGTTTAATCACTTGTGTTCACTTGCGGATTTGAATATTCATACCTTGATGCCCCACCTTTCCCACTGAAAGGATGTACACATGGCCTGATGTCATTAAAATCAAATGCACTTTTAAAAAAAATATGGATAAATTTAAAAAAAACAACCTGTCAAAACAAGCAAGCAGATGATAAAAACTTTTTTTACTTGCAGTAAAAAGAACCACCAACAAACATGAGCGTAGCCAGGATTTATTTTGGGGGGGTGGGGAGGCTTCATGGGGAGGCAGAATCTCAGTTAGTTAAGTACAGTGGTGCCTCGCAAGACGAAATTAATTCGTTCCGTGAGTTTTTTTCGTCTAGCGAATTTTTCGTCTTGCGAAGCACGAAATCCCATAGGAATGCATTGAAATTCAATTAATGCGTTCCTATGGTAAAAAAAAAGTCCAAACAAAGCCAAATTTGGTACAACAAGAGTTTATTAAGTGCTCTTTAAAGTCACACATACTGTAAAGAGCATTTCAAAAATTGAAGGAACAATAAATTAAGTTTCTAAACATGACAGAAAAACATTTAAAAATCAACAAAGTGTACAGTATATTTTCTAAGACTCTGGGGGACAACTCGATGAAGGTTCCTCTTCCACTCTTGGCGTCTTGCGGAACAACCCCCTCCTCAACTGTTCCCCCAGCCACCCACCACACAGAAATTCAAATCCAGAAATTTTTTTAAAAAACAGCAGAGTGGCCCAATGGTCACAGAAAATCATAAAAATGCAGAAAAACACACACACAAGCTTCCAGATTCTTGCAAACCCCTCCCCAACACCTTGAATTCCAAACACCCCAACCCAAAATCCAACCCCCCCCAAAAAAGTTTTAAAAGTTTAACTTACCAAATGGCTGCAAAAGAAGTTTTGGAAAAGCTTCAAAAATCACCAAAGTCTTCAAAAACCTCAAAAAAGGCTACCACGCCGCATTCTATGAGTTGCTCCTCGAAGTCAAGTCGCAACTGTATTAACGGTCTTAAGAAAAAGGAAACAAACTTGCAAGACGTTTTCGTTTTTCGTCTTGCGAAGCAAGCCCATAGGGAAATTCGTCTTGCGAAGCAGCTCAAAAAACGCGAAACCCTTTCGTCTAGCGAGTTTTTCGTCTTGCGAGGCATTCGTCTTGCGGGGCACCACTGTATTTTTTACTTGATTTAAGGGGGCTACGCCCATGACAACAAAACAGCAGAAAGAAAGAAACCAGTACAACAGACAGGGAAGGTGCTACCTTCTTATTCAAAGAACCTCATTCCTCCCTGTAGCATTAAAAATATGAGCAGAGTGGGTAGAATTGCATTTCCCCCAGGAGGAAGTTCCAAAGTTTTGTGCCCACTGTTAAAAAGGCCCTGCGTAGCACTACTGCCTCACTCCCCAGAACTGCTTCTCTGAAGATCTTAAAAGCATGGAGTACTCCTGTCACAGAAAGCATAATGTTATATATTTGTCCAATATATAATTTCCTTTCATCCTCATTGCCATCCAGTGAAGTAGACTAAATGATGACTATTGAAGGCTCTCAAATGAGCCTTATATCTGTATTAGAAACTGGAGCTAGCTCTTTTCGGTCCATCAAGAGCAGGTGTAAGTGCTGTAAGCATTCCTTAAAGATCCACATTGCATATGAGACTGATTGCTCTCCCTGCTCAGATCCTGTTTACAGTGGCTGAGCCTCTCCAACACTGAACACACACCTCTTAAACATACCCGCATTTCATTAGATGCCAGGGATGGAACCTACCCTTCCATCCATTATGAACAGAGGAGAGCTGGAAAGAGTGTCTAGCTGTGATCAGATGTGGCCATGGCTGATTTAGGTGCTTTATTTGCATGGTGGGGGGAGGGCATGCCCAGACCATGTTGTGGCCCTGTCTCCCCCCCCCCACACACTGCCATTTTGTGCTATGCTGTACCCCAACAGCAGAGACAGCACTTGCTTGAAATTCAGCATGTTCTTACATGGCATCTGGCATACTGCTAATTAAGAAGGTCCACCAGTAGCTTCCTCTAAAAAGGTAAAGGTAAAGGACCCCTAACAGTTAAGTCCAGTCACAGACGACTCTGGGGTTGCAGCGCTCATCTCGCTTTACAGGCTGAGGGAGCCG